AACTAAAATCATTTTCAGTCCTATCCTTGATTATTAAAAAGAAATATCGGAAATTTTACAACCTCAATAAATAATTATTCAAAATAACTAAATTAAATATAAAACAGCCAATCTACCAAATGTATTCAATCTAATTATATTAAAAGGGTACTTTTAATTGCATTCTTACACATTCTCATTAATTTACCTATTTGAATGAATTATTTTTTATCTTTTAATGTATTTTAAGAGACCATTNTATTTGAATGAATTATTTTTTATCTTTTAATGTATTTTAAGAGACCATTAATAATTTGGTGAAAGGAGATTTTTAAATTAAATATTTTAAAATATTTAATATTTTTATATTAAATTTATTAACAATTTTTTAATACTTATTTTCAATTCAATTTAAATTTAAATAAGCTCTAATATAACAAAAAAATGATAGGTTATACTAAAACTATAAAACTAATCCATAAAATAGTAACATAGAAACTATTTAAAAACATCAAATAAAACAAATGTTTAAATGGTAATAAGTCAAAAATTTTTCATGCAAAAATTAAAAACTGAAAATAAATTGAAAACCATTTTTTAATAATTTAAGTAATTCATTAATAATTACTTGTAATGGCTGTTCATTTTGAAGAGTTTGTTTATCAGCAGTTAAATCCCAAAAAGCTGGTGGAGCTAAACCGGTATCAGATTCTTTAATTCCTGATAACTCATTAATACGCTTAATAATATTTTGTATATCATCTTCAACAGCCTTTACATTGATTGTCCATTGACCTTGACCCTATAAGAATATATAAATTAAATCCATAGAAAATAAATTTATTATTTATAACAATATTTCTAGATACATATTCTTCATATAAAAATTTAATGCAATACAAATAAAACTTACATATGTTTTCAACAATGCAATGTCCTCTTCGTCAAGGGCTAAAATATATTTTTGAGTTAATCGATAATTTTTTAAATGATAATATTAAAATTGTATCCCTTTTGATTTCATTTTACAATAATACGTATTTTATTTATATATATTTTATTACATATTTTATATATATGTTATTCATATTTTACAAAAATATGGAATAACATTTCAAATACTTTTGAAATTATATAAATGTAAATATAATTTTTTAGATATAATATTAAAAAAATTATAGTTCAACAGTGTTAAATTGGACACAGTATATAAATAGAAATTATCATGGGTAAAATTTGGTCAAAATGATAATTATTAAGTTAGACGATAAGGATACATTTTTAATGAATACAGTTTTAACTTAATAATAATAATTTTTAAATAGTTAAAATACGTATGTAAAGGAAAATTACACTTTATTTCTTTTTCTTCCTTCTCTGGTTCATCTTTCTTCACTTTACGCATTTCATCGCCTAAATAATCTGGCATTTTGAAATAAAACAATAGGTATTATTCAATAATATTTTATATATAATTTAATTTAACTTGAATTAATATATCTTAAGTAGTTCACAAAAGATTTTTCTGTTCTTACTCTATTTATGAGCTAAACAATTCATTCATAGTTAACTATTTTAGAATATATGATAATGATAAAGCGATTTTCTTTTAAAACTTGATACTGTTTTTTTACTAAATCATCTTAACAATAATTATAGGTTATATTTGATAAACAATATTGTATATACTAACGCTCTCTTCATATGTGTATTAGAACTAGACAAGTAATGATAAAATATAATTAAAAAGGTGATTCTTTCACCTTTTTTCTTTATAAAAATGTTTTTGTTAATTAATTTATTTTACTGTAAACGATCATAAACATTATTTGATATAAAATGCCGTATCCACTGATTGAAATTATTAATATTTTCATTAAAACTCCACCCGAACACCATACCAAGTAAATGGTATTTTACTTTTAATCATTTTATGTGTTGTGATTTTATATCTACCATAGTTTATTTTGCAATCATATAACGGTACTTATGTAACTATGTAAGCAATAAAGATTGTTTGGGTGAAGTGCGAAAGATATACAATAATATGTTATGATCTTGCATGTTAATTACTTAAAATAACTACGAGATTTTTATATTTTAATTTTATGTTAATATTCAAAGTAATTAAGATTTACTTTCTGAAAATATGAATGTAGTGCGATATTCATGAAATTATTCTAGCGGTTTATTGGAATGCTTCGATTTTTAAGCAGAAAGCGGGGTCGAAATGATCCCAAAGCTCGCAACATCAAAGCTGGAGCTGAACGTTTAAATCCGCCAAATAAACATTGTATGCAATGTAGAGTAATGCTTTTAGATGGAACAGATTTATGTATAGAACTGTCGGTATGTGTCCATATGAAATTGAAGCAAAAATAATTATTTTAATTAGTATTTACTTATTTTTTAAATGATCAAATATCAATTAAAATTTTCATTTATTTTATATTTTATATTACTTATAATTTTTTTTATTACCTTTGTGTCTATTAAATGTAAGTAGTAAGTATAATATTAAAATTAACACAAGTTAGAAGGCTAAGTTCCTTAAATTGATAATAACAGAGAATAATTTTTTGAGCTATCTTTAAATTTGTATTTTCTTTTTAATCTCTAAATTCTATAAAAAAATTTATCTATGAATATAAATATAAATTTATAATATTTTATATTATAATTATTATAGATTATTTATATTATTATAATAAATCAAAATTTAAATGGTATAATCACAATATTTACTGTTATATTATAGTACTTGATGTTGTTGATTATTTTAAAATATATTTTTTTAATTTTTATACTATTTCAGAAAAAAGCAGTAGGCAGTGACTTATATGAACAAGTTTTCTATTCATTAGATTTAATTGAAAAAGATTACTTTGGACTACAATTTACTGATGCCAATCATGTTCAGGTAGCAATAAACAAATTATTCAAAAAATTTTTATATAATAAGAGATTTTGTACAAAATTAATTGTAAAAAATATCTATATATTTTCTTCTTTTTCCTTGCCTTAATCCCAACTACTTGGGGTCAGCCACCCTTATCCTAAACTACCACATGTCACGATCTCCTACATCAGCTGTCCTCATATCATAATCTCTCCATCTCTTTTTTGGTTTTCCTCTACCTCTTATTTCAACGTTAATTTCTATAACTATTCTTACAGCTTTCGATTCTTCTCTTCTCATAACATGACCAAACTATCTAAGTTTATTTTTTCTCATCTTATCCGTGATTGATACTAAACCTATACTCCCTCTTATATGTTCATTCCTTATCCTATATTTTCTAGCCATTCCACTCATCTATCTAATCATTTACATTTCTGTTACACTCACTCATTCTCTGCTCTACTTTCTTGTCTACTGCCCAACACTCTAAACCAAAAATCATAGCGGGTCTCACTACAGTCTTATAAAATTTACCATTCAGCCTCATTGGAATTCTTTTATCACATAACACACCAGACGCTTCTCTCCACTTTATTGACCCACACATAATTCTATTTTTTACATCCACATCAATATTACTATTTTTTTGCACAACTGATCCTAATACTTAAACCTTTCCACCTCTCCTATCACGTCTTCGTCTTTTGTCACTGATCTCCTCATTTCACCTACATTTTGTAGAAAAAATATCTATATATATGTATATATATATTTTTTTTTGAAAAATGTTAGGTGAGGTAAACTAAATTTAGTTTAGTTGGTTTTTTCTAATGAAAGTTAAATGCAGTTATTGCCTTTTATACTAGAAAATTATTATTATTTTGTGCCTTGTAATAAAAATTTCTAAATTAATTAATCCGAATAAGAGTACACAGATAAAGGCATGGATTAATACTTGTGTTAACCATCAACTGATGCATTCACTGCACTATACAACTCTTCTATATTATTAAAATACTACAATCATCGTTTTCAAAATGAAAATTTTTTTATTTTATTTATTATTATTTATTTAATATTATCTATGGTTTTGTAGCATTGGCTCGATCCAACAAAAGCAATCAAAAAACAAGTTAGAAGTATGTATATGTTTTTTTTATATAGTACTGAAGTTTCATATTTGTGATGTTACCTTTTTTAATATAAAAAAAAATTTTAGTTGGACCACCCTACACATTTCGCCTTAGAGTCAAATTTTATTCTTCAGAACCCAACATGTTACGTGAAGAGCTCACCAGATATCAGTTTTTTCTACAACTTAAATTAGACATACTTGAAGGTCGTTTAGAATGTCCTCAAAATACATGCATTGAATTGGCTGCTTTAGCTTTACAATGTAAGTAATTTGATTTGTTAAATACTTAACTTCATTTTTCTCTATTATTAATTATTCTTATAATATAATTACAGCTGAACTTGGAGATTATGATGAAGAGTGTCATACTCCCGCAGTTATTTCAGAGTTTAGATTTGTGCCAAATCAAACCGAAGATATGGAAATACAAATTGTAGATGAGTTTAAAAAATGTAAAGGGTTAACACCAGCTCAAGCAGAAACCAGTTATTTAAATAAAGTTAAATGGTTAGAAATGTATGGAGTAGATAATCATATTGTGCTAGTATGTATTACTGCAATATTATAGTAGTAAATATAATAGTATGTATTTACAATGAGTATTCATATATTATTATGGGTGTACTTACAGAATAATATAGGTGATGTTTTCCTTGTTACAAAAATAATTATAATAGAGCTATGTTAATAATAAACCCAGCACAGTGGGGACGTGACATAGTTGGGTCTAATATAGATGATATCTGACAGTGATTAAAATCACTATCATAAAAATTGCTTCAATGCAAATCTGTAGATAGTCTTTAATTTAAAAAAATTGGTTGATTATTCTAAAAACAAAATTAACTTGTATTTCTATCATTATTCCTAATTAGTAGTTGCATTATAAGTATAATTTATGAATAAATATCTATTAAAGCAATTCAACGTAGAATGAAATTGATGTTTAATAATTTAGTATTGTAATTTTTTCAGAGAATTTATAAAAAATTATAAAGTAGTTGTTACTTTTATAGCATACGTGTATAAAAATTGCAGGGTTTGACACAGAACATTTTAGATAATAATTTGTTTGTTAATTATGAATAAATGGTATACAAAAAATTTTCATCAGAGTAAAAAATATACTTTTATTATTCAATTTTTCGTGTTAATTTCAAATCAGCAATTATATGTTTTCCATTACCAATCACTTTTGATATTATTACTAATTTGTTACAAACTATAGGATATAACTATAAGGAAAATAGTTCTGAATATTTCAATTATATTATATATTTGAACACCAAGAGTTACATAGAAATTATTAATATTTCTTTTGAAATGATTTATTATGATAAAAAAATGATTAAAAACACAAAACAATTGTTTTTAAATTATTACAGATTTTTATTTTTAATATGTTTTAAATAATTAGTGCAAAATATTGTTTTTAACCAATTTTTTTGGTCTTATAATAAAAAAAAGTTGAATTTGTTACCATAACTTTTAGCTCAACTTCAAGATTGAAATTGATGTCTGTTTTCACTGTGAAGACAAAATAAAGTCCGAAATTTTTTTTTTCCATAATAAAGTATATTACATTAGCTTTAATTTAAGATATATATAAAAGTGTCAGACTTTCCGAAACACTTTCAAAAGTTAATTTTTTGTGGAAAAGTTGTCATCTTAAATCTTCCCCTGTGGGCAAGTTAAGGGTTAGATTTATAAAAAAATATATATAGAATGATAAGTAAAGACATCAAGCATCTATTAAAAAAAATTATATTGATTCGTACATTTTTAAAAAAGTTATGGCAATTTTAAGTAAAAAAATTGAAAAAATTTGCGATTTCTAAATTTGTAATTTTTTTAAAGATTTCCGCCATGAAAATTTTTCAATTTTTGAGGGTAATATCTTTGGCTAGATACGATTTGTAATCTTTTGACGTATCATTGAAAGAAATCAGTTTATTGAGAGCTGAGAAAAAGTGGTAACAGACACACAAAAAAAAAGAACGCATAGTAAAATTAATACCTTCTTAGCTTCACATTGAAGCCGTTTAACCAATTAAAATTTGTTGTTAAATTTTTAACTTTTAAATTATCAAAATCAGTTTTATTGTGGTTCCAACTCTTAAAATATGAAATAGAAGCTCAGATCTAAGTAAGCTTTGCGTAGCTGTGACTACACCATAAACTCCTGAAATCTTTCAGTCTAATGCATTAGCAATAAGTTCCATTTTGTATGACACATTCTCTCAGTAGTAATGACTTCTAGAGTAATATATGTATAATTATAATTATTATTATGTATGAAAATAAAGATTCATTTCTTACCAAATATCCAATAAATTATTTAAATATAACATTAAATTGAAAATTTCTATATTAAATTAATTTGTATAAAAATGAATATTATTTCAATATTCATATTTTATGAATTCTTTAAAGAATGAAAATGTGCATACTTTATTAAACATTCCCTTTAATAATGTATGCAATGTTATTGTTGAATTTTTTTTTGAAAACTAGAGCTTGGTAAATAGATATTCAAAAAAAGCTTTTTTCCTTGTTTAGTTATTTGTGGAGATTAAAGCAAAAGTACCATATGTTAGCTTTAATCCCAATATAAGTAATAAGTTGAAAGTTATAAATGTAATCAAAATATTACCATTTGCCTAGAATTGCGAAACAAATTATTTTTAATTTTTAACATCAGCAGCATTGTTAATAAATATATATTTAAAAAATTTTAGGGCAAAGATGGTTGTGAATATGCTCTTGGTCTAACACCAACTGGTATATTAGTATTTGAAGGCTTGCAAAAAATTGGGTTGTTTTTTTGGTAAGAGTTATCTAATTTTACTCTGTTATAACTAGCACTATGCATTTTATGTCCTAAATAAGTATAAAATATGAATGTATTTATTAACTGTGTGAAAGATAGAACAAAAGTAATGCAAGTCAATTTTTTAGTAAAATGAGTTTTACATTTTATAAAACATTACATTTTTAAAATCTACATTTATATAAATCCTCATGGTATATATTATATTTATTATATTATAATATTATAATATAATATATTCTAAAAGACTTTTCTAAAAATTATTAAAATTGACTTACACCAATATCGTTCTAACCCTAAAATTAAATAAGGGAAAATATACTTTAAAATATTAAAATATGGAAAATAATATTTTTTTATACAATTTATGGTTTAAAAAATTATATTTCAAAATATTTAAGTAAAAATAAGCATATTATTGATAATTATTTGATAACGAATGAGTCATATTTATATAATATACCAATAGATTTGGTGTGAAATTTCTTATATTAACATATAAATCAAAAATTGTTTTATTTCTTATTATTGATATATAATAAAAAATATGTTTTTAATATAGTATATAGAGGCCATAAATATTTATAAAAAAAATTCAGCAAAATGTTTATTCCATCTAAAGTTATAAGAGTTGTTAGTTAAGTCTGGTCAATCTGTATAGTTTATGCAATAATTAAAATTTCCTAAATATGGATCATTTACTTTTTTTAAAAGATAAAAATTTACAATGAATTCTTATTCTTATTATAATAATAATATATCATAAAAATAACATTTTTTTTTTTTATTAATATTGTTTTTTTACTTTAGGCCAAAAATTGGTAAACTAGACTTTAAGAAAAAGAAATTAACATTAGTTGTTGTAGAAGATGATGATCAAGGGCGAGAACAAGAACATACATTTGTATTTAGATTACATAATGAAAAAGCATGCAAACATTTATGGAAATGTGCTGTTGAACATCATGCATTTTTCAGACTAAGAGCCCCCGTTAAAGGTCCATCAGCAAGGCAAAACTTTTTTAGAATGGGATCGAGATTTAGATATAGGTAAATTAAAAATAAACAACAAAATTAAAAAATTAACTATTTTATGATCTAGTAAAATATATTATTGTCTATAAGTTTACAATATTTAAAAAAGCTGTATCAATTTTAATAATAATTTTTTTTTAGTGGCAAGACAGAATTTCAAACCACTCAGTTAAATAGAGCTAGGAGAACAGTTCAGTTTGAAAGACGTCCAAGTCAAAGATATGCAAGAAGGCAATCGCATGTCTTAAGAGAACGTCAAAAGTAATTTTATTGCATTTTTTATTTATTTATAAATTATATTACTAAAAATCCATACAATCCTAACCAATTTAATTTTATGTCTGGAAAGTTAACAGTGTAGTCATTTTTTTTGTGTAAGGTGAAGTTTAAGTGGTATGTTGAGTTGTATAATAGACTAGGAACAAAAGAAGTTAATAGTCTTGCTAAAGTAAGAGAAAAACAGTGTAAAGATTACCACAATGTAAGGTGTAAAACACTGATGATTAAAGGATGCTAACAAGTGATGATGTTTTGAAATAAGGTGGAAACAGTATTTTGAAAATATATTGCTTGTGTTGGATCGAGCCAATGCTACAAAACCATAGATAATATTAAATAAATAATAATAAATAAAATAAAAAAATTTTCATTTTGAAAACGATGATTGTAGTATTTTAATAATATAGAAGAGTTGTATAGTGCAGTGAATGCATCAGTTGATGGTTAACACAAGTATTAATCCATGCCTTTATCTGTGTACTCTTATTCGGATTAATTAATTTAGAAATTTTTATTACAAGGCACAAAATAATAATAATTTTCTAGTATAAAAGGCAATAACTGCATTTAACTTTCATTAGAAAAAACCAACTAAACTAAATTTAGTTTACCTCACCTAACATTTTTCAAAAAAAAATATATATATACATATATATAGATATTTTTTCTACAAAATGTAGGTGAAATGAGGAGATCAGTGACAAAAGACGAAGACGTGATAGGAGAGGTGGAAAGGTTTAAGTATTAGGATCAGTTGTGCAAAAAAATAGTAATATTGATGTGGATGTAAAAAATAGAATTATGTGTGGGTCAATAAAGTGGAGAGAAGCGTCTGGTGTGTTATGTGATAAAAGAATTCCAATGAGGCTGAATGGTAAATTTTATAAGACTGTAGTGAGACCCGCTATGATTTTTGGTTTAGAGTGTTGGGCAGTAGACAAGAAAGTAGAGCAGAGAATGAGTGAGTGTAACAGAAATGTAAATGATTAGATAGATGAGTGGAATGGCTAGAAAATATAGGATAAGGAATGAACATATAAGAGGGAGTATAGGTTTAGTATCAATCACGGATAAGATGAGAAAAAATAAACTTAGATAGTTTGGTCATGTTATGAGAAGAGAAGAATCGAAAGCTGTAAGAATAGTTATAGAAATTAACGTTGAAATAAGAGGTAGAGGAAAACCAAAAAAGAGATGGAGAGATTATGATATGAGGACAGCTGATGTAGGAGATCGTGACATGTGGTAGTTTAGGATAAGGGTGGCTGACCCCAAGTAGTTGGGATTAAGGCAAGGAAAAAGAAGAAGATATTATTAAAAATCAGGTGTATATTACTTACCTTGAACACATTAAAATATATATAATTCAATATTCTACTTAGGGATAAAACTGAAAAACCTAAAACACATGAAGATAAAAATGAAAAAATCAACATAATGGATAAGCCACCAACACCAATTTTGGATCCTAAGGATATACAAATTGAACCAACATCGTTAACATCAAATACGTCAGGTAATTTTTTATAACTAATTTTTTCTTGTTCTTCTAAATTTGTTGGTCATGTCTGGTATGCATACGTTATGATACGTATTTTTATTACTTTGTATAGTCTCATTTTTTATTTCTTTGATAGTAACTTTGAGCTTAGGAACTTTGACAGTGCTTAGACTCTTGTTGCCTGCTACAATACGTTTCTTAATCTCTTTGTGATTGTTATTTTTGCTGTTTAGTTCTGTACTTAGTTACTTTTTTTTTCACGGTCGACATATTGTTGGACGCCCTGGAACTACTGTGAGGTATTGCTTCAGGGCGACTTAAGTCGCGATAAAACTCATATCGCCGTGTTGTGACTCAGCCCGAAATTAATCAAGAACTGAGTCACAACATGAAGTGCCTTCCCGGTTATCCGGATCCCAGAGTGGGATGCGTTGCCTAGGTCACACCACGTGGTGGTGCTGGTAGGACTTCGCTATGGGTTAGGTTATGAAAAAAATCGCACAAACAAGCAGACACAAAATACGGAAACGAAATGACCTGGTTTTCTCAAGCCTCTTTCGTTTTGCTAGGGCAGTCCTTTGCCAGGTGAGCCGTCCCTTTGCAAGCGAAGCATGCGCCAGATCGGTCTGATACCTTACAGGCACCTGAACATGGCCTCGCTCCAGGCACCTAAAACAGCGCAGTCCCTTGTCCTCTAAGACACTCACCCTACACGACGACCAGCCCACACGCAAACGGTGCCAACCGTGTGTACCGGCCTTTTCCACTACCAAACAACCGGATCACCGCTGAGCTGGTCGCTGTAGAAAGGATAGAGGTCAACGCCCCATGGACATCCTCTTCCCCTATCCATTCCTCCACGTCTAGTAGCATAAATATGCACGTTATCATGGGACGGTAGACGCGCATATCCATGCTACCACAGACCCTACTACAGTCTGGAGCGGCGGGCCCGAAATGCACGCAGCCTCCACTGTCCCTGATTCTGGAGCAGGCTCCTCTCCCACCCGTTTACCAACCTTCACGGTGGACAGCGGGTTGACGGGTGGCGTACTCACGCCAGGTGTCGTCGGCACGGCAGCCCCAGTGCCTGGGACGTAGTCGCTGCCGTAACCTCTGGAGCTTCGTCTGCGCCGACGATTCGACGATCGGCACATTCTCCTGCAGGGTATGGGTCTGCTCAAAGTCGTTCATGGAGCGAATGTTCCTGATCAAATCTCTCACAGCTGATTTCACATGGTCGTGCGGGGCACGACGAGAACGACGTTCTCGAGTCGTTGCGCCTACCTGCACGCCAGAGCGAGACCGTCTATGAGAACAGAAGAGGTCCGCAGCCGCGATTGCCCCGCATTTCCTTTTTTTAAACCCTGGCGCTTTGCCAGGAGTTTCTACAGTTGAGATAGGTACACCTAGAGGGGTATCGTAGTACTATCCACCGTCGGGGACACCATGCAAAGACTCGTCCTCACCCATGCCGAGAAGACTGGCGGTATCCGACGCGTTCAGCGTTCCTTCGTCAGGCGTTTTTCCACCATTCTCGGCTAGCCAGCTGGCATAATCAAATGCCTCGACTGCGTTCCTTAAACCCATACCTATGGCTACAAGAGTCCAACTGTTTCCAAATTGATGGACTACTTATTTCGCGGCTAACCTGCATATCTGCAGGCCGTTCCTCTATCCGCAACCTGAGGACACGCTTAATAACCCGAGCTAGGGAAACAGCGCTCGTGCCGACGTTTTGTTGCCCTGTAGAGCCCGATCCAACTAACACTGTAGTGCAGGGATGTACATAGATACTAAAATATGTACTTTTTCAAATTTCTACTCCCGTGTATTCCTTATATGGAATCTTTGAAGTTGTTCTCTTGTTATACATGTATACTTAGTTTTGTCATTTATTTCAAATCACATTGTCCTAGCACTTTGTATTGATTCTTCTGTTGCTAGTTTTATGTCTCCCTTAGTTTCTCAAATTACTACGATGTTATCAGCATACGCTAAGATTCATACAGATTTTCCGATCTCTATTCCTTTTTTGTATACTTCGAACTACCACTTCCAGTGCAATGCTAAAAAGTGTAGAACAGAGTGAATGTCTTCTAGTATAACTTTGCTTTAGTCAAACTAACACAGCCACCAGGGTTTGACGGCCAGTTATAGAAAGTGTACCGGAAATTTTGTGAAAAATGAGGCACGGTAAGGGATTAAAACCTGCACCCAAGGCATCATAGGGATAAACCTTGCCACTAGGCCACCTTGTGCTTGTGATTCATATCCCGACACATTTTCATTTAGGTTGATAATATGATGTGCGGCTAAAGGAAACACGGTGCCGTGTCAAAACTATGGTTTTGAATTCTTCAGAATATGTTTAAAAAAAAAAAAGTTATTGTTGGTAATATTTATAAAATTACTTCATGACATTGTATTTTTAGTTATTATAATTTCAATAGTTGACTTTAATTGTAAATAGTATAATAAAATATAATTTTTTTATATACGTGGAAAATCAAACTAATTTTTAATTTTTATTCTTTGATGTGTAGTTGAGAAGTTATTAATTTGATTGTGCCTCTTTTTCTTTTTTTGTGTTTGTATATTACACTGATGAACTTCTACCGGACCGATTTTGATTAATGTTACATCAAAAGGTCAAAAAATATATAGTTGGGACTATCATTTTGAAAAATTCTCATAATTGTTTGTAATGAAAAAAAATGACTCAAATATTGAGTTGTTATAAAGTAGTTAATGTTAATATTTTTAGTTTTCATTTTACGATAGCGATTTTAATCACCATGAGATATTAATCTAAAATATATTTCAACTCTACTTTACTGTAATTTACTTTTGATGTATTATAAACAATAACTTTTCTTTTTACTAATACTCTGAAAATAATATTAACGTAAAATTTTGACGGAAATTGAATATTTTATACATTATTCATTTATTAATTATACTAAATATTGTTGCAGATGTTGTTGAGGATAGATTTGATTCATTACTTAAATGTTTGAATAAAGATACACCATTGATAAACAATAATAAAAACGAATCAAATTCAGCAATCTCTAGTTTAAGTAGTAAAACTGATGGTCAGTATTAAAAAATATTAATTAGTGCACTATTGATTAAATATTTTTCTTTTTCAGATGAAGATCAAATTAATTTGTCTCCATTGCCTAATAACAAAAATACTACATTTAATACTACTCCTAGACCAATACCTAAAGAACACCTGAAATGTAATATTTTAAAAGGTATTTGTTAACTATTATTAAACACTCGTACATATTTAAGTATTAATCAATTTAATTATCAAATTATATATTTTTAATTGAAAACCATCTTACTATTTTTATTACACTATACAGTTTAACAAATCCTATTAGATAGAAACTTTTTTTAAATAAAAGGCATCTATGGTCCCAGTTTCTTTTTAGCTTCGATGCGAAGCTGAGAAGGTATTAATTTTACTATGAAGTGGTTTTTTTTTTGTATGGATTAGTAAATTTCTTTTTTATATAGATGCTTGATGTTTTTACTTATCATTTGGTATATTTTTTTTTTGGAAATCTGACCCTTTATCTGCCCACAGGGGGGGGAAATAATATGACTACTTTTTCACATAAAATTAACTTTTTCAACTTGACTTTTGAAAATGTTCTGACAATAAATAAAAGTCTGACACTTTTATATATATCTTAAATTAAAGATAATGTAATATATTTTATTATGAAAAAAAAAAATTTGACCTCTGGACTTGTCTTTGTGGTGAAAATGGCTACCGAATGCTATTTTTGTATGAAAATTCTCGATATTATTTTTTACATTTTTAACTTTATTATGCTATAACTTTTTGAAAAATATATGGATCAATACAATTTTTTTATGAGAAATAATATTTATATACTTTTTTAATTTGACATATTTCTTTTTAAATCGAACCATTTCCTTTAGTACAGGGCGGATTCAAAACATAAAAATGCATATAGAAAGTAAAACTTTTTTAACTTGACTTTTGAAAATGTTCCGAAAAGTCTGACACTTTTATATATATCTTAAATTAAAGATAATATAATATACTTTATTATGAAAAAAAAAAATTTGATCTCTGGACTTGTCTTCGTAGTGAAAATGGCTACCAAATGCTATTTTCGTGTGAAAATTCTTGATTTTATTTTTTACATTTTTAACTTTATAATACTATAACTTATTGAAAAGTGTATGGATCAACACAATTTTTTTATGAGAAATAATATTTTTTAATAATTAATTTTTTAATAATTTAAATATAATAAAATAATTAAAATAATATTTTTTAAAAAATTAATAATAATTTTTAATAATCATTCGACATACTTTATCTTAATCAGAGTATTAATAAGGAACTAGCAGATCATGTATCTTTTGGAATAATTCACCAATTTTTTAAAATTAAACACTATCTAAAGATTTGCATGGAAGCGTTTTTTTTTTATAATGTGATTTTAATCACTGTCATATATCATTATACTTGATACAACTATGCCACGTCAGCACTGTGCCGCGACCCCCCTGTACTGGGTTTTTTTTATATAATTAAAAGTAAGCTCTTTTGAACGAAAACCTCTTAATAAAAAAAAGTTAATTTTGTAGTATTTCTATTGGAAAAAGGTTTCACTGTAGTACTAAAAAATTATGTAATTGCTTACTAATTTAAAGAGAACATATGTTTTCAATAAAACATTTTCAATTTTTGTTTTTCAGCAAAAGTTGAAGAAGAAATGAAAAAATCGCCATTGTCAATGTTTGACCCACTATCTACTAATAAAGTTACCAATTTAGAAGATTCAAATATACTACAAAACGGGTATTAAAGTCATTTTTAAAAGTTTTCCATAAAATATTTGCTATTACATTTCTAAAAAATAATAATAATAATAGTAATAATATTAAAGTGTTTTAATTTACTATTTTTGATTTCAGAGATTCAAAATTATCTAACTGTGGAAAAGAGCAAGCAACTTTTGTTTCTGTTGTAAGTTAACATTAATTTATTTTTAGTTAGATTACTTTATTGTAGTATATGATAAAAGTATTTTATTATGTAGTATAAATTAGATTTTGTGATTTATATATGTAGTTTAAAAATATGTTTTGTGCTTATGCTTGGTATGATTATAAAGGGCGGTGACAAATTGACTCTATCTCTTAATGGTGGTATTGCACAATTAGAAGAACTTAAATTGTCAATCGAAGAACCCAATTTAACTGAAACAACAGTGTTCAATGACGATCGTAAGACATGTACTACCCCAGTTACAGTTACTCATTTTTCTTTTGGAGAATATGGTAAATTAGAACAACGAATTATTTCTCCTGAAAAAAGTCCTACAGATAATTCAACTAACTTCTCATCATTGCCATTTAATGCAGCTTCTCCAACCAGCCCTAGAAATCCATTTTCTGCTAATCCCTTTACAGGCGAATCTTCATCATCAACCACTAATCCATTTTTGACTTCACCATCTAATCCATTTTCCGATAATGTTAAAAAAAATACTGGTATTAGTAATGGTATTGTTGTAACAGTTCTTGATTCAAGTTCAGGTACAAGTGGCAAAACAAATATAGAAACAAAAACAACTCAGTCAAAACAGGTAGATTTTGTTTTTATTTTTTATACAATGTTAAATGTTGCTACAAAATAGTACATCGAGTATTTAAAAATATTTAATTGCTATGTTTTGCTTTGGTAGTACAATTGATTATATAAAATAAATAGTATCAATTTCAAGAATTCTAAGTGTAAAATTTTAATAATATATAAATGTATTATTTAAATTACCAATCTAAAAAAACTATATATATATATATATATGTACAGGATTATCGGTTTATCAAAAACTATTCAATTATTTACTGACTAATGAAATAATAGGGAAAAAAATTAATTGTTATAGTTATGTATATTTCTTGATTTATTAGGTATAAATTACTATTTAGAATCATCCCTTATAACTTATATGTTTCATGTTTATTTTTTCAAATTAACTATTTCATTTAATAGATGATATAATTTAGAAAATGACTAGTTGGTAATAACTTTTGGACTTGTACTTTGGAACTTATTCTTATTTTTACGTCTAGACAGAGGAAGGGCACGGGCGTAAAATTTTTAGTGATAAAAATAGCTGCACCCACTTCTCACCTATTATCAAAACTTTAAATTGTTACTAACTTCTAAAATATTGGTCAAAAAGTTGTTATCAACCAGTCATTTTTTTTAATTAAATCATTATTTAGTAAGGGAGATAATTATGTACGATGCCATTTGAAAAAATAAAGTTGATACCCATAATAGTTACAAGAGATAATTCTAAAAAGTAATTTTATAGCTGATATACATAAAAAAATTTTAATTTTTTACTATCATTGTATTTATTTCGTGAGTAATCAAGTGGTTTATGATAAACCAATCACCTTGTATATATATATGCATACAAAAATAAAATTACTAAAATACCTCTTCATTTATGTTTAAGTATTCAATAACTATTTATACTATACTTATATAATATTTTTTACTCCAATCCATCAAAAATAACAAAAAAGAACATTATTTTGATGGTGTTTTATGTAACAATGTTTCGTTAACTACTATAGAAAAGTATATTTTTCTATCAAAAATAGTTCACATAAAAAAAAAAAAAAAAGATTGAATGTTAATTGTTATGTTTATTTTTCTAATTGTTAATATGTTTAATAGGTACCTTCTAAAGTGAAGCCTTTAAGTCAAATTTCACCATGGTTAGTTACTAGTACAGAATCAACACCAGGTCCAAAAGTAATTACTAGAAAATCAGTAATCACCACTCAACTTTAAATATTTATGAGTTTTGTGTTACAAAATTGGTTTGACTAGAGTTTCTTAAAAAAATAGTGACTATTAAAACTAGAAAATTTTATGTAGCATCTTGAAAAATTATTTTACTATTGTATTGCTAACATTTTTGATCTCTTCATTTTCATTATTTTATTATATTACTTTATCATTTAGATGATATTATTTTACATATAATTGTATAAAGTAACTACAACTAAATTTTAATTATTGATTATTATAGTGTTATTTTTTCTTTCTAACACTTTATTTTAACTTAATATGAACATTTTTTTTTTAAAGAATAGGTGAATATATAATTGAAGTTACTTTTTAAATATTATATTTATGTGTTATGTAATAATTTTTATTATTGTAAATCTTAATGATTTTTACTTGTTATTGTAGCATCACACATTTTAGAATATAATTTATTTGAATTTATTTTTAAATATTTTCAAAATTATGAGTACTTTAATATAATTTACATAAAATTTTATTATATTAATTTAAACTAGTTAAATGTTCATTTCATGTACCTGTAGTTAAAAATTGAGTAATTATTATTTATTTTTAAAAAGCTCAATTTATCTAATAATAAAGTTACTTGCAACTATTCTATCATTTGATCAGTATTGAAGTAGTTTTAGAAATTATATGTGATAGTATCCGTCCAGTTGTAATCATAACCGAATTTTATCCTATATCTATTTTATTAAACTTCATAAACTTATGTAAAATTTTTATGCTCTCTTTTTGATTTTCTTTTATTATTTTGTTTTTTTATTTTATATAATAAGTAAAATATTTAGTAATGAGTAGAAGCAGTCAAATATGAGTTATTGATAATGCTTAAATTAAAAATTTAAATTATGAATCAAATTGTATACTTTTATTATTATTATTATTATTTATAACTGAATAGGACAGAAAAGTAAAAATGATGTATATTATTTATGTACCAGTCAATATTTAAACACAATTATAGTTTTATATTTGTTTCTTTTTTTTTTTTAATTAAAATTTTTTTTATAAAAAAACATACTAAAAAAAATGAATAGATAATTATCACTTTCCAAAATGGTAAAGTACAGTACAATTTTATAGAACAATATTTTCTTGTTTTTTTTTACATGAGATTTTGATTTTTTTGTGAATTTTAAACTAAATATAACAAACTCACTCAAGTTAATTTAATTTAATTGACCATTAAAAATTAACAAACCTTCTTACATTTATTTATTTTACTTATCGAACAATTATTAATTGTATTCTATTTCTAAAAAATTTGTGATAATTTAAAATATATATTATTATTTTTTAAATTTATGTATTAACTACTCATTTAAGTATTTATAATGAATGATTTTTTACCTAAATAAATTTATTTACTTTAAAATCAGTGTGCCATAGTCTTTTACTCTGTGGGTCTAATTAAATAAATTTGTTTTATTATTAATAATAATAGAACAATTATAATTTTATTTTAAAGTACCTAAAAAATTATTTGTATGATATTTTTGTATTAAAAGAAATTATTAAATAATTCTATATATATTATAATTAATAACATAAAGAAAGTACAAATATAAGTAAAATAATAGTTATAAAAATCCAAAATCTGTTTTTAAATTTGCAGTCTTCATTTTATTATGTATAATTAATTTAGTAGTAAAAATATATATAATTTTGTATAATAACTACTAAAAGCGCTTGCCACTGTGAATATTTGAATTTAGAATTGTATTTATATTTATTGAATTTGTTATTTATTGTTTTAATGTTACAATTATTTAACATTAAAATTTATGTCACTTAAACATAAATTATATGCAACTTATGAATTTTTAAATATTTACTATATTTTATAATATTGATTAAGGTTTAGTTATAAATTACTTAATTAAATATTACTTTAAATTATATTTGTTTTTTTTTTTTGAACTAGGGAAAAACTTTGTTTTCTTCTAATGGAGCTATCTCATTTTTTTACAGCATACCCTTCATTTCTAATTTAGAACAAAAATATTGTTAATGACTTCGAAGAGTTAACCTAAGTTGGTGACATCCATCTGAATGGTAAATTGTTAACTCTTAAGAGAGTTTCATAACATGTAAGCACGTTACTAGGACCTACCGTCAAAACCGGTTTTGTTAGTGACACTACTAGCTTGTGCCACCGTACAGTTTTCGTGGTATGTCCCATAATAATATTAATACATTTTTTACGCGTACTATTACAATCGTTACTTATAACTGAGGAATGAATGTGTGCACAGACAATGCTCGCGACGCTGCGGCATTGCTGTTGCTATAATCCACTCTGTAAGCGCCGCGCGGAGGTCTGAGAACACGTGATGGTCGGCGGAGAACAGTGAATGGCATGTAACGTGGTGGGCGTCTTCATGGGTCAACCGTCGGAATCATCACCACTCTAGGTTCCAATTGGTAAAATTAAGAATATCAAAAAAAATAACGAGTTTAACCTATGAGTAATGGGACATTGGGTTTCTTACCGATGACATTGAAATAGACGTGTTTTTCATTTTATTTTTTTAAAATTTTTTTTGTAATTTTTTACTATTACATATTATTTTACTGCGCATTTCAATTACGTAAGCAAATGAACAGCTTATAGGTAGTATAGACGTCACTGTGCGCTCGGCACGGTGAACTACAGAGCAATAAAATATAGAAATATTAATTAGTTTGTTCTTAAACAACTGTTAGTATCGTTCATCATGTTCTAACAATATTTTGCACCGCTAGCAAATTTTTATGAAACGATAATTTTATAATCAAGTTACCGTGTATTTTATTTCTCGACACAAAAATAGGCTTGTGAGTAATACAAATAACTGCCATTACGTTTATAACTCCCACTTATTGCCAATGAACATCCCCGTTTTACAGTAAAATATGTTTAATGTAAAATACAAATACTAAGCAAAGACCTATACCTGGTGTTCTATAAAATATAATTTTTATTTATTTTCTGTTCAAATTCACACAGTACTTGGAGATTTTGCAAACAATGTACGAATGTTTTTATTAATAAAAATAATCATCTACGAGTTTCTTACTGACATATATTAAGTTTCTCCTTGAAAAAAGGATAATTGACGAAAGTAAAATAGTATGTTAGTGTATACGAGTCATATTTGTAAAATAATTTTAACGTTTATATATATGTTTTTTATAAAAACACGATCAGTCACGATAACGTCCAATTTAGCATTTAAAGTTTATTTTGATATGATGTTGTGAGTTAGTTTAGTCTCGTCCGCCGATGAGCGCTGTAGTCGTATTACGTTGTATGTACGGTGATGAGTTGCCGGCATTTCAGGGGATATCCCGAAGTGTTTCCCAACAACACCCCGCCCGCCCCTATCATCATTGTGATCTGAACCAACACGTGTTTATCGGGTACTGCTTGATAGGCGGGCGGAAACGGGCGCCACCGCTGTGCGCAAACCCCGCAACTCCACCTACCTCTAGACCAGACGATAGGAACGTGACCCTCCACCGCACCGCCAGCCAGCGCCTTTCTCGCACGTACAACGTTGTATTATTCTCGAGTCTCGACGGCTACCAGTAGTAAACACTTGTTCAGTACGTGAGCACGCTAGTTACGTCACCAGCGGACTCAGTACTTTTATTTTTATTTGTTTTTATTACTATCTATTTTTTAAATAAATTTTTATTTGAAACGCTTGTTTCTTGAAATCGAAATTTGTCCGTTTTCTACGGTTTAGTTAATTTATGTTACCACGATTATGGAAAAATTTGGCCAACAGGTACATTCTATGTACGAAACGGCAATCTCAATGAGGATCCGGGATCCGGATGTCTTTGGAATGTGAAATAATGCCGCGAAAACGACTGTCGGGGGACCCCCCTGTTCATAAATGTGAGTATGATTAGAATCATTCGAAATAAGCTTATCCGTATATCAATTAATTGAATAAACATCTACATCAGAAGTTAAACATCATTATTGAGATATTAGATTTAAATTGCTATTTTATTGTCTAAACCCAGGTGTTAATATTTTTTCTTTATTGTTTGACGGTTAATTTACATAGAATTATTTGCTACACCATATAACTTTTGTTTTCATATATATGTATTTACGTATGTTTGTATGGATATATATATACGGGGTTGTTTGTGTTTAAATACATCAAAGCTAGTGGGACTCATCAGTTTGTTTTGCATGTTACAATTATCAAAAATTATTATTATTATTATTGACTTGTGTATTGCTATTTTACTGCCGTCGATGTTCTTTCAGTTCCTGTGGTCTATTAATTCTCATAATATCCTTTTGTCGCGGGGATATTGTACGGTTACAGTGGAGTATGCACTGTACGTGGAGAAATGTGCGGATTCCCCTTCTCTCCCGGTGCCCGTCCAACCCACCGGCCGCGCGGTCCCCTCCGCCACCGTCATCGCCTCGTCACGTTCCCCGGTCAAACGGGTCACGAGGAGTCCCCAGCGGAATCCTACTCACAATATTCCCACGTTGCCGCTGTGCGCCTCCTGTATACCGTCGTCGTTGTCGTATTCGGTCGTCCCCCGCGTCTCTGGCCACGTCGGCACCAAGGTTCCCTTTATTGCGTTATTGGCATATCATCGACCCTCCCTGCCTCTTCCTATCGGTGTGAGTGTGTGTATACTTCCTCCCCACCAAGCCGGGGCTTCTACCGCGAGTCCAGTTCTTAATGTTTACAACCTGGTTCCTCGGCACCTGTTTTTGACTCCGCCACCATCTTACCGTCCTTGTTTGTGTGCATATATTATTAAGGCGCGGCACATGTGTTTTCATAACGCAATAATAATTACTGTATCAGGACATTCTAACAAGTGGGTCTGACCTGATGAGTAATAATAACAGTCAACATAGTCTAGTGTATATATGCGATGCATGGAGACGTTTCCTCTGTGTTTTTTATTACGTCACTGCACACATATAAAATTCCAGGAAGACGAAAACGGGAGAAGAAATCATGCAATATGCTGAATATTTATTTTTTTATCCAATTACCATTAATTGTTTTTTCACAATTGAATTCCTAAAAATAATTGATTAATATTTTTCCAGTTTTTTTTTTTTTTTGATTTGATTTTGATAGCGATAAATAGAATTTATAGTTAAAATGTAATAATTAACTGGATAAACAATACAACTTTGAAAAAACGTCCAACGTAATAGGTTATATACATTACTATTTTTGTAATTCACATTATGCATTTTATAATACTTTGGTATGGGTGCAATTTCAAAAAATTTTTCCGAGAGGCTTATTTATATCTAATTTTCTTCTCCATAAAATTACTTTTGAAAAGTAATATACAGTGGTGTTTTGGAGGGTATACACTGCTATACGGCGTATACCCAATAATAATTTTTTAAATTTAATGAACGTATATTCTAAAAAAATAATACATATGTAATTTTTATATTTAAGTGTATACGCCACAAATCATTTTATACCCTAAAATAAAAAAAAAAAATGTTATTTTTGTTTCAAAAATAACACTGATAATAGTTATTCTAACATTTTGGAGAGACTATCAAGACCCTCCCCTAATTTGTTCCTATATACTTCAGTACACTTTGAGGGACTTCAGAATATGATATTAGATGCTAGCATAAGAGTATTTAGGATTTTAAAACTATTATATATCAGTAATCTCTTCGTTTATCAGAATATTAATAATTTTCAAATTAATGATAAAATAATAAATTTAAAAGAGCTGCTCTTCCCTGTGAACCAAATTTTTGAAAACGCAATCCTAATTACGCCATTGTACCGTTTGTTATATAAATTTTAATTAAAACATTTTTACCGTTATGTTTGAATCAAAATAGAAATCAAAATAATTATTACTGTGAAAATTTAGATCTATTTATTAATAATATCGCATGTAAAATTTAATGCTGTTTGCTTCTCGATTCGATAAATATGTTAACTGATAAGTACTTAACATGAATTTTAACATTAAATAATGTATACATTTAGAACCGCGGCGTTATCGGTACCTCTTCTGTTTATTAGTCATTGTAATTGATTAAATATGAAACTCATTGTGGCTTGTAATTAAATAGTATTATCGTTTAGTCAGTTGTGTGAGTTTTAACGTGATGAACGAAATAAAGTGATAATTATAAATAAAATAATGCACCGTATATGTTTATAGCTAGTAATTAAATAGTGATGTTTTTTTTTCAACGTTTAATGTTTAACTAATGCAATCTTTTATAACAACAAACAGAAGTGTCTACTGTTATACGGTACTTATGATTATATTATTAAAATTATTACAAAACTTAACGAATTCCGTTGTTGTGACACACGACCGGTACGTGCAACACCACAATTAAATCTCGATTTGCATTTGGTGTTTGGACTTGAAGAGACAAGACGTGGTGAGACATTATTACGTCCACTGTCCCAGTCGTGTATTTAATAATAATTTATAATACAACACGAATATTATTGTTTATTGACCAATGAATATTTGATCGGTGCTATTAGGTTGGTTATAATTCACTAATTGAATGCTGTTGTTGTTACACATATAAAAGACACATAATAATGATATGGCATTTTTCTCTTGACGTTATTAACCGTGTCTCGTCAAAATTGACCGTCTTACTCGACAGAATATTTATGCTGTTCAAGCTACTATTGCTGCTATGCGGCGGACCGTTTGAATATTATCAAATAATGAGCAAAGTCCGGAGTTGATAAATAGATATTCTTTGAGTAATCATGATGTGTTTTCAAACCGTCTGAGTTATCGTCGTTTCTCGTGTATTGCGACCTTTGACACGGTTAACCGAACACCTCCTTGACAGACTGTCGTGTACCGATTCCTCCTACTTATTCATGTCATACTTCTGTGTACAGTCAAATGCAACGGCCTTGATTCCAATACAATATCATGTCAAGAGTATGTGCGCGCACAGTAGGGTGTTTTCTAAAAAGGTGCGGTGGCCGTATCATGGCTGGACACCGTGTGTACAACGGGTTTGCACCGGATACCTGTGTGTATGTGTATACTACTATACATAAATAATCGTTATTTCAGAAGGGATACATGTCCGTACAAAAATAATATAATAATGTACCAGAGCAACCGGTTTTTGTTATCCGTGGACTGGATGGCGCCAGCCAGGCGGCACGCCTGCAGCAGCGGCGTCAGGCAGGTAAAACGAAATCTGTAGCCGAGACCTGTCTATCGCCGACTCGGCGACTAGAGTCTGGGCAATTTTCAGCAGCGCTCACTCGCACCAGTTTTTTAGCTATTCAAAAAATGATTCCTCATCATAATTTCCAGCCGTACGGTTTGTTACCATCGCCACCTCGCCAACATAGTTGGCACATCTTCTATGATTTTTCTAGACATGGGTAACCTCATTGCGAATTCGATGGGGGCAATGACATTATCCACTTGTAAACACTGTGCTATAGTTTTGAAAACGCTTGTTATCTCCCATAATCTTAGGTGATAAACTTTCAAATAAAACAATTTTATTTTATTTACTCAAATAATATTGTTTTCAACTGTATTGCTCGTCTTAAAAAAAAAATCGACACAATAAATGTAGTTATTTAAGAAAACTTATGCATTAACTTATTGAATAACTGACTATTACAGTCAAATCTTGCGATTTGTTAATTTAACTGATTGTCAATTCTATCGTATCATCACTTATTAGTTAATTATTACTAATTACCGTCATAACCCTTTTAATCCCCGTGATAAACTATTACTAACGTAATATAATATATAATATCATGGGCTACCTTTATTGAAAAAACACTCAGTCCTGACACAGCAATCGTGCGGTGACGTTAATCAAGTATCTGCTGATCACAATTGTTCCCGCCGAAAGCGCACAGAAACGGTTTTGTGTTTTTTACATAATATTTGTTTTAAATATTCATTTTTGTTTCGCAACTACGTCACTCACTCACACATAGCTACTCACATTCTATAACACGCGTATAGTAGCTGATGTAAACATATTGTGTTTAATGTATACGTGCCGCGTTTAGCCGAAGGTTGTTGATCGTTGAAGACTTTCCTGCCGTTGCCACCGACCACTTCACTCGGTAGCGTTATTGTAAGGCGATTGATACACATAACTATTATTCATATGTCGTTTGATTATTAATATTCTTTTTCGATCCGAGACAAAAAAAATCTTCATAGAAAGTAAGAGAACTCATCGAGTGTATGTAATGTTGTGGTTGGTCTAGCCAAACTGGAAAGAGAATGATATCTTTTCGTACTGACTGACTGACTTCGATATTTTTTCAGTTAGAAAACATTCGCAGATCTAACCTTGCTGGAGAAAGTACCCAGCTCATTTTCCTATTATCAATTATAGTATGTATTCAAGTAGCGACGGTTCGTCTATTTGAGACCGAGTAGGTAATGGGTTTTTTATCAGAATATACTGTGAGTAATTTGTTTTGCTCGGAGTGCTTTCGTCATCGCTCGCCGCTCACCAGACGACTCGGCCGTCTGTGGGTAGTACGGGCGACTGGCCATGTGACGGGATGTAAATATAGGACGTTCAGGCGCTAATAATAAAATATAATAGTTTATTTAAGGTTATAGCCAATTAATTATCGTTAAGAAAAGTAATAATAACGTAATAGCCATACAAACAATGAATTCAACTTTTTTTTTTGGCACATTTCTTCCTAGTGATACGTCAATGCGGGTTAAGCGTTTTAAATAATTTGACTGGCGCTTGTCCAAATTTCTTGTATATTATTCGGCTGCAGTTATTTAGGTAAATTATGTGTAAAAATGACATTTTATTTATTTGATTGTTAAAAAAAAAAAAAAACACAAATTAAATATTAAACGCGGATAGCAGTCGTATACCAAACCATAACAAGATGATCATATTATAACGGAGACCTGAATTTGACGATATTTTGTGTTAAACATTTTTAGACTTTACTCGTATCAACAAAACACAACAATGTCTGTCAAATGATTTTCTATACATTTTGAGCAAGTTATTGGTACTTGTGTTTCGACGTTTCGTATTGACTCCATCCGATCAACCGATTTTGTATTGAATTTGTACAAATTGGAAACGTTTTGGTATTTGTTACCAACGCGTAATTGGACATCATTCGTACGAATGTTCAGCGAACAACTACACACATACCGTTGTTAGTTCTTTAAACGTTTTTGCATGCCACGTTTTTCCACAGTCGACTCTTGTCCGGCCGGTTTGGCCGTCACTGGTGTTAAGCACACTTCGTCGCCTCCCCAAGCGTTTTAGCGGTGAAATACCCCGTACAGGTGGCAAACCGGTTCTTTCGGTGCGGTTCGATCGCCTCGCTAGTTGCAGTAGTAAAACAAAAACCACAAATGAAAAAAAAAATACTATAAACCGTTCGTCCTTGCCGACGGTCGACAAAAAGAACCCTCACATCCGTAAGTAGGATGGGGCGTTGCCAAATTAGAGGAAACGTGTTTCCTTGTCGTAGTCTTCGTGTTCTTTTACACATCTCGATAAAATTAATGTTATTGGATCGAGCGAATGAGTAACGTTTCTCTTCTTTTCGACTTCGCTAATATTAGCTTTTGGCCTATTCAAGTTGTGCGCGCGCTCTGCCCACGTATATTACACATGCATCGTATACGTTCTACATTTATTACCGAGCATATGTACGTAGTACACACGACACACAGTCGGTCGAGAGCAGGGACGGCGATTGTAATGATCATCATTATGATTATAAAAATAAATAAATTATTGTTGTGTATAATTCCATTGACCTCGCGCCAGTCGGATACGATAACACGCGCTGACTGAGAATAAAAATTATTTTATTTCCAACATAATTATTATTATTGTTGTTGTTATGGTTGTATTTTTAATTTTGGTCGTTTTGTTTATTACTTTGCAGTAGACGATACCACTGTCGAGATGAGTCCCAGCCACAACGAACACAAAAGTGAGTACTCATTCCATTGTTTTTTACCGTAACCTCTGTGCGCCAAACTTTGCGTGTACAATTTCATTTGATTAAGTCAGTGCCGTTTAAAAATGCGTTTACCGACTATCACACAAACGAAATCCGAAGCTCATTTTTTTTTCTTCAATATGATAGCGTACACTCTTGAATAATCATCTCCTTGAACGCTAATTTAATATTATCAATGTATACCAACCGCTGAGTAATTGTTGTGGACTGTGTCTAGAATTCTTGATATTATTTTCACGGTCAACTACCTACACTTACCAGTTACAAATGGTTTCGTCATTACACATAGATATATGTGTCATCACAAATCGCGATTTCCTCCTACATTCTATATTATGCATTAAATGTTATTTCGTATCACACTCGCACTAGTTGTCCGACTTGAACGATCATTGAAATCGATAGTGTTTTTGAACGTAAGTAAGCCGGTTTGGCCAATGCGTAACTGTCCGAATTGTACACTTAGCATGGAGTTGAGTGTTGAGTTCCATATTAAACTATGTCAACACTTATTAGCAATAACGTTATTACTGACTAAATCGCGTCCAGCTTAAATTTCTTTGGCCTTCAATATTTCAGACGCCTTAGTACACCTAATCTCTGATCTTGTTATAAATAGATTATGTGCTCTGAACCTTCTTACTTTGATACAAAGATTGTTGTACACGTTTGTATTATACCTCGCAACTGTTGATCACAGTTATAACACAAGGGTGACTATGATATCGTCCTTACTTGGCTGATTGGGCGGTTATTTTTGTGCACTAATGCGTAAAAAATAGGGTGAACTTAAAATGTAGCGGTACTCAGACTCAAACGTTGTGTTTCGTCGAAAATTTGAGACGTTTCTTTTATTTTAAATTTTATGTAAATGTTAAATAAAAATCAAAATAAATAAAACTTGGTAAAACTTACCCACTTATAACAATAAAAATACAGTATGTGTTAAGCTTGAGAGTTTAATATTAAAGACTTGAAATCATATTTTTAAATAATTACATATATATGTTATATGTGTTATATATGTTTTTCTTGTGTTCGCAGATATAATGTGTCGTACCGAGAAACCTGCTCCTCCTTCGACTCCGTTGTCGGCAGGCAATTATTTACACAAGAAGTTCAAAAAAGTGGCCACGGCTGACGATTGTTCCGATGCTGCTGTTGCTACTACGCCTGCTGCGTTACCAACAGACGAACATAACGTGGAAGGTGTTTGGAGACACAAGTGTCCTTACTGCAAAACTGTGTGCACCAAGCCCAGCGCTCTTGCCAAACATTTGCAAGTGCATTCCGACGAGCGACCGTTTCCGTGTGAAACGTGTGGCTTTGCATTCAAAACAAAAAGCAATCTTTCAAAACACTGTAAATCTCAGTCGCACACCGAAAGACTCGCCAAAGAAGAACCGGAAGTGGCGAAGCCCAAAATTTACAAACCCAAATTTCGTACTGTTTCGTTGTACACTAAACTGGAAAATAACGCGATTGACAATCCTGAATCACAATTGCCCAACAATACTCCCAAGTATGATTCATCACAACCATTAAACCTATCTGTGACTTCTGTCAAGAAAAGTTCAGAAAGAGATATTCCTCCAGTTGAAAACGGCAAATCTGAATTAAAAGGTGTCTATAAGTTATTGTTGAATCAGATAGTCAAGTGTAACGTGAAGAAATCGCATCTTTTTTGCGAACAGTGTGGCTTAAAGTTTAACAATCTCGAAGACTTGACTAGGCACGTATGCGATAAAAGTCCAACAAAACTTCATAATGCCAAGACAGTCGTCATGCCTCTACCGTCTCCAGGCCCTTTATTGGGTCGAACACCTCTCGTTGAATTCCACCGACCCAAGGAGCCGGATACGCCGACAAAGCCCCCAATGTTTGTTCGTATGGACGACATCGGACAACAGCGTGGTATGCTTACTATTTTGCAAGGTGGAAGAGCTGTACCATTTGTCCCTGGAATACCTGGTCCTCATACAGCTATTCCCCAACAAATGCGGTCTCCCTATGAACTGAAGCAAACCGAACCTCCCCCAGCAAAGAAACCAAAATTAGAAGAAGAATTTGTCATTTCTACTGCGCAACAGGTAACTGCTAATATCAAAATTAAATATGAAATATGTCTTAAGTTTTTTTTTTTTCAATTACTTGGAATTAAGTTGCATATATTATTACTCTATGCTGAACCGCTTTAGGGGGGGAGGATACTGGTTACGAGTACCCTCAATGGCAGGTACTAAAATATAAAGTAATAAAAATTATGGAATGAAGATTTTTTTTTCATGCTCAGAATTAACCAAATGGCATAATTAGTATGTTTAGTTATTTGTATAAAAATATATATATTCAAGTTAACTTAAAAAAAAAAAAATTTTTATTCAGGACTAGTAAGAATTCAGAACTTTTCTTGTTATATATATTGCTTTTAGTTCAGTTTCAGTGTAACTTTGAAAGTTACATTTGTTTGGAGTAAATACTCTCTTTTTTGATATATTTATAAGATAGAATTTTACTATAACTTTATTTTTTAATTTTAGGGGGCTAAAAATGTGAAGACTTCCCCATTGACCATACAAACTTATATTTTAGGTAATCAATTACCTAAAAAAAAGTTAACTTAATTTTATATATATATATATACTAGTCTGTCCTTCCACTATTGAAAAATCCTGGATATGCTAATGTATATATATATATATATATATATATATATATATATATATATATATATTCTTAAATAAGATAGGAAACATATAAATTGTTAACAAAGCATTTTTATTTTTCTAAAATTAAATAAGTATGGCTTAGCAAAATATTACAGAAACAGTTATTTATTATGAAGTTATTTATTTATATAATTACACGGGCAGAAGCCCTTTTTACAATTAATACATATACATAATTAGGTAATCTAACATTGACTAAATTATATGGTATAAATACAAAATTAATTATTTAATGCTAAGTTAAACACAAATTAAATTGAAAAATTAGGGTCTATAAAAACAATTTAAAAAGTAGTTATTTTTACTGTTCAAGGTTTGAGTCAAAGAGAATATTTTAAAAGTATTTTGAAGTGAATACTTTTCAATTTTCACTTCAACCATTTTGATTGAGTGTAAATATTTTTATATATTGTTAAAGAAGATTCATAACTATTAATGCTAAGAAACCTTAAATATTTTTCAAAACTTATTTCTTATTTTGTTTTTGTAGATTACAAATACCTCTGTAACAACTACAACTGTAGTAGCTCAAAAATTTGTACGTCCAACATCATTGGCTTTTAAACCAGGAACTTTTAGTACAAATAGAATGTTGCCTGTGGTTAGTCCAGATACACCCAGACCAAAGAAAAGTTATCAGCAGCTATACTTAAATGGGCATGCATATACATATCTTGGTCTCAAATGCTCTACAAGAGTATTTTACTGTACATTGACTAAATGTCAACCAACATACACTATCCTTCCAGAAGTTAACAACATATCTATGTACTCTAATTGGAAGGTAGTACAAAAAACAATTAAAAGAAAATATAAATTAGTATTTAATTTTTCATAAATTTAGATTTGTTCTGATGTGGGTAATAACATGCTTGGTATACGTGGTATGGATTTCTATGATTCAAGTCAACGAAATCATAGATATACATTAGCTGGAAAATCTCATGACTATTTAGTTGCTCATTCTTCTTACAAGCACCAAAAGACTCCTGAAAAGTCCAACAAAATAGAGATATCATCAGCTGGTAAACTAAAGATATGCCCGGGTGGTTTTGAGTCCAATGAAGATTATGTGTATGTAAGAGGTAGAGGGCGAGGGCGATATGTTTGTGCTGACTGTGGAATTCGTTGTAAAAAACCATCAATGTTAAAAAAGCATATCAGAACCCATACAGATTTGAGGCCTTATACATGTACACAATGTACTTTTAGGTAAAATATTATTATTAATTCATTTAATCACATTACTTAATCTATTAAATTATTGTTTTAGTTTCAAGACCAAGGGTAATCTTACGAAACATATGAAATCAAAAGCTCATTTTAAAAAAGGAGTTGAACAAGACTTAAATCAATCATCATCTGATGAAGTGAAACAGCTAGATTCAGAAGATATGGAAGATTATTCTGAAGATAATTTGGATGAAGATGATGATGTTGATGAAGAGGAAGAAGATGATGATATATTGGATAGACTTAGTTGGCGTAAATCACAGTCTGATTTTGATGCCGCACGTTCTTTATTAAGGCTTTCACAAGTAACTCCTTCTCAAATACCTCAGTCAAATCATGCTAAGGCTGGTATTTTACCATATGACCATAGGCCAGTATCATATCCATATCAATCTCCTTTACCATTAACAGAATCTGAGATGCTAGGAAATAATTTACCTGAGAAACAAATAAGTTTATCTGCACAACCATGTAATTACTCTGCAGTTTCATCAGGTCTTCCTACATCTTCCCCTGACACAATTCCAGCTACCCTTCAATCTAGACCTTCAGATCTCAGGCAGTTTAATTCAGTATCCAATAATAATCAAAAAACAAATGGTAATAAACCTATAGATTTATCGCGTTTTGGAAATAATTTAGAAAGTGATCATGGTAATAAATTACATACAATCATTTCACCTCCAAGAAAGCCTAAAGCATTGTTTAGACAACCAACTACAAATGGTCCATCACAAAAATATACAAGGTTAGTGTAGCATTCATTTTAAAATATTTTAATGTTTTTTTTTACATAATAATTTAATGAAATTTAAATTTAGTATTTTGGAAGATGGGCGAAGTAAATGTATGGTGTGTGATAAAGTGTTCAATAAACCCAGTCAATTACAGTTGCACATTAATATACATTATTTTGAGCAACCATTTCGCTGTGAAACCTGTAAAGAATCATTCCGGACTAAACATCTTCTGCAAAAGCATTTAGATTCTAATTCACACTTAAATAAAGTATAAAAATGATATAAATCTTATGTATATTAAATAAATATATTAATTTATATTTTTTTAATTAGACAAATATGATTACTACCCAAGGGCCAGTTATTAAAAATCCACGACCTTTTGAATGTGCTGATTGCCAAGTTGGTTTTCGAATTCATGGACATTTAGCAAAACACTTACGTTCAAAAATGCATATCCTTAAGTTGGAGTGTCTTGGAAAAATACCATTTGGAACATATGCAGAAATTGAAAGATTGGGACTAAATTTAAATGATATAGACACCACAGATTGTGATAGTGCTCTGAAGAGTTTACAAGCCAGTCAAAAAGCAGTTTAATAGGTAATTAATAATTAAAATGCACTAATGTCTTATTTCATTCTAATTGCAATTAATATAAATAAAATAATTAATTATAATTATTTTGTTTCAGCAAATAAATTCATATTGTTAAAATTGAATTTAATTGATCCTGAGGAGTAAATATTGAGCACTCAATTTATTATAAAAAGACTGATTTCTAGAGTTTTATTTTGTAACATCTAGAAAACTGTGATACTGAGACTTATAATATAACCTTGCAATATTACAGCATGACATAAACAAATGAGCAATTGAAGTGTCCACACATTTTATCCAAAATGTTGTTGTAGTTTTTTGCTCTGTTAAATTATTGTTATATAAAAATGGGTAAAAATTGGAAATGTATGAAAAAAATGTATATGTACATTATTATTATTATACTTTCAACTAAGTTTTAGAGAAAATTAAAGCTTAGTTAATTTATTATTGATGAGGTATTGTACATTTCTATGTAAAATTGATGGAATTGTTTGTTTATTTTGTGTAATTTGTTATATATTGATGTTTCACTTTTATTCAAAATGGAGTAAATGATGTGTTTAAGCTTATAGTTTCTTTTTTTACCTTATGTTTTATCTGCCTATTGCTTATTTTTTCTTTGAAACAATCTCAATAATTGTAGTTTTTAAATCAATAATTTGAGAAGTTATTAATTTATTAACCATATACTGCTATATTTTTGATTATTTCTAAAAAAAAAAAAAATTTTCTTGATACTCTATTTTTCAAAAAGCTATAATATAATTACAAATTCAAATAATATTTTCGAAATATACTACTTGCTTTTTCTTAAGAACCTAATTATGTATTGAAGAATGTTAAATTTTTTTTATAATAGATAAAATAAACTTTAATTTTGGTTCTGGACATACTTATCAAAGTAACAGAGGCCTCATATTTTGGCTTATCAACTTATGCTTTTGATAGGTGGCTAAATTTATCCTTTTTCTTACTTAAAAATCATTGACGATTTATATAAAAATATTCATGAGGGGGTCTTTTTCATTTAATTATCCTTTGGGTTAAATACAAGTATAAGAACATACATTATAATATAATTTAGCATTGTGTTTTAAAAAATAGGTAAAAATAACTATTGAGTAATACAGTTATTATTATGGCTGTATTTTCATTTTTATATTCGTAGAAAACGTTATTTGAAAAAAATGACGTTCTAGACGTAATAATAAATGGAATAGCAGTTACTCCAAAAGTGGTTGTAGGTAAATTTATTTTAACTCTGGTCCAACAAATGATAACAAACTACCAAGTATCTGCATTGATTAGAATCTAGTTGATTACAAAATTCGATAGAGTATACTTTATAAAAAATTTGTTGATAACTCTTATCTTTAATTTGTTTCTTTATTTATAATTCAGTAGTTACAATAGGTAATTTATTTGTTATTTGCGTGCTCTAAAATTTAGAGTCTAAATAATAGTAATAAAAATATGACTAAAAAAAGGCAGGAATTGTTTTTAATTTTAAATAAAATCAATTTTACATTGTTTATAATTTATATTTATTTTAAAAATGTTTATAACTAATTTGTTATTAGTATTTAGGTATAAATTATTTTTTCTTAATAACTTTAAAGTTGAAAAATTAAATCAGCTGATGTTCACATCATTATTTTATTAGCTTCGATGCGAAGCTGAGAAGGTATTAGTTTTACTATGATGTGTTTTTTTATTTTTTATTTTTTTTTGTGTCTGTTACCACTTTTTCTCAGTCTCACCGAACCGATTTCTTTCAATGATACGTCAAAAGATCACAAATAGTGTCTAGTCGGAGACATTACCCTCAAAAATTGCCATAACTTTTTTATATAGATGCATGATATCGTTAATTTAATTTGATATATTTTTTTTATAAATCTGACCCTTTACCTGCCCACGGGGGGGATTTAAAATGACAACTTTTTCCACTTAAATTTTTAAAATATTCCGGAAGTCTGACACTTTTATCTATATCTTAAATTAAAACTAATGTAATATACTTTATTATGGGAAAAAAAAATGTTGGACTTTATTTTGTCTTCACGTTGAAAATGGCTACCGAATGATATTTTTGTGTGAAAATTTTCGATTTTGTATTTTCCATTTTTAACTTTATTATGCTATAACTTTTTGAAAAATGTATGGATCAACACAATTTTTTTATGAGAAATAATATATTTTAATAATCCCTTTTTCATTCGATATACTTTATCTTAATCAGGATATTAATAGGGAAATAGCAGATCATGTACCTTTTGGAATAATCCACCAATTTTTTTTAAAATAAACACAAATGTTGAACTGGTAAGATTCATAGAATGGGATACTGTCTAAGGAGGAGTGGAGGGAGCCCCCCACAAACTTTTCATGGGAAACAAATTATGGAAAATGATACAAGGGCCCAAAATTATTGGCCCCTCCAATAAACATTTTCTGGCTACGTGCCTGGTATCAGATTGTCGGAGTCTACCAGTTGTTCGTAACAATTACTACTTTGTCAAATGTCGGAGCATCATCAGTTCGTGGCAAAGGTGTTTTCTCGGCGATGGTAATACCGTTGTAACAACGTCTTATTTAGTTAAGTAACTTGTCGGCTGATTACATCAGATAGTTTGTACGGGACTTTAATTTGATCTGTTCCTGCGGTCAAAATTTCTACCTTATATAATTTGATTTTAAAGAAAAGTTTATGTTATGAACATATATTAGGAGTAGAAAAAATCATAAATTTAATATTCACTTCCAACATAGGCAATAAGTGACTCCGTGTATCCATTACTTAGTTATTTTATTAAAAACGCATCAAAATTCAGGTATTTTAATAGGTCTTTTCTCCTTGATAGTAGTTTTAGTATGGAATTCCAGTATATACGCCTAAAAATAATATTTTAGACTCAAATAATATTCTTCAATAAGAATATTCTAATTGTAATAATTCTACATAAACCCTCAACTGAAATCTTATTAAAACTATTATTAGTATCTACCAATTGTTTATGTTTAAGAATATTATTTCATAAATCTAATTTATTTAAATTCTGTTTCTAAGATTTTAAAATTCTGGGCTGGAATAAAAACTGCATGGGTCCCGGTGCAATACTTCGAGATAGCTGCCCATCATCAAAATGAAATATCGCTTCCGCGAAAAATTAAATAACATTTTTATTTTAAATTCCATGATAAACTTCTGATAAGATATCTTTTATGTTTTATCAAATTGTAAACCCACAGATAAGAAATCATCCACATCTGCCGGTTTAATGTGGTATAAGCCCACTGGACAATTTTTTTTTTGACACAATGGTCAGCAATGTCAGTGAAAGCTAATTCCACTGTAGTAGTTAACTACTTTAATTAACAATAAATGTATTTTAACCTTTAACGTTACTCTGTTTTCTTATGTAAGATAGAGGAAATTTTGCTTTCTTAGTAAAATTATTTTTAAACTAAAGGATTTTCTCAAATAACCAACTCAACTGTAAAAAGAATATTTGTTTTTAATTGTAGAAAAAGCTAGGTGTGCAGTAAGTAAACGAAGTTTAAGAGGTTATTGAGTTGTATGATAGGCTAGGAACAAAAGAAGTTAATAGACTTGCAAAAGTAAGAGAAAAACAGTGTAAAGATTACCATAACGGAAGGTGTAAAAAACCGATGTTTAGAGGATGCCAACAAGCGATGATGTTGTGAAATAAGGTGGAAACAGTATTTTGAAAAATTACTGAATAAAGAGTATTCAAGAGTGACGTTAGAGAATGTCTAATGGAATGAGGGACTGGTAGATTTAATTAGTGAGAAAGAAGTATGGGACGCTGTGGCATCAATGAAAAAGAATAAAGCAGTAGGACCAGATGAAGTGCGTATGTAAAATGAAGTATGGAAAATATTAGGCGGTATTGGCATAAGGTCGTTGAAGGAACTTTTAAATAAAATCCTATTAGAACGGTTGAAAATGAATGGAGGAATAGTATTGTGGTGTCGATATTTAAAGGTAAAGGTGACATACAGGAGTGTGGAAATTATAGAGGCATAAAGCTTATGAGTCATAGTGTGGAGATTTGAGAATAGGTAACAGATAAGAGAATAAAAAAATGAGACACTGTATGATGGCACTTGTACCAGAGTAAAAAGTTTGGGAAGAGTAACAAAAATAGAAGGAACACAGGAGAAAAATCGATGATCTGGTGGTGGAAATTAAGAATAAGTAGAAGTAAAACAGAGTATATAGAGTACGAGTTTGACAAAGGAGAGTACGAGGTAGGTGAAATGAGGAAATCAGTGACAATAGGCGAGGACGTGACAGTAGAAGTGGAAAGTTTTAAGTATTTAGGATCAGCTGTGCAAAAGAATAGTACACTGAAAAAGAAGTCGTTTATAATATTAATAAACAGCGTTTATTGACCAAAAATGATCAAGTTTATTGATTTTAAGAACTTTTTTATTAATATTACGAACAGGTGATTATTAATATTACGAACTCGCGTTTATCAATATAACAACGACACTTTTTTAAAAAATTCGTTATACCAAAAATTGTGTTCATTTATTTTACAAATCAGTCATTCGTAAGATTAATGAACAAAAATTATTGATATTGCGTAGTTTCGTTGTATCAATTGTAGTGTTCGTTATATGAATAACTGTAGTTATTGATTTATGAACACGGTTTTTATTAAGAAAAACATTTATGATTAACATTCATGTTAAATACAATTGTTCGTTGATATTACGAACCTTTTTGTAATAGTTAAGAAGACTTTTTATCAATATTGTATCGATTACGTAATTTTTTTATATTAATAAAGAGTTCATTGATACAACAATATCAATTGTCATTTGGAAAATACGCTTGTCATTTATACAAAATAAATTAACGGTGTATCAACGCATCAGCTAGCATTACATTTGACCTGTTACTTGTTTGAATACACAACTGTACGGTGTTAAAAAATAAAGAATAAATTCAAATTTTTAGGAGAACTTACTTTGAAAACAAGGTAAGTGACGTTATTATATTTTAAATAATATTTAAACTAAATTGATCTTTTGTTATATTTATTCAACTATTTTTTAAACTTCCGAAGAATTCATTCGTCAATATTCTCTACTGACATTAAAATGATATGTTTCATATGTAAATCGTCTTTTGACCATATTGAAAATCTAATAGTTCATTTAAAAAATTCGCACAAGTTGAATAATTATTCATTCGTTAGATGCAATGATTGTGGCTAAGGTTTTATTCTATTAACAAGATTTAGGAGACATGTCATGAGACATCATCAAAATAATCCAAATAGTTCTCTTAGTAGCAGTAATATTGTTTTAGATTCAAGACATAACAGCAATTGCTATCCTGTTAATTTTTCATTTTTCAGCTTCTTCAAATGTATCAGATATTTCTCAATGTAACACACAGTCGGAAAACTTACCTCACACTTTAATTTTTCCAAAAAAAAAATCTATTATGGTAATTTTTTTTTTTTGTTTTAAGATAATAATAATGTTTTACTAATATAATAATATATCCAGGCAGTAATGAAGTTTGTTAACTCACATATAATTAATTTTTATAGGAGTATTATAGAACTTCTAAACAGGGTAAAATCTATAATAAGTATTACAATTTAGCAACGTCATTTAAAGTTGTATCTGGACCTCTTGGAACAGCAGACAAGAAATCACCTGCCAATTCTGAAAAGTTTAGTAGGCATTCAAAATGCTCAGGTATATTGCAGTTGTAATATTTATATTAATATAAATAATACTTTATTTCTGGAATAGATAAAGTTGAAGCTGTAAAACTTTTAAATAATACTTTTTAGAACCAGAGGTAAATTCAGAGAACTATATAAAAATATTAAAATATGACAATTTAAGTAATGAGGAATTTGACAGAACATGGCAGGCATGTTTTATTCACGCCTTGATTTTATAAAAAAGTATACAATAAAAGATATCTTTGATAAATAACCAGCATATAAAACAGCAAATGGTTACCATTTAGTAAGTTTAAAAATTTTTTTTCATCAAGTGAACAAGAATTTATTATTTTTAAATTTTCAGATTGACATGTACTTTGAGGCTGCTTTTTAAAAAAAAAGTGGCCTTCTAGAAAATTGGGAAAAAAATATTAGTAAATTGTTGTTATTCCTTTCTTTTAATTCTAACGTTAAAGACAAAAATATAAGAAAACTTATTGAAACTATCAGAATGAACAATCAAATATCTGAAAGTAGAAGTAAAAAAAAAATTTGTTGTGTAGTTTTATCAACATTTATGTTACATTGTATTTATTTTTTAGATGGAAGACATGCTGCTATTATTTGGGTATTATTATCATGGGTATTTTGTACCAACTAATAAACTTGTTAGGATTGACCCAAAAACAAAGCAGAAAACAACTATAAAATTCACTATTCGAGATTCACAAGAATCCGTTATTTTTGTTGGATCTACAATTCAAATGGTCGAAGACCATATTGAAAACTTGAAAAAATAATCCAGCCCACTATATTTTGTATTGGAGAAAATATAACATCAATTAATGAGATTTTCCTATATTTGGATGGCATTAGATATATTTTTAAAAGTATCATAAAAGCTCTTGATATTTGTTTTAAATCCATTTATTTATTTGATTTTAAATTTCCGGATGAATCTGTAATATTTTATTCTTTTTTGGAATATTTTTTTTATGATTTTGTTATGAATACTTAACTTAGTTTTATTATTGTCCCACAATTGTAATAACAGATAATCATAAATTGAATTGTAATTGAGGTCGGCCTAAAAGAATGTGTTTATAAAGTATTTTTTGGTGTTGCAAAACTGGAAAGTGGCCGACTGCGACTGTTGTAATTCAGAGCATCGTTAGTCATTTGACAACTATTGTGCGATTACTATTACTTTTATTTTAATAAACTAATTAATTATTCGGCAATACTATTTTATTTTATTCTATTTGTTACTCTCGTAACAATTTTAAAGATAAGCTAAGTTTTCCTAAAGTACATGTATTGGAACAATACTTTAATTATTTAAGTATTGTTCCAATACATGTAATTTAACAACTTAAATTTATACATTAATTAATTGTTAAATTAATATTTATAAAAATTCTTTTATTAATAATTTGATTGTTTAAATTCTTTATATTGATTTGAACTAAATTTTTACTTATAATTAAAATAAATAAATGCGTTGATTATACGTATTTTTTGGTGTTGCAAAACTGGAAAGTGGCCGACTGCGACTGTTGTAATTCAGAGCATCGTTAGTCATTTGACAACTATTGTGCGATTACTATTACTTTTATTTTAATAAACTAATTAATTATTCGGCAATACTATTTTATTTTATTCTATTTGTTACTCTCGTAACAATTTTAAAGATAAGCTAAGTTTTCCTAAAGTACATGTATTGGAACAATACTTTAATTATTTAAGTATTGTTCCAATACATGTAATTTAACAACTTAAATTTATACATTAATTAATTGTTAAATTAATATTTATAAAAATTCTTTTATTAATAATTTGATTGTTTAAATTCTTTATATTGATTTGAACTAAATTTTTACTTATAATTAAAATAAATAAATGCGTTGATTATACAATAAATTGTTAAATAAAGTTTACTGTATATTTTGATGGCATTGGTTTAATACTTTATTGCTTATTTAAAGCTTTTAATTTTGTACTAATAAACAATTTTTTTTTTGTTATCCTGAAAACTTGTAATTTTGGACTTTAACCCCTTTTCTTTATTAATTTTTTTGTATTAAATTCAATTCTTATAAAAATTAATACTATAGTAATACTAGTAATAATAATTATAATTAGAAGTGTAATTTAAAACATTTATAAATATAACGAATACTGTTTATTGATATTAAAATCCTGGTACTTTATATTACAATCGTAGTTATTAATATAACGAATACAGTACCTAAAATCAATTATCCTAGTTGTAATATTTATAAAAAATGGTTTTTATTATAAAAACACCGTTATTGATATCACGTACACAATATTTTAGTATTAAAAACAACAATTATTAATATTACAATTGTTTATCAATATTACGGTAGGTCCGTACGTAATATTAATAATCAATATTTTGTTATATTAATAATGGCGTCATCGGGTTCAAATCAATAATCAAAATTATTTTATTAATGAACTTTTTTTTTAATATTATGTAGTAATTTTTTTCAGTGTAATATTGATGTGGATATAAGAAATAGAATAAAGTGTGAGTCGGTGAAGTGGAGAGAAGCATCTGTTATATTGTGCAAAGAAAGAAATCGGAAGCTATTAAAAGTTATGGAAACTAATGTTAAAGAAGAGGAGGTGGAAGATCAAAATAGAGATGAGGTTGGTTGATGTGAACGGATAAGAGTCGTCGATCTAAGTAATTGGGATTAAGGTGATGAAATAGAATGACAAAATCAATTGTACGAAGAATATTTTTTCAATTTTAATATTTCATAATAGAATTGTCCTAGTTAAAAACAAAAAAGAATTTGTTAATTATTGGTAGATGGATAAACAACTATTTTTATGATTGGATATAATTTAATTAAAAATTAGGATGCACCATTTTGTTTTATTATATCAACTTAGTACAAAAACTCATCACGGTCATGTTTTTTTTTTTTTTTTTGTTATTACCAGTTATTTAATGTATAAATATATTATCTCATTTTTTTTAAGGTGACATGAAAGGTTGTATTTTTAATAAAAAAAAAAAAACAAGTTAAAAGGCCTCTGAACACTGTAGTCTAACAGACAATTAGCAGATGTATCAACTTGCCAAGTCAGCTGCAGATGACACTATCTTAGCAGAACTTCGGTTTGTAACATACAGTGTTAACTACACAAGCATTTAGATGTACAAACTAAATGAGAATAAGTGGTACAACATAAGCACCAAACTTAATGAAATTAAAGGATCCATTGTGAGATAGGACAAACCTGATAATTTCATAAGAGAAAACTGTTAAAATAAGTAAATAATATTATATAAAATATTTCAAAATAGGATACACCCAATATGATTTACTGACATCCAATTACAAAAGAGCCTCCAATTTGCAAGTTACACCATCCTCAACAATGTGGAATTAACACTAATTGAATGCCTAATACATATTATAACAACATAGTTTAGGTTCAGACTCCCAGTTACTATATTAAACATTAAACTTCATTAGGACTTATTTACCATCAATAATATGATAAAAACTTTAAATATGTATCATATAATTTATATATAATGACAACATAAGTTATACAAGCCAATGGCTTAGTTTCCGAAGATTTAGAATATAAAAAAATAAATAATAACAAAAATAACCGTTAATAAGTCTTTCACACCAAGATGATAATTTTACTGAACAGTTAAAACAATTTTTTTCTTCAGTGACAAAAAACAACAAATATATACATATATATTCGTATATATATATAGCCATATAAAAATAGGAACAACAAAGATTGTTGAATTCAAAATCAATTATAAAAACCAAAAATTATTTACAAATCTTATTTCTACAATAGTAATCACTCTAAATATTACAAGAAAAAGATGCCAAGTTTTTTTAACAAGTTATATTATGTATGGTACGTTAAGACTAGTAAAATGTTTTTTTTCTTAATGATGGGAACAATTAAATTAAAGAATTCATTAGAGAGGATAATAAGATAATTTTAAAATAATTAATTACTTCAAAAAGTATTTTTGATCTTCAATAAAATGTTTTTTTTAATGTATTTAAATTTTTTTTTTTTTTTTAATTAGCGCATACGATATTTATTTGATTCAGTGACGTCATTCACATCATTTTTAAAATCAACATCAATCACAAAGTCCAGATCTCTAGTATTACGTTCATTTGGTGACATAGAAAATGTTCCATAAACTTCATCATTTCTTTTCACTGTTAAGTAGTTATCTAAGTAAAATACTGTTTGTTTCCAATGTGTGTAAGGAGCTTCTGGAGCAGTAGAAAAACCAATTCGTTTATGACATTTGCTAAATTCAATAGTGAAATATGTAACAAATGCATGAATGTAGTCTTGACGACGTACTTGAAGATTAAAAGGGGCGGTAAAGGTCAAATCTTCTTTCTTAACAGTATACAAATCAACTTCTTTTAATAAACTTGAATTTGTTACTACCTAAAATATAACACTAATTAGTTTTGCATTATGACAAAAGTTAATAAGATTCTAATTTTTATAGGCATTTGAATATTCACTTGTTTTGGTTCAACACAATCAACTAAAGGTTCACTAATTGCAACATTACGTATGGCACTCATATTAAATCCATAAACATTTTCCCACCAATTTATTTTATCATCTTTATATTGTCTATCTTCAATACCAGTTATAAATAAATTGGCTCTATCTGGGAATAACATACCATCTAAAAAAAAAAAATATCAAGTTAACAATTGAAACTTTAGTTAACTTTAAACAGTATTTTGCTTTTAAAATCATTAAAATTTTTAGTGTACTAAATAAAATATTTAATTAAAATTTAGACCCATTTACCTACAAATCATTTATTTCTTCTTTAACTTTAATTAAATAGTTACTCTAAGATATACATAGAATGGAACACATCTAACAAGAATTTATTTAAAAACCATTTTGCTGATTTTTAAACTTTTTACATTTTTATTTATAAATTACATTAAAACCATAATTGGTATAATTTTTATTAATAAATTAAATAAAAATAACTTTTTAAAATTTTTATAATAACTAGGGGTCAATAACAATTTTAATTGAGTAATTATTAAATTACAAGCATTTAAATTAATGCATAGAGTAGGTAAGTATTAAATTATTGTAATTATCAGTATAGTTGGAGCCACCGACTAGCAACCATCACTTTGAAGACGGACTCTGCAATGAGTCCAAAACATCAGAACTCAACTGTAAAAATGGATACATCCTTAAGCATTTGAAGCAACAAGGCAATCCATAAAAGCATTAACACATTTATAACACTTTAATTGTTCCAAAAGTTAAAAAAGTAGCTCGTGAGATATATTTTACTCTGTATGTTGGTAGAATTTTAACACAGTACTTATTTTTGTCTTATATTACCTTCTTTCAGCCATTTGTCTCTAGCATAAAGTACAGTATCTAACATAGATTCGTAAAACAGACAATAGCCCATCCATTCAGATATAATTATATCTACTTTGGTGATTCCATCGGGTAATTCTATTTCTTCAACCTTCAATTAAAAGTTTTTATAATTGAGTACATGATTATAAAATATAAATACTATAATTAGCTAGAGAATAGAACAGTAAAACTCTTATTTATATTAAAAACTGTGAGATGTACATGCAAGTATATTTAGAAATATAAAAGATACTGAATGCCACTGTTTCACATCAAATTAATTAAGGCCAGAGTTGGAGAAATCACTGAGAACTTTGCCTAGGATAACATGCTCTTTTAGAGACATGGCACAAAAAAGTGATTTAAAAGTTCATTTGATTGTTTGTTGGTTCTGTTGGATTTTGTGATGATAAAATGTCATGTAAACTATAAAGCTGACCCTGTTATTAATGATCAAGCATGATTTGTGAATTTGTGAATTAAGTGAATTTGTGAATTAAGTAAAATATTAATCATATTGTTATAAACATATATTTTAATTAACTAGTCATTTTAAGTTTTACAAATTATAAATCTATAAGAGCAATGATTTTAACACAGACATTTATAATTAATTTTGATAAAAGTAAAAAAAATTATTTAGACAAATTTTATAGTACAAAGATAATGAAAATTGATTCAGCAATAGACTAAGGGAGGAGAAATTACCACTTTTTTTATCCTACTGTTAGACAATGAAATTATACTACAATAAAACAAATGTAAAATTAACTTACTTTTCCTTTAATAATCGTCACAATATGGCTTAAGTTGTTATCAGCAACAATTTGTTTTGCATAATCAACAATATTAGAACATTCAATGCCAAATACTCTAGCAGCTCCAGCTTTAGCAGCAAACATAGACAATATACCAGTTCCACAGCCTATGTCTAACACAATTTTATCCTAAACAAAAAGTGTTGATTTATAAAGATTTCTTTTTATAATATAGTATGTACTAATAAAATTTTTTATTAAATCTATTTCTACCTTAAATAAATGTTTATTATAATACATTGAATTTCTATAGGTGAGTGTCCGAACTTCATCTTTAAGCATTTCTTCATGTATGCCAAAGTGTGCATAAGAATCAAAATAATAATCCATTGATGTCATCTCACCAACAGTAACAGTGCCATTTTTTAAACCATTAGGGATTATTGTAACAGATGATCCACTAGCAATAGTTTCCCCAATGTTATTGTCCATTATAACATCCATAGGATCTATTTTACCATCCTAAAATAATAAAAAAATTTATTTAGGAAATTCACAATTAACAGTAAAAAATATTTTTTCATATAACATTATTGAATTAATAAAACAATTTTAATGGCAAACAGATACTTAACCATTTTAAAAATGTGCAACTTATAATTTAAAATCAGATGTATAAAGACTTTACAATTAAATAATTTTAAAACTTGTAACATATCCATACTTTAAGATAATTTATAATTATTCAAAAGAAAATATAATTATGCAATATTGCACTCGATAGAGTTTAATAATTACTAGTGTCTAAACTTACTAAAATATTTCCAACAGGAGTAGAAATTTGTGACATTTTAAAATTTAAATATGTACTTAACAGCTTAACTAAAATTTATTTTATAATATAAAAGTATTAATTTTATTTTATTTTCTTATTTTACTTTTTTTAAATTAAAAATAACAATAAAGTCTAAAACCACATTAGCCGTTGCTGTTTGGAACAATTACTAATATAGAACAAATGCAAAACAAATGATATTTAACATGAAGTTAGAGACGTATATAAAATAAACCGCATTATTTATTAAGATAAAATTAACCTCAATTTATAAATTTAAATAATAAAAAAAAAATTTATATTTCATAATTTTTTTTTTTCTCTTGTAATATTATTAAGTTTAGTCCAGGTGTATGAGGTTTTTTAATATAAATTGTATTTTAATCAAATAATTTTTATTAATTTTATTTGTATTTTAAAACTATTTAGTGGAAATGTATTTTATATTAGTAAAATACTTGAATATTTGTAGTGCTATCTATCATTAAAGTGTAAACTAGTTAATATTTATCGGCTAGGTTCGCTAGTACTCGTCAGACGTGAATTATTTTGTTTACATATTTCAATCGTGAAACTTAGTTACTATTAATGAGTGTATGTTGGTTGGTGTGCCAAGTAAATTGAGAATTACTAAAGTCAACGTAGTTTTTATACATTTAATCATTTATTAATCATTTAGATACTTTTCGGTATTTAAACTTATTTAGTTGAAATTTTAATTAAATTTTACCGAAATTATTTTGTTCAGTTATGTGCGAAATATTATGAAATAATACAACGAAATGTCATCACAGGATTACGATTTGGTAAGTGTTAACAACGTCCTGTTGAAGGAATGTTTGGGCGGGACGCATTAAAATAGAAGTTTGTGCCAGTTGCATGTTACAATCTACTTGTTAAATTTAATTGACAATTTAGTATTTATTAAAAGTAGGACATATTTTATTTAGTTTGAATATATTATATTAATAGTTTTTATTATAAAAATATGTATTTTTAAAAATATTTTGATGAATGTTACTAATTTTTTATTGTGCATTGTGTAGCTAATTCGAATAAATTTGTGTATTTGATGTCTAATTAGAAATTTAATTTATCTTGTGTTTTAAATAATTGAATGTAATATTTTTAAGTAATTGATTTAATTTCTAATTTTTTATTTAACTTGGATGTAACTGATTGTATTTCATATATTTTATAAATTATCCTTAATAAATAATCCATGTATTTTGTATTTACTTTGGTGGGATATCAAATTTTTATAGTACTTTAATATGTGAATTATCATGGAAAATATTGATAAAATTATTATTTTTAAACATTTTTAGAAACTATCATTAATTATATCATAAATAATGTACCTTGTCATGTAGTAATTTATAAACCAGTTTTAAAAAGTTATATTGATTGTTTTTAAGAAAAAATTATAAAATTCGAGAATTATCAATTGTTTAATTGAAACTTGAATTTTGATGTTAGCAAATCACATTGTCTAAACATTTTTTTTCACTTCTTCTTTATTTTATAAATCTACTATAATAAAGGATTTTAAAATATTAGGTCTTTATAATCCAGAAACTCAATTCAAACTTTTTATTATGTAACATTGTTTTTCTAATATTCTTTTATATCATTTTTATTGAATATAAGTGTATGAATAATAGAAAACAATGTTGGCATTGGTCCAATCATTCTAGTAATAATACTCATTTAATGATTCTCATTGACACTTATGTTGTATTTTAATTTTTAATAGCTGATCAAACCCCCTAAAAAATATATTTACTAATAATTGTTTTAATTACTAAATCATAATTATTTTTAATTATGATTTATACTTTAGTTCTTCATAAGGAAGCACATATACCCCAATAAAAATACATAAATATTTATAGTCTTCTAAATTATATGTTGTAATAAAAGTTATTTATTGTCTAGTACAGTAATTGATTCAAAAAATAATTTATAAGTTTTTGATTATTATTAGTCGCATTTAATTCAAAATTTAATTAATTTTTTGATTATATATTTAAAGAGTTATTATACCAAGTAATTATTTTAATATCCTTTTGTAAGACTATTTACAGTTAAATTAATTAAAAAATATAGATGAATAAAACAATACATTATATATAAGTTATTTATATTAGTAAATAAGAAGCTTTTGTCTTGGTTATTTATGTCACTTAACTATTCCAAAATAGACTTTTAGAAGACTTGTTTTTGTAGATGTTGTTTGGCAAAATGTCAAAAATAAAAAATAAAATACATTATACTTTTTTTGGGCCTGTTATTGTAATTAATTATACAACAAAATTTCAGTGTTTTGAGACTATTAATTTTGGAGCATTTAATGGGTTATGTATATCTAAAAATTATTTAATGAGTAATAGATGTTTTATATTAAGTATTGATAATAATAACGATTTTGGATTGGAATTAGAAGATGGTTATAGATTAAAATCATTATTATTTATTTATTTTAAAAATAAAATTATAATTCAATAATAGTAATATCATATTCCTGTCATTTGAAATTTTAAAAACATTTTTTAAAAAATACTTATTAATAATTTAATATTTCAATGCTTGATGTTAATTAATATATTTATACCATTTCTATATATATATTATGTAATATTGAGCTTGTAATGTAGTATTTTTAAATAGTGTGTGATTTTTTTTTTTAATTATTTTAGCATGGTAGAACAGATTCATACAGAGTTGCTACTGTTCCATCAAACTTTGATGATAATAAAACTTTTGATGGAAAACCAAAAGTAAATTTTGTATACTTATTTTTTTACAATTAGTGTTATTACATTGTTAAACAATAAAATATAATGCTATCCTTTTTTCATTTAGACAAGAAGAAAACCCCCATCTTCTATCAGTACTAAGTATAGTCGTGCTGAAAATCTAGATGAACTAAAACAAGATCCAAACTTAGATTATCATAAAATATCTTTAGATGAATTGTACCAAAGATTTGGAACTCATCCTGAAGCTGTTAGTATACATTTTTGTTATATGAATTTCACATTCATACAAAATTATGATTATGTACTTTTTTTGCATTGAAAATAGGGTTTAACACATGCTAAAGCTCGTGAAAATTTAGAAAGAGATGGTCCTAATACTCTGACACCACCATTAACAACGCCTGAATGGATTAAATTTGCCAAACAAATATTTGGTGGATTTTCTTTATTATTGTGGATTGGAGCCTTATTATGTTTTGTAGCTCATAAAGCTGAAACCAGCACTACTGTAAATTCAAATGATGATTATGTATGTTTTTTTTTAGTATTTATTTGTAACAATAGTAATAAAATGCCTACAAACATGCTAATTTAAAATTTACCATATTTTATTTTATTTATACAATTATTTATTTAAACTAATTGATTATTAACATATAATTTACCTTTTTATAATATGAAATACAGTTATATTTGGGAGTAATATTAGTAGCAGTTGTTATAATCACAGGAATTTTTTCATATTATCAACAAGCTAAGTCTTCGGCAATTGTGAATTCCTTTAGGAACTTAGTTCCACAGGTAAGATAAAATGAAACTATAAAGGTGTGGTTGCTTTATTGTTGCATTCTTTGCTATAGCTTTTTGTAGAAGCTTGGTTGTGGGTATATTTTAATATTATATTTAGTATAGTTTGGCTTGCTTAATTTAGCTTATTTTTTTACTGCAGATGTATTTAGGTTGCAGTATAATTGCTGTTATTGTAGTTACTGGTTATCTGTCTTATTGTCGACAACTTAATCAAGGTGCTGTCATAAAATCTTTTTATGAAACAAATATGCAGGTCTGTCACTTTTTAGCTAGTTTTATTTGAAAATTATGTAAGAAAATAAAATTTTTTTATGTAATACTTAGTTCCATTAACAGGCTATAAAATCAAAATTATTTCAATTTTCGAATTTTTTTTTACAACTAATAAGTTATTTCAACAAAATTATATTTTATTTATGTTAGAATAAAAATTACAAAAACTGAGAATTTTATAAGTTCGCTTTTGAAACTTTTATTAAACTGAAAAATGTGAGTTTAAACTAAAATTAACTAGAAAATAATATAGGTATTAATTTTGGTTTTTAAACTTTTAAAAGTCAAATTTTAAATTCAACTATGGTTTTATAGGGGATCTTATGATATTTTTGGTAGCTGTAATCCTTATTCCAATTTTGATAAAAAAAAAAATACAATATATGTTGACTAACTTACTAGACATGTATGATAAAACTTTCCTTTCCTAGTCCTGATCTTCAATATATGTGGCATTGTAATATTCTAAAAATTTTAATTTTATACAAAAAAGTTAGATAAAATATTTTATTTTACTCCTTTAAAACTGCCAAATTTTTGTAAACATTCAAATATTTAATATTTTATTTAAAAAAAATTGTACAAATATTATTTTTTTTTATCAATTTAGAAGAAAAAATCTTAGTTTGTATTCTTAAAAATTCAAATGCTTTTTATTTTTATATTTTTAATTTGTGTATTTTTGTTTTAATAATTTCATAATCACCTAATATTATTAATTTTATTAGTTTTATAATAATTTTATGTGGCGGTTTTTAAAATAATTTAAACATTTTTGTTTAAATTGGTTATTAAGTTGGCTTTGATTAACTATAAATGAGTTATCCAGTTTTAAAGTGATTTATCAAACGATTTTGTTATTTTTTGACAAATTGTCTTACAAACTAGACATGAAAATGCAAAATTACAAAAAAAAATTTTTTTGGAAATACATTATTATGCAACTGAATGACTCAAATTGTTTGAATATACGCTGGGGTAAATATTTTCTTAAGGCGGTATGGTGTCATAATGAAATATATTGGTTTAAATGTATTTATTAGTGGAATTTATATTATTACTAGTTTGCTGTTGTCATACGTCAAGGAGAAGCTATAACATTACGAGCAGAGGAACTTACTTTAGGAGACATTGTTGAACTAAAATTTGGTGACCGTATTCCAGCTGACTTAAGAATTATTGAAAGCCGTTCATTTAAAGTTGATAATTCATCATTAACTGGGGAATCAGAGCCTCAGAGTCGTACTCCTGAATACACTCATGATGATCCGTTGGAAACCAAAAATTTAGTATTTTCTACTACACATGCAGTTGAAGGTAAGATTTAAGATATATGCAGGTTTATTTTAAATTATTGGTAAGAGCTAGATGATATTTTCAAAAGAAACTGGGTCTGTTAAAATTCTTTAAATTGAGTCATATACTAGAGTAATAATATTATTTGTATTTAATATCTATAATTACTATAAATAATATTTATAGATATATATATATATATATATATATATTTATTAAATATATATCTTATTTTAATATTTAGGAACGGCCAAAGGTGTTGTTATAGCATGTGGAGATAATACAGTTATGGGAAGAATAGCTGGTCTTGCCTCAAGTTTAAAAAGTCGACCAACACCAATTGCTAGAGAAATTATTCGTTTTGTGAATTTTGTTAATCTTACTGCTATAGTCATTGGTTTATTGCTATTTATAATTGCTTTATTGATGGGATGTTATTGGTTAGATGCTATTGTTTTTTTGATAGGTTTGGACTTCACTGTTATTATTATTATTTTAATAGATTTATGATAAAAATCTGAATTATTATATTTTTAGGATTTCTTGTTGCTGCAGTTCCAGAAGGACTTTTGGCAACAGTAACTGTTTGTTTAACTCTTACAGCTAAACGAATGGCATCTAAAAATTGTTTGGTAAAAAATTTAGAGGCAGTGGAAACACTTGGTTCTACATCAACTATTTGTTCTGATAAAACTGGTACTTTAACACAAAATCGTATGACTGTTGCTCATATGTGGTTTGATAACCAAATAATTGAAGCTGATACTACTGAAGATCAATCTGGTGTGCAATATGATCGTTCAAGTCCTGGTTTCAGAGCTTTAGCAAGAATAGCAACTTTATGTAGCCGTGCTGAATTTAAAGCTGGGCAAGATAGTGTACCAATCCTAAAAAAGTTAGTCATTTGATTTGATCAAATATTTAAGTTAATAACAGAAACTATAATTTAATAAATAGATGTATTACATTATATTAAAATCTTAAATTATATTAAAAAATTTACATGAATATTCATATTTTTATGTATTTAGAGAAGTTAATGGTGATGCATCAGAAGCTGCACTTTTGAAGTGCATGACTCTTGCTTTGGGTGATGTTATGACAATTCGGCGAAAAAATCGTAAAGTTTGTGAAATTCCATTTAATTCCACAAATAAATATCAGGTATATGATTGGAATTAAATTTTATCAAATTAAAAAAAATTAAAATGCTAAATTTTATTATTAGGTTTCAATTCATGAAACTGAAGATCCCATAGATTCTAGATATTTGTTAGTTATGAAAGGTGCTCCAGAACGTGTTCTTGATCGTTGTTCTACCATATTTATAGGTGGTAAAGAAAAAGTGCTTGATGAAGATATGCGTGATGCATTTAATAATGCTTATTTAGAGCTGGGTGGTCTTGGTGAACGTGTTCTTGGTTTTTGTGATATGTTATTACCAGCAGACCGTTTTCCTAAAGGTTTCATGTTTGATGTTGATGAACCAAATTTTCCTTTAACTGGTATGCGTTTTGTTGGCTTGATGTCAATGATTGATCCTCCAAGAGCTGCAGTACCAGATGCTGTAGCTAGATGCCGATCAGCTGGAATTAAAATTATTATGGTTACCGGAGATCATCCTATTACTGCTAAAGCTATTGCCAAGTCTGTTGGAATTATATCTGAAGGAAATGAAACAGTTGAAGATATTGCTCAACGGTTGAACATTCCTGTATCTGAAGTTAATCCAAGAGATGCTAATGCTGCTGTTGTTCATGGCTCTGAATTATTAGATTTGCCGCCTGAAGTTTTAGATGAAATATTAAGGTATATTCTATATTTACTTATTATACATTGTTTATTATTAACTAAATGAACTAATATTGTATAAAATACAGTACCTTTCTATATTATTAGACCCAAACTATAAATAACAATGTCCCGAAAATAAAGTTTCAATGAAAACTGTAGAGTAACTGTAATAGAGTTTTGGTTTTTCTCATTGTTTGTAACAATTGAAATTTTTCTTTTTGACACATACTGTATAATTTTATATGTATTCTTTTTTATTAGGCAAGTCTTTATGACTATACTAAATGGTTTGGTAGATATTTTGGATACAATTTACAACCATAAAGCCAAAGATCATAGAGATGATCTTTCAGTAATAGGTTTCTTTTACATGTGCAGTAATTTGAATTATAATTTTTCAGAAAAAAGCTTAATTAAAATATTTTTTAGAAACTCTTAAAATTGTATAAACAAGGTTTAAAACTAGTAACAACATCTATTACTATTAGTAATATATTGATATATGAATTGTATTATTTTGAAATTTCTTTACAAAAACTTTTGAAGAATAAAAACTTGTGTGACAGCTTGATATAACAATCAAACTTTTGCAAGAGTTCAATTATGGTTCTCATATAAAACATAAAATCAATTTAATTTATATTTTAATCATTATGCAAAGGATATTTTAATTAAATCATAATAGATGTATTGGTTTAAAAAATATTTTTTGCAAAAAAAAAACCTAATAATACTATCTATCACTGTAGTAAGATTTTGTCTAATTAGATCTAATCAGAAAACTTTTTATTCATATTATAGTAATTTTTTATTATTACATCAAGTCAACAAATTTGAAAGTGATTTTAGGATACTACACAAATTTATTTGTCAAATTGAAATACCAAATGATTTTCTATTTCAATGGAAATTAGTATTAATATGACCTAGCATTTCCAAAAAATCTACTAAGTCATTTATTTTATTCATATATAATTGATTTGTATGCCTGATAAATAAAATTAAGTGAACAAAATTGCTATATTATTATTTTTTATTTGGGTCTAATAACATAGCAAGATACTGTAATATAATATTCATTGTGTAATATAGATATCATAAAGAAATAGTATTTGCAAGAACATCCCCTCAACAAAAATTATCAATCGTTGAAGGCTGTCAGAGAATTGGTGGAGTGGTAGCTGTAACTGGTGATGGTGTAAATGACTCTCCAGCTCTTAAAAAATCTGATATTGGTAATAATATTAGCATTACTTATAACTGTGGCGTATCCAGTGGGAGGGCTCCCAAAATTTCAGGCAATGTTATTAAATAATATAAAGTATATAGATATATTCTTAGCATATAAATGTAATATAAGATATAAAAGGTAGTATTGCGTTTGCATATATATACTGTTGACAAACACTAGTGGCCGTTCTCCTATCCACCCCCAGCCCAAAATGTCCAATGTTGTGTAGTAGTCTATGTCATCAAAACACAAACTGTATACAATGTCATGCCTATTTATATTGACATTACAATTTTCACATCATTATCATTATTATTATGTAATTATAATTAATAATGGTAATTTTTGTGGTCTTTTGAGACATCAAGCACAACATGGAGATAAAAAAAAATATTTAGAAACTTGTTCCAATGCAATGTACACAAGTCTATTTATCCAAAATGAAATCATTAACATTTTTGGAAAACTTGTTCTATTGGACATAATTTTAAAAAATTTCAAATTCAGATTATTTTTCTGTTCTTGCTGATGAAACAACAAATATTGCTCAAATAGAACAATTTTCAAACCGTATACAATATAGAGACAAAGAGTTGACAGTTATTCGAGACTATTTTCCTTTTTTTGTACCAGTTCATAATGTAACTGGTTTGTTTTGCCACCATCTTACAAAGTACATTAAAAGAACTTGGTTTGGACTTAAATAATTATTTGGACAAGGTTACAATGGGGCTGCTACTATATCTGGTAACTTTTGTGGTGTTCAAGCAATAATAAAAGAGAGTTGCCCAAAAATTTTTTATAATCACTTTGTTTCTCAATCTTTGAATCTTTGCTGATCTGATGCTGCCATGACACAAGCTATTCGTAATTTGTTTAGTATTATTTCTGATTTTTGTGCTTTTTTCCATTTGGTAAAGAGAATTAAAAAAAATAAAATAATAAAATAAAAAAAATGAAATTAATGAGATACTACTTAAAGCTCAATTGTATAAAGCAAAGTCTTTATGCAAAACTCTATGATTTTTATAACATGAGGCAGTAATGCTGTTAATGAATTTTTAGAACTTATTGTTTAACAAATAGAATGTGATTCTTCAAACAGAACAACTAGTATATTCTGTCTACATATCATGTAAATTGTTAATTATACTTATAATTTATCAGAATACTTGCAAAGTAAAAATATTGATCTTGTAAATACTTTTAATAGAGTGAGTCAGGTAACAATTCAAATTAAGTTTTAAGAGAAAATGCAACTGATAAATTTAATCACATTTATGAAAAAAATTAATTTAGGAGGTTTATTAAATATTAATATAATTTGTAAAATAAACCACAAAAATGTAACTTTTCAAAATACTCAAAAATTTTATAGGAGAACAGTTTTTATACCTCACTTAGATGATATACTTTCATCATTAAATGAATGTTTTTATCACTTAAAGAAATAATAAATTCTCTACAATATGTTTTACTAAATATGATTGTAGATAAACCATATTCAAGCCTTAAATTATTTATTTATTTTAATCACTTATTTTGCAGTTATTATATATATATATATTGTGAATGTAATGTATAACTAATCAGTCTCCATCAAAATTATTCTTGGATACACATCTGCTTTGAATTATTTTTATATAATTTTCTTAAAAATTATAATATTTTATTATTGATGACATCGCTTTCTGCGCAGAAACAGAAAATGACTTGCAAAATATTTTAACTAAGGTCAATAAAATATTATGGAACAAATATGGAATGCGATTAAATAAAAAAAAGACAAAGGTTATGGCGTGCAGCAAGACAAACCCTTCTCAACTTAATATATACATAGATAACGCACGCATAGAACAAGTCCAACACTTAAATTACTTAGGAAGTAAAATAATGGAAGATGGCCGTTGTAAAGATGAAATTCTAAGTAGAATAGCGCAAGCGAAGAGGGCTTTCCAGAATAAAAAACACCTACTGAACACCAATAGTATGGACTTAGAGGTAAGGAAAAGGTTCTTAAAAAAATATATATGGAGTATTGCCTTATATAGCTGTGAAACCTGGACAATCAGTGCAATAGAGAAAAGAAAACTAGAGGCCTTCGAATTGTGGTGTTATCGTAAAATGTTAAGAATTAAATGGATTGATAGAATAACGAATGAAGCAGTATTAAATAGAATAAAAGAAAAGAAAATACTATGGCATACCATAAAAGTTAGAAGAGCTTAAATGATAAGACATCTACTACGCCATGAGAGTATAACAAAAACCGTCATAGAAGGCGACGTTAAAGGCCATATAGGAAGAGGAAGACCAAGGATGGAGTATATGAAGCAAATAATAAGTGACATGGGGAAGAATAGTTATAAAGAACTAAAGGAATTGAGTAATGATAGGGAAGAATGGAGAACTGCAGCAAACCAATCTAAGGATTGAAGACTGAAAAGAAGAATATTTTATTATTACAATGTCTATATATTTAAAGTCAAATTGGACAATATTGTTCAATTAATACTTACTATGTTTTTAGTTTAAAAACATAAATGCCAATATTTTTTTACATATTTTAAAAACAATTCATAAATAATATAAAATATTATTTTTTATAAGCTTTTTAGCCACTATAAAAGAGGTTTATAACATTTTATACTCCTAGGCAGGTAATTAAATCATTACCAAAGTGAATTCTGGATAACTGCAATCATTGAGTTGATTTTTTACTCAACAAATGAAGCCATCTATAATCAAATCATAAATCCTAAATAGTTGAACCAAATGATCCAATTATATTTTCTCTTTTCTAGGATTACTTCTCCAATTTTTTTAAATGTTTATTTTATGTTCAAATTATATTATTATATAATTATGCATTATATAATCTATTAAATGATAAATTATTAATATTAAATAAATTCATAACATCAATTTTAACATTTAATATAAAATTTAATAAAGGATTGTCAGAAATAATTTAAGTCAAACTTTCTTGAAAATTTCAGTCTGTTTTTTTTTATCTTTATAACTATAGAATAATCAATATTTTTTTATAATCTAAATACAGTGTTTTATTATTAAAAATATACTTAGTATAATTTTTACATTCATATATTGCACTCATTTATTTAACAGGTGTTGCAATGGGTATTTCTGGATCAGATGTCTCAAAAGAAGCTGCTGATATGATACTTTTAGATGACAATTTTGCAAGCATTGTAACTGGTATTGAAGAAGGGCGCTTAGTATTTGACAATCTTAAAAAATCGATTGCATATACTCTAACATCCAACACTCCACAATTACTACCATTTATTGTTTTCATAATGTTAAGAATACCTTTACCCATTGGAGCAATTGCAATATTATGTATTGACCTTGGTACTGACATGGTAAGAAAAACTTTTTCATTATTTATTGATATTATTTTATAAGGTTCTTTAATTAAAATTCAACTTGGGTTATATTGTTTGTTTTAAAAAAATAGTAAGATGAGATAGGGTAAGTGTGTCTGCTTGATATTTGAACTCAGTAACATTTATAATTATTTAGAAGAAATGTTTTCAAAGCGTTATGTTATCCACTTTTTGTTATGATACATGCTCAAATACTGACTTTTTGATGTGATTGATTTCATGTGACTGAATGATTAACTATGTTTGCTATATTTTTTATTTTAACTATTAAATAATATAATAATTTATTTAAATTCAATTTCACACTAGCTCCAGTACATTTGTTTATCTGAATAAGTGTGATATTAGTTGTGTAAATCTAATGAAGTATATCAAAATTTGGATTATTTGAGAACTAATAATTTATTTTTGTCTGCTAACCTAATCAACAAAAATGTCAATTAATCAGTCGTACATTAAACTTGAATGATTGATATTGATATTAAAAAAAAGTATATTACTCTTAAATTAATTAATTGCCTATTTTTTTATAATTGTGTCAAATAAATATATTATCGTGTAAAATACTTCATCTACTTAAATAATTAAATATATTACTATTACGTAGAAACAAAGTTTAATTTATAGAATCGGCAAACTATAAAAAGAAAGTAGTACACCTACCTCCTTTTTATTGTTATAGTTTTTTATTTTAACAAGTACTGGAAAATTTAACATTTTAATATAAAATCATTAAATTTAAACAAAAAAAGCACACACACTTGCCTCATTTCACTTTAATTAGTATGTTTTAGGTTGACCTAAAATCATTTTAGACAATTAATTTTTACATTATCATATGAATTTACATTGTAATAATAATGCATGAATATTCCTTCTCTAGAGAGTTATATTTGAATATCATAAATAAATATAATATTTTACTAATATACATATTAAACAAAAATAGTGATTAAAATCACTATCATAAGAAACGCTTTGATGCAAATCTGTAAATAGCGTTTAATTATAGGAAATTGGTGGATTATTCCAAAAGAAAAATTAACTCCTATTTTTTGTTCAACTTCGACTGCCATTTGCACATAGTAGATAGGCTGTCAAATTTCTTTTTTTTATAAATCAGACTGTTTCCCTTTATACGAGGGGGGGTTAAATTTTTTAAAATACAAGTAAAATGTAGACAAATTTTTCAACATAACTTTTTAAAATGTTCCGGAAATACTCCAAACTTCAAATATATTTCAAATTAAAACTTACATTATGTACTATAAGTTCAAAAAAAAAAAATTGTCCCTACACCTTTTCTTCTGTAGGCAGATGCCCGTCGAATTTAACGAAAAATGTAATTTTTATGTAAAAATCACTGTTTAACATGAAATGTTTTAATATTTAAAATTGCCATTAATTGTTGAAAAATGAACAATTTAAAATAATTCTTTTAGCTTCGATGCGAAGCGGCGAAGGTATTAATTTTACTATGATGTGTTTTTTTTTTTATGTCTGTTGCCACTTTTTCTCAGCTCTCACTGAACCGATTTCTTTCAAAAATACGTCAAAAGATCACAAATCGTATCTAGTTGAAGACATTACCCTTAAAAATTGAAAAAAATTCCCTCGTTCCCCGCAAATGGGGGAAATATCCAAAAAAATTACAAATTTAAAAATCGCTAATTTTCGAAATTTTTTCACTTTTTTTTCTTAAAACTTCCATAACTTTTTGAAAAATCAACAAATCAACATAATTTTTTTTTATACTAAAACCTTAGATATTTACCTTTCATTTGATATCATTTTTTTGAAAATCTATCACTTAACCTGCTCATTGGGGGGGATTTAAAATGGCAACTTTTTTACAAAAATTAATTTTTTCAACTTAATTTTTGAAAATGTTCCGGAAAGACTGCGTCCTTTAAACATATATCAAATTAAAGCTTATTTTATGTACTACAAAATGAAAAAAAAAAATTTGTCCCGACACTTTTTTTTCTACATTTAAACGGCTGCCGTAGTTAAAAAAACACTATTTTTGTGTTAAAATTTTCGATTTTCGATTTTAAATTTTCAACTTAAAAATGCTATAACTTTTTGAAAAATGTATATATCAGCACAAATTTTTTTTTTCTAAATACATTATAAGTACATCTTTCATTTGACATACTTTTTATTAAAATTGGACAATTTCCCCTTATATAGGGGGCGTTCAAAACTTAAAATATTGTAAAAAACATAGATCTTTTTCAACTGAACTTTTGAAAATGTTCCGGAAATACTGCGTCCTTTAAACATATATCAAATCAAAGGTTATGTTATATACTATCAAATGAAAAAAAAAAATTTGTCCCGACATCTTATCTTCTATGTGCAAATGGCTGTCGAAAATTTAAAAAAAAATGTAATGTTTGCGATAAAAATTACATTTTATCGGGATGTTTTTTGTACTTAAAACTGCCATAACTTTTTCAAAAATGAACAAATAAAAATAATATTTTTTTGTATTGAAACCTTAGATATTTCCCTTTCATTTGATATAATTTTTTTTGAAAATCTAACACTTATTCTGCTCACTGGGAGGATTTAAAATAGTAACTTTTTTACAAAAAATAACTTTTTCAACTTAATTTTTGAAAATGTTCCGGAAATACTGCGTCCTTTAAACATATATAAAATTAAAGCTTATTTTATGTACTACAAAATGAAAAAAAAAAATTTGTCCCGACGATCTATCTTCTATACGCAAATGGCTACCATATTGAAAAATATACTATTTTTGTATGATAATTATGGGTTTTGTATTTTATTTTAATAGAAGTTGATGTTGCTTTTGCAATTATCCATCAATTTTTTAAAATTAAACACTCTACAGATTTGCATCGAAGCGTTTCTTATGATAGTGATTTTAATCACTGTCAGATTAAATCTATACTGGACCCTACTATGCAATGTCGTAGTAATGCTATATACTATGCCGCGACCCCACTGTGCTACCGTTTTTATATTGAAACCTTAGGTATTTCCCTTTTTTTTGAAAATCTGACCCTTTACTTGCTCACAGGGGGGATTTAAAATAGCAACATCTGCACAAAAATTTTATTTTTTCAACTTCAGTTTTGAAAATGTTCCGGAAATACAGTTTCAAACATGTTAAAATAAAGCTAATGTTATGTACTATAAGTTCAAAAAAAAGAATTTGTCCCAACAACTTATCTTCTATGTGAAATGGTTGCTGTAGTTAAAAAACCATGCTATTTTTGTGTTAAAATTTTTGGTATTATATTTTAATTTATTTTAAAATACCTTATAAGGGGTACACAGATTTTCATTAATATAATATAAATCTAATTGACATAGAATAAAATGTTAAACTTATTTCAATTTATTGAATGTACGTTTCGTGATTCACTAAAAACCATTGCCTATGGCAATGATTTTTTTTTTTGTATTTTTTTCCATAATTTTTTTTTAGTTAGAATTTTGCTTTTCAATAATCCAATAATTTCTTAAAATTAAACACTATCTACAGATTTGCATAGAAGCGTTTCTTATGATAGTGATTTTAATCACTGTCAGATATCATTAATACTAGTCCCAACTATGCCACGCTCACACTGTGTCAAGATCCTACTGTGTTACCGTTTTTATATTATTATATTATTTGTTAACATATCTTTAGTATAAAAAAAAACATTAATTAACTTCAATTTAAATTATAAGTCATATCCTATAGTATTCTATAATATATCAATATTCAGAAATATTCTGTGCCTAGTTTCATCTATGATTCTGTTCACTATTGTGTTATTGAATTTAATTTTAACCTATATTTTTTTGGTTATTTTATTTTATATGTCAATACTTGTTTTGAATTAATTATTAATAATATCAAAAATTAGTGATGATAGAAAAAATTTAATTGCTGATTATAAATTAGCACAAAAAATTGAGTAATAAAAGTATATTTTTGACTCTGATGAAAATTATTTGTATTAAGCCCTTTAATATTTATACACGTTTGTCATAAAAGTAACAACTATTTTATCATTTCTTCATAAAAATTACAATACTAAATTATTAAATATCAATTTCATAATATATTTAATTTCTTTAATAGATATTTAATAATATATTATACTTCTAAATAAAAAAATTACTAATCAGGAATAATAAAGAAAATAGGAATTCATTTTGCTTTGGAATCCACCAATTTCATTATATATATATAGAAAGGTAAATAATACATACACACCTTTATATTAAAAAAAAATTCCATGTTCTCATTATATTTTTCCTTGAATTTTAAATTTATAATTTAGTTTTAAATGTTTTGACTACATTACATTTCACGCGTTTAGAAAAAAAAATCAAATTTTATAATACTCTGAACATTAATAAGTGTATTAACATCTATGAAATTGATGTATGTAAAATTTATAGTACTTAACCCAAGTGTTAATTCAACATTTGTTTAAAAGACACAGTATTTCTGGAACATTTTCAAAAGTTAAATTGAATTTTGTAAAAAAGTTGCTATTTTAAATCCCCCCTTGTGAGTAGGTCAGTGTTATATTTTCAAAAAAATTATATCTAATAAAAAGGAAATACATAAGGTTTTAATATAAAAAAAAAATTAGTTTGATTTGTAATTATATTATTCAATAAGTTATGGCAGTTTTAAGAAAAAATGGTGAAAATTTACAGATTTAAAAATTTTTAAGTTTTTGGGCGTTTTGCGCCATTTTTTCTATTTTCAAGAGCAATGTCTTTAACTAAATACAATTTGTGATATTTTGACGTATCATTGAAAGAAAACAGACAAGTGAGAGCTCAGAAAAAGTGGTGACAGATATAAAAAAAAACACATCATAGTAAAATTATATCTTCTCGTCTTCACATCAAAGCTAAAACATATATTTACAAAACTATTAAAAAAACATTTTATATTAAATATATTGTGCAGCAATTCACTCATAAAGGTGTACAGAATTAAATATGCAGTTGAGATCAGAAACAATGCCTTAATATTTGAACAATGTATTTATACATAAACATAATTTGAGGATGATTTTTTATAGAAAGAAGGGCTCTTTTTCCTAAACTATCAATAAAAAAATTATATGCATTATTATGTACAAATTCTATAATACTTTTTAATAATTTGTGGGTAAGCCTAGGCAATGTTGTCTTGTTATGTGCACACATACATGAACATATTCAAATATAAATTATTATTTTTTTAATTTTAATTTAGTGTAATTAGTTAGAATTGGCTTTTTGTATTTAGGTTCCAGCAATATCATTGGGATATGAACATCCAGAATCCAATATTATGAAACGGCCTCCTAGAAATTTAACAAAAGATAAACTTGTTAATAACAGGTGAACGTCTATTCAGTAATTGCTCAGGATTCATTTTATAATTTGCTTGTTATAGCTTTGCCTAATAATTTCCTTGATATTTTTTATATTAGCTTGACTTTATATAATATTAGTAATTTTGATTAGTAATTAGCTATCTATAACACTGCTAATAATTTCTACATTAATTTAAAATTAATCATTGTAATTTAAGTAATAATTAACAAAAAAAAGTTTGGTTTTATTATTTTGGGGTGCTTAGCTTCTGGGCATTTCTTTGGCATTTGAGACAAGAAAATCAAACTTGATGAAAACATGTCCATCAATTAAAAATCCTATATTTAATGTCAGGTAAACCAAAAAATCTTTACAATTTTCTTCTATTAGCAAGCTTGGCAAGTAGTGTTTATTATAAAACTAAATCTATTTTCAGTTTAATTTGATTTTTTAACCATGCTAATTAATTAAAATTGACTTTTTAAGATTGATGTGTTTAGCATCTTTACAACTTGGAGTCATTGAAGCTTTTGCTGGGTTTTTCACATATTTTGTGATTATGGCTGAGAATGGATTTAAGCCTTTTTATCTAATAGGAATACGTAGTCAATGGGATTCTAGAGCTGTAAATGATTTACCGGATTCCTACAATCAAGAATGGGTAAAATTAAAAAAATTTATATAAACCTTTTTTATAATATTTATTTTCCTGCAGACCTATCAAGATCGTAAAGCATTAGAATATACATGTCATACTGGGTTTTTTATAGCAATTGTAGTAGTACAATGGGCTAATTTAATTGTATGTAAAACAAGAAGAAATTCAATTGCACAACAAGGAATGAAGTAATTTCAAATATGAAGTTTGTTGATTATATATTTCTTAAATAAATGTCTTTGTGTTACAGAAATATGGCTCTAAATTTCAGTCTTGTATTTACAACAATTCTTGCATTATTCCTGTGCTATTTACCAGGGATGGCTGAAGCTTTACGAATGTATCCATTAAAGTAATACATTTTTATTAAAATTAAATTAATAATATAATTTTTTTTAATTGTCTAAAAATATTTTACTTAAAAGTATGTATTAAAAAATTTCTAATAATTTCTTAAAAAATTTTAAACATTTTAGGTTATTAAAAGTTTTTTTAACTATTGTATATGTGTGTGTGTTTGTGTGTGTATATATAAACTGGTAATTGATTAATCATTGACTACAAGATTTCTTCTAAAATAATATTAATATAATGAATATATATATATTGGTTTTATTGAATAGTATTTATTTCTAAATTTTAAAGTGGTTCATTATTGTTGAATTCCATAACTAAAGAGATACCTTTATTCCTTATAAAGAAGTCTACTTATTTATTTTAGTGAAAAATTACATATTTAACTAGTTATGAATATTTGTATGATTATATTATTTTTTTCTACAAGAGATTTTTTATGATTTAAATAACATAACCCACACTTAGCTACCAGTCTATATATTAATGTGTTAACAACTTCCAAAATAATGCTACATAAGTTGTAATCAACCAATCATTTTTTTGGCTGTATCTTTTTTATTAAATTGACTATTTGCAGACTGATTGTCATTGGTGGTAGGGCTGATACGACTCCGGGTTGGTTGGAGCACTTGCCGGATCCGGGTCCTAAAGGACAAGGGACTGTGCTGCTACAGGTGCCTCGAGAGAGAGCATGTGCAGACGGCCTGTGTAGCGGTCCCAACCGGACCATTGAATGTTTCTCATGCAGAGCAGAGGGCCATCGGGCTAGGGACTACACCAGATAGGTGGGAGGGCCGGAGAAGTCCGCCTAGGGTATCTCCTGCCCTCTTCGTGTTTCCATGTTTACTTTGTGTTTTTGTGAATTATATGCAAACCCACAGCAAAGTCCTACCCCCACCTCCACGTTGTGCGACCTAAGCAATGGATCCCACTCTGGGATTGAAATATTGTTTATGCCAATAAGCCAGCAAACAGTTGATACGAACTAGTTAAACATGAATGTTATTATTTTACAATAAGTTGGCACCCTTATAAAAGTTAAAGAATAGATCATAAAATAATTAATAACAAATCGAGAAATAATTAGTACTTAACAAAATACAAAAATTTATTTGTGTAAAGTCATAAATTAGCTGTTATAATGTAATTTAATTATTATATTTAAATTGAATTTACTAATTTAGATGGACTTGGTGGATTCCTCCAATACCATTTATGATGACCTTGTTTATATATGATGAAATAAGAAAATTTTACATAAGACGCAATCCAGGTGGATGGTTAGAACGAGAAACTTATTATTAAATAATAAATAATTCATTATACTCAATTGTATGTATGAATTGTAGATTTAAAATGAATTAGCCATTTAGTAACTTTTCATTATCTCAGCCTTTTTAATACTGATTCACTTTTTTTTTATATATTTAGCATGTTTTAATATTAAATAGATCAAACTATTGTCTGATTCTTCTTTATTTGATTATTAGCCTACTATAAGAATCAGCACAATTGAACAAATTTCCTTAAACAGGGTTACTGTTAGTAACAAAAGTATAATTTTACTTTTTGGACTATTTATTGTCTATTTATTATGTAATTTAAATGACTTGAAATTACTTTAATTATAACTTTTCTATTGAGTACAAAGAAAAGTTTGTTATATTTTTAAGTTTGTTTTCTAAACTTAATTTTAATTTAATTTTTTTAATTCAGTGTAATCAGTATGTTGTAATGATGTCCAATATATTTCATTTTGTTTACTATAAGATTAAATTTTATAAAAATTATAATTTTGACATAAATTTTAAAGTGTTAAACTGCAATATTTATTTTTGAAATTTTTTCCGTCCTAGACCAAGTTCAGAATTTTGACTAACCTTGAAATTGAATATCTATATGTTTATTAAACTATTATTACTGTAGTCATCATTTACCTAGAAAAAGTATTTGATATATTTTGATGTGTTTTTTAATTACAATATGATTGTTACTAATCAATTTGACTTGTTACTAAAAGCTTAATTTTTGCTATGTTAGGTAAATGTATATTCACTTTATGAATGTTAAGTATAAATTATTTTATTTAAAAAAAAACTTATATTGTAATATAATAAAAGACATACTTATAAATAATTATACTTTTTAACATTTAATTTATTGAATTATATCAGAATTATGTCCTCATAGTATTTTCCATAAAATGAAAGACATTTTTAGTTTTATTTATTTTACTTTATTACGACTAATGTATGTTTTTTTAAAATTTCATTACATAATTTTATACTAATTATTTGAATATTTTTCATATATTAAAAAAAAGGCTTTAAAATTATGCTTAAATTTAATATATATTATTAAAATATTGTTAAAATTTTATTTTTTATGTGTTTGTATAAAAATACATTAAATGCAAATTTTTTTATTTTATTATCGAATAGTGTATTTTTATTTTGATATTATATTTATACTTTTGTGCAAATGCAAGTGTTCAGTAGCAAATTAGACTATTGTTTAAAAATATTATTTTTTAAAAATACATGAAAATTAATTTATCTAATCTATAATTTTTGCTGGGTATTCCAAACAAATTATGACTCTCCTCGAAACCGGATCTTTCAATCCCCAATGTACATCAATTTTGATCTGAAAGACAGTTATTTTATGTATAAGTTATAAAAAAAATTTGGATTCGTGATTAGTACAATTTTGATGAGATCAAACTTCTTAGATCTCATATTTACTAGGAATTCAAGAGTAGATTAAAATATAAGTATGTAATATTACAACATGTACAATCTATATGTATCTAAAAGAATTTAAGTATGCATCAAAAATTGTATTTTTCTTACCTTAGGGTATACTTCCAATATATTTATAACATCCTTATATACATAAGTATTTCCTTTTGCTAATGGACATGTTGTTTTTACTCCATTTTCCAAAAAAATATTATTGCACACACTTTTACTATCTACCCCTAACAAGGGTATTGGTATGTTAAATAATAAACCATATACTTCAGTGATTACATCTTTTACATCAAAATCTATACAAACATTTAAAACTTAGATTTTATTAAGTTTTTTTTTATAAGCTTGTAGATAAAATGTATTTACTACTTAATATATTTCATTTCCTTAGACGTTCTACATAAAATGTTAATATTAGACCCGATCCAAATAAAATTATTAAGACCTGGTCAGATCCATTCAAAAAATAGAATTATAATTAAAAGGTTTTAAGTTTCATTCATTTAATTTAATTTTAAAAGAAAATTGTTTTATTATTTTTTATTTTTTTTTGAGAATTCGTACGAAAGTATACGTTTTAATATTAATATTTAATACCAGCTAGATTCATTATAAATAAAGTTTCAACCTCGCCCGGTCTAATACATAAAATTAGTGTTATAACTCGACTTGATTTTTTAAAGTTAAAATTTTTCAGTGAATGAATAACTAATGACATCAAAAATTCTGATATTGAGATATAGTAGTCTTATTTCCAAGTATTCTGATAAATATAACAATAGGTTTTTTTAAATACTGATTAAAAGAAAAAACATTGAGTAGGATAAGTAAATGAGCATATTATTTTAACAAAGTTATGTATAAATAGTTATATATATATAGTCTATATATTATAAAGTTATGTACAAAGTTATATTATTCAGATTCAAAATAAATTTTATAAGCAAATTGACAGCACAGAAAACCGCAATCACCATTTCAGCAGAAATTTTCATGAGTAGATTCGAAACAAATTTAAAAAACAATTATGATATTGTAAATTATATTTTTGCAGTAACAAATAAAAATTTTTATTCTTATTCAGTCTTCATATAACATTTAAATTATCTTTTTTGGATTTAGTAGTTAAAAGAGTAGAGGAACTAAGTTATGAAATTTATCGAATAAATTTTAACCTCAACTGGTAACACAAAATGACAACTTTTGGTTTACAGATTAGTAAGTATTTCGATGAATAAAATAGATTTTAATAAAGAACTGGGAATAATATAAGAAATAGGTAAATTTAATGGATATAACGATAACGTAATTTCAAGATTAGTCCAAATACATAAGTGGAATAAACAAAGGAGGGTAGTTAGTACACTCACTAGGCACGAAGAAACAAAAAATAATTAGATGACCCACTTTATTTCATACGGGCATCTCAAATGGAATAGCTAGAAATTTTAAATATTTTGGTAGCATTGAAGTAACATCTAAAAGTAATAATTTAAGAGATTTATCATATAACCCTAATTATGAAGTAAAAGAAGAAGGAAAATCATAATTTAATTATAAAATGTATAAAGCACAATGTGAAAGTTATAATAAATGTTACGTAGGACAAACAAAAAGAAATATAGGAATCAGGTTTAAAGAAAACCTAAGAAACATTAAAAATCAAGATTTTGTTAAATCTTCTGTGATTAAGCATTTATTGACGCATAATTCATTAAAATCATATAGCTAATTGTAAAAGTAAATAATTACAAAGGATTTAATATAAGGGGGCAAAAGAAATTTTTAAAAATAAGAACAATTTGATTGGGATCTCAGCCCACTGAAAAATCATTAAACTTGTGTTAACTGGCAAAATATGATATTGCTTAGTGATAATATGATTTTTTTTTCTGGTCGGGGTGTTAGTATGTGTTTAGCTTTGATAATAGTGTTCCCAAAATACATATTCGCGATGTATTGGTTATTTTTTATGCCCTTTTGAGTTAAATATTTTTTTTATAATTTTAAATGATATTTGCCTTAAATGATCAATTTTTATTATATATTGAGATAAGACTAAATTTAGATGTTTTCTTTATTATGTAAACTACTATCAATTTATTACAATCAAATGCGATTAATTTTTAGTTAAAACTCAGTGGTGTTTCTTTACTAGTGTTGTCACCCTATTTAAAAATTAAAAAAAAAATTATCTTTTATTATTACAAATAGAGAATTAAAAATACGTTTTTAATGTATATGTTAAAACATGGGCGGGTTGGCGTTGGGTGAACATCGCCGCCCCCTCGCGACACGGGAGCCTCCTCGTCTCGCAGGTGTGGGTCCCTTAGGCCCAGACCACTTTCCTTTCACCTGTTCCATATTCCTGCTTTTCCGGGTCTAGGCTATTACATGATGAGTAGCCTCGGTCTACCTCCTTTTCCCTGGCTTTTCACGGGGTAGAAGCCGTCCCATCCAAGGCGACCCGAGTAACTATGAGGTACTCGGGCCGTTGGGGCGCCTTTCTGATAAATATATGTTAAAACCAATTGTAATTTATTTTTACATGTGGACGCCTCTTAGGAGTTATTCATAAAAAACTTAATTTTGTAGGTAAAGAAAAAAGAAAAATATAGCCCCATTTTACACTCTTTTTACAAAATATTCGTATCTGATCAGGCCGTATTTTTAAGGACCGAACTGTTCCCTGATATATAAAACGGGTGGATACAATTTTTACTGTTTTATTTTTATTACGCTTACTCCTAAATTTTTGATTTCGGCACTTCTAAAAATGCAAGAAGGCGGCCTTATCTCGAAACGGCTTTTCGGGATACGAAAAGTCTTTTTATTCTTCTTGCAACAGCTTTAAAGTTTCGACTTAACATAAAAGTTACAGGTTTGTGTTACTTTATTTTTAGTATTTTTATTAATTTCAAAACAACTTTTATGCAAATTGCTTACATGTTTGGATAGAGAATAATAAACTATATTAAATTATATAAAAATATTTATTATCACGAATTTTGATATAAAGCCCTCTAACGCTTATGATGTAAAATATTAAAAAAAGAAATTATAAAAAGTTGGTTAACTTTTATTTTAAAATCCAACCTTAAAAATCTCATTATTAAGTCATTTTATAAATATATATAACAATCTGGATTTCTATATATATATATATTTATAAATCTACATTTGTTATATTAACAAAAAATAAAATAAAAATATTTGAAATGTATTTCCAGAATATTTTCAAAATTTAATTGGTTAATTTTCACATTATAAATCCAAAAAAAAAAGTATCTTCCCAAAAAAAGGTTAATTTAAAAACAAGTATGTAAGTATATTTAACAAACAAAACAGCATAAATTAGCTTTAAAATACTAAAGAAATAATTTTTTATATTAGTAAAATTAATTTTAATTTTAAATTATAATAAATTTTGGCGGTAAATTATTATTTCAAATATTTGATATGGCTCTAGCTGGATCAAAAATACGTTTTACCAAATAATTTCACTAACAGCGATATATATATATATTGAGTAAGTTAAAAAAATACCTGTTATGAATTTAATTTCGATTTTTATGGTTGAATTACGTTTTAAAGGACATCGTGATGTCGTACAGTTTTCTATTGTTACACCTTCTAATAATTCAGTGTTATCTAAAATAATAAATACTTAATTCAATAAATATTTCCGAGTTGAACATCTGTTAAATCTAAAATATAAATTTTACTTACTAGTATCACATTTATAAACTGTGGATGTTGCCAAACATTCGATCGCTATTAGAAATATTACCAGAGAACAAAAAGAAATAAAAATATTACCTTTCATATTTGCAAACCAACTGTTAATATTGAAAGAGTACTTTTATCCGGAAACTGGATTAATCTACGTTAATTTATAAAATGTTGTTCTACTAGATGACCTTCAATTATAGCTGCTATTTTTTTATAAAAACATAATTATGACTAAACAGTAATTTATTTTTCTTTAGTTTTAATTTATACCAACAAATAAATTATTATTAAATTAATTGCTTATAGCTATAATATAGTTAATTATACATCCAAGTGTCATTTTTACAATTTTTCAACAGGGTTTTTTAGTTTAGTTATTCTGTACTAAAAATACAATGAAGTATTATAATTATAGCGTGTCTAATGATCACTGCTATAAAAATGAGATACTATGGGCTTTATAATTAAAAATAATAATGAAATAAGATTTTTAATATTATTTTATACGTTTAATTAGCTTTTGCCATTTAGTATTTACTGAGAAATTATATATATTTTAGATAATTAAAAAAAAATTCGGATATATTTAAATAGTTTAATCTATTAATAGAATTACTATTCAAAATTATAAATGGAGATTCTCGCCACATAGTATATTAACACGGTGAAAATTTCCACCGTGTTAATTTGTAAAATTATATATTTATCATAAAATTAATAAATTAAAAATAAACATAGTATCAATAGAGTAGAATATTTAAGCTAGTTAAATTAAACTTAGTTAAGTTTAATTTGTTAATTTTTTAAACAGTAGAGAGAAACTTGAAAGAAAGTATATGAATTTATTAGAGAAACGCCAACATTATTTATAGCAGAAATCATAACAAATTTAACTTTTCAGATAAAATCTATACTTTTAATAAATTTGTTCATTTGGCGTAATCTGTACTTTACTTAAAAAATTTATTTCTGATGTTCCAAATCTCAATGAATTTATATAATTTCTCCACCTCTATTCCATCAAAGTAGGTGTGTGTTAATAATTTGATTCATTTTTTTTCAAATATTTTATAATATATCCAAAAAAGTTGAAAATGAGTATAAAATCTTATTTATTACTCGTGATATAGAACGATATAGTAATTCAATCTTCAAAATTTGGCTAAAAGATATTATGAGCATCTTATTTTGAGTCAAAAATTCAATTAAAAAAAGAAAAAATTAGTCTTTCAAATTACTCTTTAATTAACATTTTTCATATTAATTTTTAATTTTGAAAGCACATTATCGTAACTATGTGTAACACCATTGATGATAGAGTTTGAGGATTAAATACTTTAATGTTGAAAATATATATATTCTAAATGACTGGGGTATTTAAGCACTTTGTGGTAATTAATAGATTTAAAGGTTGGATTGAGTAGTGAGACACTATTATAGCACACCTTATTCAAAATAAAATTTGGGTATTCTAATATTGTGAATTTTATTGGGTGGGACGATACACAGGTGATTGAGGGCCAGGATATAATTAAATTTCTATTAACATAGTTATTTTATGGCAATTTAGTTCTACTTAGTAGTATTATCTTTTTATTGCTCCTATTATCATCCTACTAAGATATACAATTGATAGCTTAGTATTAATTCACTTTTTTTTTTAATGCTTATATAAAATTTCATGACATAATAATTTATGAAGAAGTTATTGAAATAAAACACAATTTATTATTATTATAATACAATTAACTGTTTATACAAATATGTTGAATTTCAAACACTTGATATTATGTTTTAAATATATCATAACTAATTTATTAACTATTCCAATACACATTACAAATATAATACATTTAAGTGAATAATACACAAATAATAGAAATTCTCATATTGAATATATTTACATAGGATAATTTAAAGAAACATCTTGCCTAGCCAATTCCAACAACATAGGATCATCAAAGAACTTGTTAATAGAAACATCTTCACTTAGACCTTTTCTTCTGCGAGTTTTAACCATAAATTCTCGTGCTAAATGAGTAGCTGGTTGAGGTTCCAATGGTTTAATAACTATGCTTTTGTCAAGTGGATCACCAGGAACAATCTGAAATTCAATTTAATAAAAAACACTTAAAAAAAGGTATTTTTAATGCTTTATAAGATATCTAACATGAATTAATTTAAATGAGTCAACATTAAAAAATAATAGATTATTATGTTTTTTGAACTAACTCAACAAAATAACTTTGGCTTGAAAATTTTAGTTTCTTTAATAAATATTTCCTTATCTTAGGAAATTTGAATAAGTAGTCAATATTAATGGTATGTCTTTAATAGTAGTAGTATTTGAAATACATTTTTGCATACTGGTAAAACCAGTAATCAACTCAATACATTAGTAATGAATATATGATAAAAAATTTTCAAGTAAATTACCTGCCAATGGTGGAAAACTGACAAACAAAAAGCTTGACCTTGTGTGTGTGTACGCAAATCAGTTTCAAAACCAAATGAATCTATAGCTGGAATAAATGCTTTAATAGTATACAGTGGTGACCCTGGAACAGGAGCATCTTGTGTTACATGACCTCTACGTTTAGCCAACACAGTATAAACAGCAGATACACAATCAGCTGGTGCTTGTACTTCTACATATAAATATGGTTCCATTAGCCGTGGTGTAGCCATAAGAAAAGCTGAATAAGCAACTCTACGAGCAGTCGGTATTATTTGACCTCCTCCTCTATGTAAAGGTTCTGGTGCTATTACAGCATCTAATATTTTAAATTTAACATTTCGAATAGGCTCTTCACAAAGTGGACCTTCTCTAGTACCCCATTGGAAGCCCTAAAAAATTAATGGATTCATTAATCTACGCTTAATAACTTTCTTAAAGTCTTATACTTGAACAATTGAATCTCTGATGGATCTTAAAACATTTTTATCTACTTCAGATGGAAGCGTATCATCTACTAAAATATTAGGACCTGTAGTATCTGGACCAAAAGCCCAGATAGAACGTGCAGCTAATAAATCCCAATCATATTTTGATTGGAAAAATTCTCCAATTTTTTTTCTAAAAAATTGTTGAATATTTATTATTTAAATTATATTAACAAACATAATTATTGTAGTCACTGGAAAATATAACCTTTATATAAATATATTGAATTTTTAAAGTAAAATAAGTTAAAAAAAAATTAAGTAATATAAATAATATATTACTTGTCCCATGAGATGTCAACAATCTGATTTTCAATATCTTCAGCAAGTCCTTTTTCTAATGGTTCTGCAATCATTGTTATCTTATTCCTTTTATTAGGAGTTTCAGCAAAACATTTCAATGAAGATGTATCAACAACAGTTTCACAAAAAGCAACAACTGGATCTGCGACTTTGATGTCTAAAATTATATAAATAATGTTTATTAAATTAATATTTTATCAATTGTATTAATAATCATTTTAAATTGAAAGCTCATAATTTAATAGCCTATAAAACATTAATAAATGATTTCAAAGACATAACTTAATAAAAATTCCTATAAGCGAGGAATTAAATTTTTAATTCTTTAAAGTACCATATTATTCATTAAATAAAATTTTAATTTTAAAAAAATTAAACTTAATTGGCTCTCAATATTTAAACTTTAAATTATTACTCAATTTTTTATTCTAATTAAAAAATTATTATCATGCTTTTATATGATAAAATGTATGAAATACAAATAATAAAAATTCTTATAAAATGAGAAAATCACAATAAATGCAAAATAATACAAATAAAAGTTTTTAGTTTTGAATTATTCATTTAATGAATCAAGTTTTGTGCATTGAGAGCATTCTGACATAAAAAAAGTGAGATTTATTGAAACAAAGACTATTATAGGTAATATATTGAGCAACAGATAAAATAAGACAAATATTTAAAATAATTTACCTATTTCGGAGTACATTTTTCTTAAATCATGCATAACACAATCTAAGTAAAGTTCACCAGTTCCTAGAATTACATGTTCACCTGATTCTTCAACGCGTGTAACAAGTAATGGATAAGACTTATTAACTTTTCTCAAGCCATCTAACATTTTAGGTAATTCTGAGGGATTAACAGGTTCAACTAAAATTTATAAAAGTTTTATTAATAATGATGTTATAAAAATGTAATTTTACTATAAATCTTTTGATTAATCAAATTGATTAAACTCTAATGTTAAGTATTACTTACCAGCAATTTTTATGACCGATTGTGTGTTGAATTTTAATGGTCTAAATATGTACAAATCATCAGTTGTTATTAGATCAGTAATTGTAGCTGTTTTAACAATTGGTTGATCAATGCCTTCTATCAGAACCCAATTTCCAGCAGGTACTCGATTAACTTCAACTTTATATCGTGCTTCATGAACCCATAATCTACCTACTGTCATAACTCTAGAATCTTCTTCATCCATTAATGAATAATTTTCTCCCAAAATTTTTACTTCTTGTCCGGCATGTAGGGTACCACTCATTACTCGTGCCATTACTTGGAAGAATGTGCAATCATCAGTAGGATACATTTTAGTACTATGTACCATTAAACGACCCTAAAATTAAAAATTGTTAAGTAATTTTATCACCAATTTTTATTAGGTTTTGTAATTATTTACATCAGGATTACAATCAAGCATATCTTTAGCAAGTTCTGTATCTTGTGGTCCAGTGTAAATTGTGTCAATTTTATTTTTTGCATTATCTGCAGGTGATGGAATATGGTTTACACACATATCGACAAAACCACTAAGGTCATTTAAAAAGCGGCCACAAACAAGTCGTAATAGAGGTCTAATATTAATATTCATTTCTCGTTTAGTCAATTTAATTCCAAGTTCATCGAGAACTTCTGGTAATGTGGTATCTACATCACCAATTACTTGGGCAAATAGTTTATACAAAGGTTCTAATATAAATTCAACAAAACTTCTTTGAGCACTATTATGTGGAGATTTTTTGGAGAATTTTCTAGTCTTTGAATTAAAATAAACATCTCCCCACAATACTTTAGCAAAACTATCAACCTTGACATTAGGATAATGATTTGCATATAATTTAGCAAAAGATTTGAGTGTGAAACAAACAGCATATTGTGATGAAGCAAAACAAACATTTCCTATAATTGGGGATACAATACGAGAAGGGTCATTTTGAGAATGTAAGCTGAAATTCATGGAAGTAAGTTTATAACATTTTAATATTTAATTTAAATAAAATTTGATTAATATCTTACCTCAACAAAGAATTTACTTCATCAATTATATGTTTTATTTTAAAATAAGCATCTTGTGGAGGTAGTTTTAATTCTAACATTAATCTGTCTATTTTATTTATACAAATTGTAATGGCAACTTTTTCCTATTTATATAAAAATGAAGAATAAGTAAGTAAATTTAGGTACAATAAATATTTTTATATACTTGAATAGCATGTTTTATCAATCTTTCTGTGTTTAACATTACTCCTTCAGCGGCATCAACAAATATAACAGCTCCATCACAAATTCTTAAAGCTGCAGTGACTTCATCAGAAAAGTTTACATGTCCTATAACAAAAATAATTTAACTATAAAGATTGTATAAATTAAACTATAATACATATAATGTGATAATATTATCTATTTAAAAATTAAGTTTTATTTAAAAGAATACCTGGTGTATCAAATATGTTCATTAAATATGATTTTGAATTGACATCAGGTAATACCAACGTTACAGGAGTTGCTTTGATGCTAACACCTCTTTGACGCTCTGTTAATAATGTATCTGTATAACGCATTAAATCTGCATCAGCTGCATCCATGTGAAGCTGACCTAAATCAGGATGTGTTTGACGAATCAAACAATCAACCAAACTGGTTTTACCATGATGTAGATGACCAAGTAGAGCTATGTTACGCACAAGACCAGCAATATCCATCAAATCTGCTAAATATCTAAAAATTAAAAATATAATTTATGAATAAAAAACAAATAAAGTAAAAAAAAACTTTTAAATAATTACTCCATGTTGTATGTAGTATAAGGTAAAACCTGCTCTTTGATTTGAAAATTGTGTTGTTTTACTGGAGTTATTAATGGAACTGTGAGAGGTAATTCATCTTCTTCTTGTACTAATGTCTCAACTTCTGGACCATATACTTCAACGGCAGAAGGATAATATCTTTTATCTTCATGTAATACAACACTCATACCAGGTTCATCGGGTCCATCATCACCTTCTTCGATCATCTACAGTTATGTCAATAAAATATTATAACAAATTAATTATTTATAATTAGTCCTATTTACATCAATATCCTGAGGTTCAGGATCAGGTGAAGGCGGTTGTTGTTCTTCTTCTTCGTCAGATTCAAGTTCTGGACCGATGTAGTTACCAAATTCATCATACAGATCGGAATCCATTATCTTTTTTATAAATATAGGTTTCTAAATTAATTCAGAAAAAATTCTAAGTTTGTATCTAACTTAATAGAAGAATTTTAATTTAAATTTGAACTTTTATCAAAGAGTACGTTTAAATACGAATTATTATAAACATAACCTAACAATTGATGTAAACAAATAATNTGTTAAACTGTTAAGAACCGTGTAACATTTTAACAATATAATTTATTTGTTATCTAATTCTAAACAGCTGTTTACCATTTACAGGATTTCGAACTACGAACCACAGAGAATTTTGAAAGAAGTTCGCGAACTATTTCATTTATACATTGCTACCAATTTCTTTCGAACTGTGAACTGTTAAGTTACAGGTACTGAAACAGTTCAGAATAGTTCATCAAAGTGAATAGTTCAAATGAACTATTCGTTCACGAACTTAACATCTCTAGTCTGAACACTCTTTATTAGATTGTTATTCATATCACTGTAATTTGAATTATAAAAAATCAAAACAAAACATGGTTCATCGGAATTAAGCATTCGGTTCGTTAGTGTTCAAGGTGGATAATGTTATTATACTTTTCAATTTCATGACTATTAAAAAATCAAGACTTATATATCTGTGATATTATATTTGATACAATAACAAAGATTTTTTTCAAACCTAAAAAAATTATTGATTTTACAAATTAAGCATTTCAAAGAATCAAATAATTTTGTAAGCTCATCAATGGTAAGTTTGATTATTGCACTTTGCTAACATCATATTTGAACTGTATATTAGCAGCCGCTTAAATTTTGTTTCACTTATTGTTTTGTGTTTTAATGTATGTAATTTTTTATAAACCAAAAGCCTATAGATCGCTTATTGCATCTTGGTATTATTATGACTAGAAATTGTTTAATTCCCATGTTACCCTTATTTTATTATATTTATAATTCATTCCATTATAATAGTTAATATCTAAATTAAAAAGACTTGATATAATATGAGTTTTCATTTTAGTGTCAGAAAATAATTAAATTATCAATTTATTTAACTTGAAAACAATATATTTTTTTTTCAAATCTATAAACAAATTAGTTTATTTAGCTTATTGTAGTTAATTAGTCAAATAGTAATTTTTTTTACTTAGATGGACAATACAAAATTACCTGGTTTGGCTGAAATTCAATTACCTAACTACAACCCAGATATTTTCAATTTTGATCCGTAAGTATGACAATTTTTATTGTGCTTGTATTTTTGCTTTTTGCTGTAATGATTATTGATAATTTAAAATAACTTAAATATTTTGGTTAAAAATGAATGATTCTTGAATGAAATATATTTTTTATTGAAACCATTAAGCATTAATATTGCTTACTGCTTGATCAAATTATTATATTTGAAAGCTTGATAATTTTGTGACATAATTGAATGGTTTAATTAAAAAAAGCCTATGTAGAAAAAAGCAGTTTGTGATAAATGTATTTTTATATTTCATTGTTGATAATATGAAAGTTAGTAAACCCTGCTTTGTTCCGTTTAATAGTGCTATTTTTCTATTTTGATATTATATATTTAAGTATTTTTTCTATTAGTAAGATTCCTATAGTAACTATAGAAAATAAATACTTTAATAGGCTCTTTTTGAAGTTACTGTTCAAAAACATCAACACTATGTTAATCAAGTGGTGCTCAGAGTTTTGATAGGGGTTATGATTCCCCATGATACATTTTTATTTGTATTAGAAGTGTTAGTAAATATTATTGCTTGTTTCTCTCCAGCTTCAAAATTATCAAATAGGTAACTTCGTTCACCGGGTATAGCAATAAACAGCATGAACTTATAAGTTCATGTTATTTAAATTTTCTAGTTTTGAAAATAATTTGAATTTTAGAATATTTAAATAAAGTAAATTAACACAATGCTATGAAAGGCAATGAGAGAAATAGTAGTTTTAATTGGCTAGAAGTCTTAACATTTGTATAATTACATTTTAGCTACGATGCGAAACTGAGAAGGTATTAATATAACTGTGTTTTTTTTGTGTCTATTGCAACTTTTTCTCAGCTTTTGCTGAACCGATTTCTTTCAATGATACGTCACAAATTGTATCTAGTTGAAGACATTTCCCTTGAAAATAGAAAAAATAGTGCAAATAGGAATTTCTTATTCATATGAAAATATTTTACTATGTGATTTTAATTTTTTTCAGTTCTCACTTGTACAATGTTAATTGACACTTGTCAATTTTAATGACCAATGTGTCAAAAGAACACAATTTTAATTATGTTGAACTTATAATCACCAAATATTGGAAAAAAAATTTTTATTCTAACAATTTAGAACAAATATCTCAAAATTATGCTATTGTAAAAAATGGTCACTTTTTTAAATTAAATATCTCCAAATTAATAGGAATAAAAAATTTTTTTTTATATTAAATTACACTGTTAGATCATATCACTAAAATGAAATATTTCTTAATGATCATATACTTTACTAAACCAAATTTTTCAATTTAATTTCAAGTCTGATTCAAATTTTTTCTTTACCTCATTTTTAAGATTATTACTAATTAGAAAGCAAATATTTATACATAAAAAAATTTTATTAAAAAAACTTTTTTTATCAAATTATTATTAATTTTTATAAATAATCCGTGCAAAATTTCAATTCAAAATGTTCTTTATAACTTATTTTTTGATCCTTTAAAGTTTATTTTTATGAAAGTTTATAATTTAAAAATGTTGAACTGTTCAAACACTATTTTAGCTCAACATGCAAGTTTAGAATTTATGTCATTAAATAGTAAATTTATGAGGAATAAAAAATTATATTTTTTTGATTGATATGTGATCAGGAATTTGTATAATTACAATTACAGAAAAATTTATGAAGAAAACTCAACATTTCATTAAAATCACTATTTTTTTTTTTTTATTGTAATAAATTATTTAAATAGAAGTCCTAGTAATCGTTTCTATGTAACTTTTGCTGTCTAAATAGATGCTACAATTGAAATATTCCGTATAGTCATATCCTATAGTATTCTATAATATATCAATATTCAGAAATATTCTGTGCCTAGTTTCATCTATGATTCTGTTCACTATTGTGTTATTGAATTTAATTTTAACCTATATTTTTTTGGTTATTTTATTTTATATGTCAATACTTGTTTTGAATTAATTATTAATAATATCAAAAATTAGTGATGATAGAAAAAATTTAATTGCTGATTATAAATTAGCACAAAAAATTGAGTAATAAAAGTATATTTTTGACTCTGATGAAAATTATTTGTATTAAGCCCTTTAATATTTATACACGTTTGTCATAAAAGTAACAACTATTTTATCATTTCTTCATAAAAATTACAATACTAAATTATTAAATATCAATTTCATAATATATTTAATTTCTTTAATAGATATTTAATAATATATTATACTTCACACTGTGCCGAGACCCCACTGTGTTACTGTTTTTATATTATTTGTTAACATTTCTTTAGTATAAAAAAAACATAAATTTCAATTTAAATTATAGCCCTTAGTATATCATAAATAATTAGTAGTTTTGAAAATTTATACAAACCACTTTTTACCATATTACTTTTATCTAGAAAATTAGTATTATATAAAATTTGTTAAATTGGAGTTCATTAGAAATGAAATATTTCATTATATTATCACAATATTTTATATATATATATAGATAGATAATACATACACACCCTTATATTTATAAAAAAATTCCAAGTTCTCATTATTTTTTTCCCTGAGTTTTAAATTTATAAATTTTTAATTTATAATTTAGTTTTAAATGTTTTGACTACATTACATTTCACGCGTCAAGGAAAAAAAAATTAATAAAGTTGATGTATGTAAAATTTATATAAGAGCATGAAATAGATGTATTAAACAAACTAGGTTAGATGCATAGTCTCATAAAAATAATCATTTATAAAAACTGTAACAGCACTTATCTCTTATAAATTATTATAAATTTTATCAATAATGTGAAAATCATCTTAGGTAATAGTTTTAATTTACTGTTTTAAGTATAATATTTTACAGAATATTTTTCTATTATTGACCAGCTAAATCTATTGTTTATTCCACTATTTGACATCAAAATCAATTTAATATGGTAAATTAATTATGTTTAAGTTTACTTTTATATTTTTACATTTTCCATTGTTCTATTTGTTAGTTTTAATATTATATGTGTAATATCAAACAATATCTGACACCTAATGAAATTTTATAAATAATATACAATGGATAAACAATGAACAGACTCAGACTATATTTATTATAGTTTAATACTCAAAATAAAATTTATTTTTATTAATTTCATTAATTTGTATTAATTGTATTGTCCTATTACATAGTCTCAATTTGCTTGGATTGTATTAAAATAATTTTTTTTTTTTTTAGAAATGTTGAACAATTAAATATTTTAAATGACTTCAATGGTTATAATGATGTTATGATAAACCAAAGTGAAGTTAGTGATTTTTGTTTTACTATGCCCATGGAAAATGGAAGAATTGTGGACTTGAATCTTCCCCCTACAGTAAAAATATTTCATTCTGAATTTTAATGTTATAATTAAATATTAAAATTGTTAATTTTTTAGCCTGAAAAAGATCAAGAAAATCGTGAAACATGTACAGCTGGATCAGTAAAATCATCACCAACTGGTATAATACCTTGTCAAGATGAATTTGGTGGAAATTTCAATTTTGAAGTCTTATTAGATTCAAGTTCTCAAGCCTACAGACAAAAGTGGAGTGTATGTTAAAATTAATGAGTTGTTTTTATTTTAAGTTTCTAATCTTCCGTCTGGTTAATATGTAGATTATTAATTATTTTTTAATGGTGATTACAAAACTAATTTGGTGTTTAATAGCACTTTTTTTTTTCAAATTAATTAATTTCATTTGCAATGAGGTTATATTAATCTAAATGTAAATTGTACATGAGATAGGGCAAATTACCAATTAATAAATATAACATGAAAATTAACAAAATTTGGGCATTGAATTTAAATCTTTTAATCTATATTAAGGCTTTGGGTATTTAAATCACTTTATTTTGGTTTTTTGCAATACCTATTTTGAAAATTTTATGATATATGATTAAGGATAAGGTTAATTTGGTTAATAGTCTTAGAAAACCATTAACAGTAGATAATTAAAACAAATTAATTAATAGTTTTTTTTTTGTTTTTTGTTACAGTATTCTGTAAAACTCCAAAAAATATTTATTGATATTAATAAAGTACTCCTTTTAAATTTTAAGTATGATTATGATCAAAGTTTCAATTGCCAACCTTTTTTTGTACGTGCTATGCCAATGTATAGCTCAGCAGATTGGTTAAAAGAACCTGTTGAAAGATGTTTGCAACATTTATCTCCAATCGATCAGATAAATAAAGGTATAATAATGTGAATAAATGAATATAGTATTATTTGATTCAACTCTTAATATTATTTTATAATAGAAAATTTACTAATACAAAAATTACCTGAATAAAAGACCTTTTTCATTGAAATTTTAGTAGTATTTTATAATAAATATTAGATAAATTTTTTTAATTCTATATTTATTTTTAGATTTTCATCATTTAAAACATGTTATTCGCTGTGATAACGACAATACTGCTTATCATATTGATGAAAAAAGCAACCGTAAAAGTGTTGTTACTTTGTTAAGGCAGCCTGAGATAGGAGCAGATACATCAAAGTTGTCTTACAGATTTGTATGTAAAACATCATGTGCTGGGGGTATGCAACGTCGACCCATCATTGTAATTTTTACATTAGAAGATCAGATGTAAGTTGTAACATGGCACTAACCAGTATTTTATAAAAACTAACTATATCAATAAAAAAATATGTGCTTTTTTAGTGGTCAAGTTCTAGGAAGACGTGTACTTCCAGTAAAAATATGTTCCTGTCCTAAACGAGATATGGATCGAGAAGAAAATGAAACAAAGTTGAAAAAAAATACTGTTTTTAGACGTACAAAAAGATGTATGACAACACACACAGAACGACATCATCACCATCATCATCGTCATGATAATAATCCACTGCCACCTAAAATGATAAAGTTAGAATCTACTGATATTACTGAAAGTGAATCAGATTGTGTACAAGAAAAAAATTTTACACTGCCAGTAAGAACGAAATATAAATTAATAATCTTGTAAATTATTTGTTTGATTAATATTTATTTTTCTAGATTAACTATGTAACAAATTGTAAGAAAAATTACAAAGCAATATTAGAAGGTCTATATACTTCTATTGTGGGAGTTTCATCACTACACAACATTAATGATACTCAGACCATATTAGAAGATTTAAAATTTAGGCTAAATAATTTAGAATGATTTGCAATTGTGAATTTTGCAATTATTTATTGTATACTACTTGAACTGCCATAAGTAAACTGATTTTTATATTTGTATTGTGTCTAAGCTATTTTTATTGACTGAAACAGTTCTGAGTTCAGTTATCTAAGTATAAAATCATGCCTAGTTATGCTTCAATGTTTAAATGGTTAGTCTATTTAAATTTAAATTTTTTTTAATGTTTATTTTATATTTTAATGTGTTTTAATTGTATTTTTAATGTTGTTGTCTTACAAATTATTTATTTATGTACTTCTTAGGGAAGTTAATGAATTTTCCTGCTCTATGTTATTTAATTATTTTTTTTAAATGTATTATATTTTATTTTACAAAATTGTTCCTTAAAATAATTATTACTTAATTGTTTTATAATATATATTTATTATAAAACGTTGTTTAACATTGTTTTCATTGATTATTTTAATCATTTGGTATTTTTTTTTTATAATTATAAACATTTATGACAGAAAACAAAATTGTTTATGAAGAATAAAACTAATTCACTATTTTATTTAAGAGTTAACAAGATTTTTTAGCTAAAAATTGATATAGATATTGTACAAAATAAACTCGGGTTTTTGTAAGATCAATTTATAGCAAAATAAAAAAAACATAATAGAAAACTTCAAAAATGTTCTTTTGTAAAACTTTCAGGTACAGGTGAAAGTCTGCCTTAAAAGGTGAAATGTTCTAACATTTGTAAAATTTTATCAGGTGCCTAATGATTTTTATGGGCTGATCTATCTTCTTTTTAATTTTTGTTAGTGATATGATATTACTAACTCTTTTGGAAGTTCCTTATTATAAACTTATAAGGTGAACTTATATAATGGTGAACTAGTAGAAAAGATTGTCAGTATGTGAATATCTCTTATATCAATGTATTCATTTAACTACTGGTCAAGTAAGGCTAATTCAAACTACACATTGTCCATTTTTTAAAGTTAATATATTAATATTCAAAAATTAGATTTTAATCTTAAATGCTTTCACCACTTTTTATTTTCAAGAATACCATAGATTAAATACATATAGATAGACCACGCCGTACACAATTTTGGCAGTCCAATTTTTATCATGAATGGACGCAGGGCAACGATGCACTGGAGTCAGGCGATTATGCTGATAGATAGCGTAAATTTTGAGTACTTCTATTGGTTGAAATATACGTGGTATTTTAAATCTTTAATAATTATAATTATTATTATTATAATTATTATTATTATAATTAAGATTTAATAATTATTAAATGAATGTAAGATGCACATAATTAAACTGTTATTGTTATACACGTTAATTGCATTTTATGACATAATGTAAGGTTATTTATGATTTTAACTCTTTGTAATTATTTTTCATTGAAATTTTATTTAATTTTTTATTTTAATATTATACTAAATTTCCTTAATAGGACTTTGATATAAAATGTGGTATTACAGTACAAGACTAAACTGTGTAGCCTCTAAATATTTTTATAAATTATTTTAAACAGAAAGCAGTGGCAGATAAATTATTTTGTAATTAGGATGAGTTGAAAAATCTTTATGATAAAAATCATCATGTGACCTGTGCCCCAATATCACAAAGCTTTTATATTATACTTATTTTGTATTTGTATTACTATATCAAGATATATAATAATCACATCTAATAGTCCACAATAATAAAATATATTATTATGGACTATTAGATATACATAAATGGCTTTCTTTTTATTAAGTCCGCTTCAAATATTTCATTTATTTTAGAATAGTATTCCATTGAATTTACCTACGTATGTGGTAACCAATTGAAACCAAATTTTCCAGGGATGCCAAATAATAAGTGGTAAACTGAGTGTTCGAAGTCCAATTTGACAACGCGGATAAGTGTTGTCAGGAAGAGTTAAAATAATAACTAATTATAATATAACATTCACTGATAGAACACTGACCACTGAGAAGATGGAAAAGTCACCTTTTATATTTACATTGGTCATTAAATAATCATTAAAATATTAATACTATAATACTTTATAGTAATTATAATGTTGCATATAAATTCCTTAAAACTAAAATTTACAAAATAATTATGGGTTCACGACACCATCACCCTTAAAGGGTTTGGCAAATTTTTGAATACGGTAGTCATTTTTACCATGAAGACAAATCCAGAGGTCAAATTCTTTTTTTTTTCAAAGTATATGACATAGGCTTTAATTTAATATATATATAAAAGTGTCAGTCTTTCCGGAACATTTTCAAAAGTTATGTTGAAAAAGTTAATTTTTTGTGAAAGAGTTGTCATTTTGAATGCCCTTCTGCAGGGAAAGGGTCAAATTTATAAAAAAAATATATAAAATGATAGGTAAATATCTAAGGTATCTATATAAAAAAAAAAATTATATTGATTCGGTCATTTTTAAAAAAGTTAGGGCAATTTTAAGTAAAAAAAAATGAAAAAATATTGAAAATTAGCGATTTTTAAATTTGTAATTTTTTGGGGGATTTCCCCCGTTTACGGGGAACGAGGGATTTTTTTTCAATTTTAAGGGTAATGTCTTCAACTAGATACGATTTGTAATCTTTTGACATATTTTTCATCAAAATCGGTCCAGTGAGAGCTGAGATTGAGCGTATACAGACATAAAAAAAAAAAAAAACACATCATAGTAAAATTAATTCCTTCTCAGCTTCGCATCGAAGCTAAAAATCGGTTGCCAATTGTCTGAATGCCGTGGCCTATCTATGTGTATTTAATCTATGAGAATACCGTTAAGTTACCATAGTTGTAAAAATCGGACTATGATATACCAATTAAATGAGATAATTATAATCATATAAAAATATATAGATAATAGCTATATATCATAACGATAATCAAAAATTTTCAAATTATTTTTTATTATAAAGAATTAATTTTTTTTTTTTTTTGTTAAAAGACTATCTTCATACAGAATGTTCAGTAAGTAAGGAAGCAGGTAATTTGTAACAATTCTTTTCTTACTGAACACCCATCTATATATTGTTTGTATTAAATGGATGAAATTGTTCTTTATTGAATAATATTATTCAATAAAACATCCATAACTTTTTGAAAAATCAACAAATCAACATAATTTTTTTTTATACTAAAACGTTAGATATCTACCTTTCATTTGTTATCATTTTTTTGAAAATCTATCACTTAACCTGCTCATTAGGGGGGATTTAAAATAGCAACTTTTTTACAAAAATTAACTTTTTCAACTTAATTTTTGAAAATGTTCGGGAAATACTGCGTCCTTCAAACATATATCAAATTAAAGCTTATTTTATGTACTATAAAATGAAAAAAAAAATTTGTCCCGACAACCTATCTACTATGTGCAAATTGCTGCCGTAGTTAAAAAAACTCTATTTTTGTGTTAAAATTTTCGATTTTAAATTTTCAACTTAAAAATTTATAAAAAGTTTATTTTATGTACTATAAAATGAAAAAAAATAATTTGTCCCGACATCTTATCTTCTATGTGCAAATGGCTACCATATTCAAAAATATGCTATTTTAACAAATTTTTTTTTTTAATTAAACACTATCTACAGATTTGCATCGAAGCGTTTTTTATGATAGTGATTTTAATCACTGTCAGATATCATCTATACTGGACCCAACTATGCCACGACCCCACTGTGCCGTCACCTAGTTTTTTTTTGGCATAATAAATTTCATTTTACTTTTCAAATTGAGTTTTAACCAGCTGTTACTTTACATGTACTAATTTTCAAATTTCTTTCTCTAATTTTCCTCCTGCATTACTTTGTTCGTATTTTGTTAAAAATAGGAATAATAACGTCATAATAGAAAACCTTATCTAAGAATAAAATTTTGTATCAATAAATATTATTTTTCGTCATATTTCATTTCTATATTTAATAATATATTTTAATACAAAAAATATTTACTTATTTATCACGAACCGTTTTTGGCCTATTATCATCAAATAATATGTATTTTCTAACAAAGTAAACAAAATTCAAACAGTCTTATATTAAAAATTCTTTTTTCGATTATTGCAATATTTTAGAAATAGTTATCATGGAAAATAAAATAAGTCGGTAATACCAATATCGTTAACGAACTTTAATATTTATGGAGAATATTATTACTATGACTAAATAATTTACCAATCCAATGATAGGTTATTATAACCACATAAACCTGGACATAATTAATTTAAAATTTCAATGATATTTAACTAAACGTTTATAAGTTTACTAATGGTATATTAAAAATAATTTCCATTATCTAAGTTAGCTAAAGAAGTCGTATGAAAAAAAAAATAAACTAGTTAAATTATCTTTAATAAATTATATACAATAAGTAAAAATAACAGTAATATTCTATTTTTCTTCTTCAAATGTAATAGTCTGGTCAGTAAATTTATAAACTTCATCAGCATAAGAATCTATTTCATTATCCTCTGATCTTTTAGATGTAGGAAACGGCAAAGCAGTCTTAGGTTTTCTCAATGGTAACAGAGTATCATACAAGTACACAATGGAATTAGTTTCTCCTGGTGATGCAACACCTTTTACCCAAATAACATTAAACTTGTGATTAATTCTTAAGATTGTTGCACCTCTATGAATTCTATATCTGTTTCCCATATGACCAGGCATTTTAGTGCCAGGAAAAACTCTTCCTTTCTCCCCTCCATGACCAATATTACCTCCTCTACGATGTGATTTAGTTACACCATGAGTAGCAGGCATACCATGAAAGCCCCAACGTTTCATGACACCTTGGAATCCTCTATCAATTGTTTTTCCACGGATATCAATAGTATCACCAACACGAAAATGTGAAGCCAAAAGTGGAGTACCTGGTTGCAAAGCTGCTTCAGGAGATATTAGAAATCTTCCTAAATACTTTTTAGGCATCATTCCTTCTTTGTAAAATATACCACAATATTCCTTTGTAAAATATTGTGGATCAGCACTTTCAGCTCCAACAAGTAGACATCCTAGTTGCTTTTTATGATTTGGACAGCTGTATGGTTTACGAGGAGGATCAAATTCTCCTGGTGGTATGTACTTAATAACATGATTATCTATTACTTGCAATAATGTGGTAAGAACACTTTTACCATTATTTAACCATAAAGGATAGTTGCCAATTTTTCTTGCTATTAATCCAGAGCGTGTGAATTTTGGATTCCATTTAACATTGTGTTCTACAGAATTTTCAGCAAGTGGAGATTTTAAGTCATAAGTTGAAATACCATGTATAACAGCAGGCATGCCAAATTTATCATGAACAACTTCTTTTATAAAAGCACGATTATCAGAGGTCAAGTGTTGTTCATCTTTTGCACGTTCTCGCTGTAAATACCACATTGGATATTTAATACGTGGTGGACGAACATTATGAGCATACCGATATTGAATAAATTTCAAGTCATTTAATTTAAATTTAAATGATTTCGGAAAATTAAAAAGAGTATGTTTAACAATATCATTCATTTTATCAATATATCATTAAATAATTTAGTTAATAAATAATAAATTAATTAAAGTTTTTAAATCAAAAATCATATAATAACAATCAATTCTACAACTTAGGATTAGCTTAAAAATTTTTATGAAAAAATATCGATAACACATGCATCATGAAGTTACCACTAATAACTAGATATCATGTTATCAAGCAAGATAAGTTGTAGAATAATTTTTGATAACAAGTGATAATATAATTTCCAAAGAGTTCAAAAATAAAATAAAATTAATAAAACCCAAATTAAAGTCCTCTCCCATATGTAGTAATATTACTCTCTGGTCTCATATGACTAGTGTTTTTGCAATCAGCATCGTCCGGAATGTTCTCCGAAAATCTTAGTTTGATAATTATATTATTACACTGGTTAACATTTCTGTTCAAGTATCTGACGTATACGCATTCATAAAAAATATTTATCAACAATTTTTTTTTAAACATAAAATTAATAAATTGGAGACTAGTAATTAAGACAAGAGATCTTTAGGTAAAGTTTTAAATAGATGAATTTGTATTTGAATCAAGCTCTAATGGTGTATATATTAATGGTTTAAATAATTAAATATAAATCATTATATAATTAAACTTGTGTTTTTTTTTTTTAGGAATAAATAAAATTATTAAACTTATTTAGTGTAGTTCTTTGAAAGTTAGCCATTAATAAAATAAATACTTATAGTACCCAGATGCTACCTACGAAATTTGCAAAATTCAATTATTTAGTTTTTTCTCTGTATACACACAGTTCAAATAAAGTAAAATCAGGTGATGTGGTTCAATGGGTTACATTTTAGCTTCGATGCGAAGCTGAGAACGTATTGGTTTTACTAAGATATGTTTATAATTTAAATATTTTTTTTATTTTTGTTACCACTTTTTCTCAGCTCTCAACGAACCGATTTCTTTCAATGATACGCAAAAAGATCACAAATCGTATCTAGTCGAAGACATTACCCTCAAAAATTGAAAAAAATTCCCTCGTTCCCCGTAAATGGGGGAAACCTCCAAAAAAATTACAAATTTAAAAATCGCTAATTTTTTCAATTTTTTTTATTTAACACTGCCATAACTTCTTCAAAAATGAACAAATCAATATAATTTTTTGAGAACCCTGGTCTAGTGGTATGTTTATTGTATTAAAAATTGAGCTAGAAGTATTTTGAAATATACCCTAGAGTAACGATAATATGAGGTTTAAATTAGTGGCCTATTTTGAAGGACGGTCTCTGGGTTCATCACAGCCCTCTCCCTAAAAACAATAGTTAAACGAAAAATATGTACTAATTACCAGTGACTTAGACATTTTTTTTAGGAGGAATAATTTCAATTAATTTTGGTAGCTTTTTTTTTATCAACTAAAAATTTAAAAATTACTATTTATTTTAAGGTAAGAATTAAAACAAGACAATTATTACTATTTTTTAGCTTCAAAAAAAAAACAAATTTAAAAATCGCTAATTTTCGAAATTTTTTCAATTTTTTTTACTTAAAAGTGCCGTAACTTTTTCAAAAATGAACAAATCAATATAATTTTTTTTTATATAGATTCTTGATGTCTTTACCTATCATTTGGTATATTTTTTTATAAATTTAACCCTTTACCAGCCCACAGAGGGGAAACAAAATGACAACTTTTTCACAAAAAATTAACTTTTTCAACTTAACTTTTGAAAGTGTTCCGGAAATACTGACATTTATATGTATATTAAATTAATGCTAATGTAATGTACTTTATTATGAAAAAAAAAAAATTTCGGACTTTATTTTGTCTACACGGTGAAAATGGCAACCATATGCTATTATTGTGTGAAAATTTTCGATTTTATTTTTTACATTTTTAATTTTATAATGTTATAATTTATTGAAAAGTGTATGGATCAACATAATTTTTTTATGAGAAATAATATTTTTTAATAATCCATTTTTCATTCGACATACTTTATCTTAATCAGAATATTAATAAGGAACTAGCAGATCATGTAGCTTTTGGAATAATCCACCAATTTTTTAAAATTAAACACTATCTAAAGATTTGCATCGAAGCGTTTTTTTTTTTATAGTGATTTTAATCACTGTCAGATATCATTATACTTGATCCAACTATGCTACGTCACCACTGTTCCACGACCCCCCTGTGTTGGGTTTTTTTTTCTTACTTCTTAAAAAATATGTTTAAAACAATATAATTTTTTTGAATGTAAAGGTAAAGGTAAAGATAGAAAGAAAGAGGAACTTTAGCCCTCCTCCAGTTGAGTCCCTTGAACATAACCTACAAAAATAGTTTGTATAGATATAATATCAAAAATTAGTGATGATAGAAAAAATTTAATTGCTGATTATATATTAGCACAAAAAATTGAGTAATAAAAGTATATTTTGGACTCTGATGAAAATTATTTGTATCAAGCCCTTTAATATTTATACACGTTTGTCATAAAAGTAACAACTATTTTATCATTTCTTCATAAAAATTACAATACTAAATTATTAAATATCAATTTCATAATATATTTAATTTCTTTAATAGATATTTAATAATATATTATACTTCTAAATAAAAAAACTACTAATCAGGAATAATAAAGAAAATAGAAATTCATTTTGCTTTGGAATCCATTGGAATCCACCAATTTCTTTAAATTCAACACTATCTACAGATTTGCATCAAAGCATTTTCTTATGATAGTGATTTTAATCACTGTCAGATATCATTATACTTGATCCAACTATGCTACGTCACCACTGTTCCACGACCCCCCTGTGTTGGGTTTTTTTTTCTTACTTCTTAAAAAATATGTTTAAAACAATATAATTTTTTTGAATGTAAAGGTAAAGGTAAAGATAGAAAGAAAGAGGAACTTTAGCCCTCCTCCAGTTGAGTCCCTTGAACATAACCTACAAAAATAGTTTGTATAGATATAATATCAAAAATTAGTGATGATAGAAAAAATTTAATTGCTGATTATATATTAGCACAAAAAATTGAGTAATAAAAGTATATTTTGGACTCTGATGAAAATTATTTGTATCAAGCCCTTTAATATTTATACACGTTTGTCATAAAAGTAACAACTATTTTATCATTTCTTCATAAAAATTACAATACTAAATTATTAAATATCAATTTCATAATATATTTAATTTCTTTAATAGATATTTAATAATATATTATACTTCTAAATAAAAAAACTACTAATCAGGAATAATAAAGAAAATAGAAATTCATTTTGCTTTGGAATCCATTGGAATCCACCAATTTCTTTAAATTCAACACTATCTACAGATTTGCATCAAAGCATTTTCTTATGATAGTGATTTTAATCACTGTCAGATATCATTATACTTGATCCAACTATGCTACGTCACCACTGTTCCACGACCCCCCTGTGTTGGGTTTTTTTTTCTTACTTCTTAAAAAATATGTTTAAAACAATATAATTTTTTTGAATGTAAAGGTAAAGGTAAAGATAGAAAGAAAGAGGAACTTTAGCCCTCCTCCAGTTGAGTCCCTTGAACATAGCCTACAAAAATAGTTTGAATACGCTTATTTATTTAATTTAATGATTTATGATGAAAATTAGTTTTTCTCAAATTAATAATGGAAGAGAGAATTTTTTTGTTTTTTTTCGTGAAGTATATTTCTTGATTTATTGACGATTTTACTTTTGATCTCTTATAAGGACGGTGTGGCAGAGTCGGTAACGGGATAGTGTTTGATGCGCAATGCCTTGGGTTCGAAACTCAATCACGGATGGCTTCATTTGCCGAACGAGAGATCAGTTCGGTAATTTGAGTCGCCATCCCTCTCTCTGGCGACGGACTAACCACTCGTCCCGGAGTATAAATGGTTAAAAAACCTCCTTCTTTGGGGTGGTCGCGATAGCCCTTAATGGGCTGATTAAAGCAAAAAAAAATAAGGGTAAAGGTCTGGCGGAACGGCAAAGCCAACAATGCACTTGCCTAGAGCCCCGAACTTCTAAAAGTCTCATATATACAAATGTAAAGCAAAAAAAGTCTCTTTTACTAAAAAAATATAAAAAGGATCCCACGAAAAAGTTTTTGTAATGGGTTTCACAATACCTAGTACCGATGTCATTCAAGTATGTCATATTTTTTATGGAAAAATGTAATATTTTGCAGCTTTAAATAAAATGGTACACCCAAAGAAAAACCTCAATCAATTTTGATAGAGAAATTTTATCAAGGGTTTATGATAATAGTTTATTATTAATACGAACAAAATAACTATTTTTATAAATAATTATTGTTCAAGACAAGAAAAAAAAATATATTGATAAATATATCATAGGTTCAATAGTAATGATATATTTATCAAATTGAACAATGAATTTATTATATAGATCGAGGTTTTTCTCTGGGTGTAAAACCAAAAATAGTGTGTTCTCTAAAAATTAAAGCATGTCCCTCGAATTTGAAATATGTGACCTATTTTTATAATGTATATTTAAATTTTAACCGTAGAAAGAGCATTTCTTGAATTTTAGTCGTAAATAAACTTGTTTATATATAACTTTTTTGAGATTAATTTTAGGTATTTATTATTTTAAAAAATCATTAAAAAAACTATTAAACCCTATGCACGAAAAAAAATCTAGTTATGCTACTGATGTGTGACCCTTGAGATCGGATTTACTATAATTTCAGAGGCAGAGAGGACGGGAAAAAGTACCTAGTTTAGTGCAACGAAATCGAATCCCATTATTAACTCATAGCGGCATAATGCGAATCCACCTTAGTTAAACAGGACACCTATGACCTGTTGGGAATGTTTAAAAATAAAAACTCCAGTCTTCCAAAATAAGGCGACCAAAATCTCTAATCAGCTTATTACGTAGTTTTATTTTATTGAAATAATACAAATGAGCTAATTAGTTAGCAATAAATATTTTTTTTAGAATGGGCAGATGGATTGTCTATAATCTTGAATATAACATTAATGCAGCCACTCCGAGTTGTTTCATTCAGTAATGTAAATAACTCATATTTATGATAAATAGTTTTAAAGGAATTTTCATATAAACTTTCGATTAAGCTACTGGCGTATTATGCATACTTTTTAATAAATTACATCACATTCAAGGCTTTCATCTGTATTGTAAAAACATCACGCTTATACTTCCTTACAGCGACGTGGAATTACCTTGCACTGTTTATTAACCCACGATCGTATCCGCTTACGCATTAGCGCTATAATAGGATCTTACAGGCGAGTAACCTAATGAGTATAGAGGTGCTCCTCTATTGGTCAAGTTCAATATAAAATATTTTAAATTAATTTTTAATTATTAAAAAAAATATATTTTAAAATACTGTCAATAAAATTGAAAAATGCATGGAGTAGATTTTTTAGGGAGTAGATCTCTTTTTCTTTTCAAAAAACATTGAATAAAAAATTTAATTAAATACTGTTCTCTTTGGTTAAATCATCACCAGAATTATAACCAACGTCGTAATAAATAATTTCGGGTAAAATTGTTGAAATACTGTCTACGTAAATTTTTCGTAATTGCGGGTCTTTAATTTTACTATTAAAAAGTAAGAGACTCGTAACTTTACTACTCTCCTTAAGGATGGCCTTAAGCACAAATAAAAGGTTTGCGATGATAAGTATACAATAATGTTTAATATATTAGTGTATGTTTTTAATTATGATTTTAATGGTAAGATTAAAATCGTGAAGTATACTCTCAAAGCAAAATTATCGAAAGACCGTTGAAAACTTGAGAGTTTAAGATTTTAAAAATGTTGGGATTTTTTGTGTTGTCTTAGATTACATTTTTTCCGATTACTTGAACAATGTAATAATATTATTTATATGAGTTCATTGGTAAAAATGTCAACACACGTTGAATAACTACGATTAAAGTTATTGAAATGTTAATGTATTAATGTGTTTATTTTGTTCTGATTATTTTGACAAGAGGAAATTACTAATACTGTGTACAATTACAGGCATTTTTATTCAAGGGATCACGTTTTTTATGGGTAGGGCGAAAAATAGACGCGCGTACAGCGTCGTAGCTAGTTCACTACTGGCTTGCTGTTCCCTCTCACGCGGCCACTGTCTCTTAATAGGTTGTGCAATATTGTGTACCTCGTGGTCGCTAAACGGAGTGACTACTACATAGTCATTCGGTCTGCGTATTGCACGACGCGAACAGTTCGATTGTCGCTAGGTTTTTGCGTTCAGTGTGATCGTAAAAGTCGATTTTGTTGTGTTCATTTATTGACGAAAATTAATATTAAGAAGCAGTTTTTGTACCGATCGCTTTGTACCTTCAAAACTGTTGCGGAACTCATGTCGCCGAACACGCGACCTACAACGAAATAATGATAAGCGCTTTTCAAAACTTTTCTTCGCCGCACTTCGGTTACGGCGGTAGCGCGTTACCGGATGCGGCCGTTCCCTTGTACAATGGCCAACAACCGATGCATCCCTTTGTTGGACATTCTGCTCCCGCGTATAATTTTGCAAGACAACCCGTGTACAACGCTGGTCAACCGCCTCAGTACAATAGTCGACAACGTCAAGCTCTTCCCTACGAACCGGCTTTTCGTGAGCCTTACACACGACCGCAAATCAGTAATAAGCACTACGAACAAGTGGACGTACCGCCGGTGCCAAATCGAAAGAGACCTGCCTCCACATCTCCTCCAGTTCAGTACACTAGGGTACAAGGTGGTGTACCTGGTGGTATGTTATTAATTATTGAAATAATAAAAGGATAATTTAAAAAATAAAGAAATTGTACAATTGTATAGTTTAATTATATTTTATCGGTTGCTTACGAATTCGTAAGCAGTCGGATTAGATTAATCATATCAGATTAGGTTAAACAAATTAGAAAATATTATTATTTATTTTAAAATATTAATCTAATTTTAATCATATCTGTCAGTATACGTATACGTGAAATCATATTTTGAAGGGAATTAGTCTTATTTTGCCCTCCTTAAAAAATATTTTCGGATAAAATACATTTGATTTTTCATCTTTTGAGGAGCTCAGCTCCTTTATGAATATCCACTTTATGTCTACTTGTAGTGTAATTTTTAAATAAAAATTTAAAAAAAGAAGAGATTTTCTTAAAAATAAAATCGAATAACAATGAAATAAATGTTTTCTGCCCAATTTAAATAAAATTTGGTCGTGTAGCTTTTATTCATTCCGATTAAACTAACTTATGTTCAGGGCCACATTTAAGAAAAGGCAGTTGCAATGGACTTATTTGAGCCCTCCTTACCACTAACAAGAGAAATAAAAGTATTTATTATAATTTGGAAGAAATAATTTTTGTTTTCGCTTATAAAAATTCAAGTTGTAATCCGAATCCATATTTAGAGGGCTACTATTTCAAATTATACATGGCCCATGTATTGGTAAATCAGTTATTGCTTGTACGGGTTTCCCTCTTCCTACTGCTGTAGAGTCACTCAAGTAAATTAAACATTTTTGGTCAATGTTATTATAATGGTTGATTTAGTTTAGAGGTGAAAAAATATTATTGCTACACTATGTTAAATTATACTGTCGTTAAGTTAAATTTTTTGATTATTTGATATTATACAAAGCAAAAATAATTTTTTTAACATTTTAGAATTCAAGTATCTCTAATATCAAACATTTGCACTTATAGTTTTGTAATAATTGTTTTTAAATTGATTTTTCAGGTAAAACATCAGTACATGCTGTACTAGATTATGATGTAGAAGATGACGAAACTTTGGATTATTTAGATAAATATAGTAAAGAAAATGAAAAAGTTACGCCAATTCAAGGTCCGATTTTCTTAAGAAATGGTACCGTACCTGTTGTACCGCTATTTGGTTATCAAAAAGTTAGCAACGGATCTTTTCTACAAATACCCGTAAGTTAATTTCCGATACTTCTATATTGGTATTTGTGTAATGGAATCATGTCAAGAAAAAAGGATTATTATTCCAATTATTAAATTGCTTTTACTTTTAGAAGGTTCATACAAATTAAATGTGAAAATCAGCGCTAATTTTAACTGTTAGTAATTAACTTTTTTTCTCGGAGATTCCTATCTCCTAGAAAATAGCCCGGAGGAATGCTAAATTCATAAGATAAAACAAAATGTATAGATTTAAAAAAAATATTTAAATGGCGAGAGTGCACATAATATGTCATCATAACTTATTATGTAATTATAATAGCAGCAAAATAAATATGAAAATCATTATAAAGCGATTAACACTAAGTTGATCTAAAAAGACGATAATTGTTAACTACCAATATTACCCGTAGCGTGTTTATAAATATGTATTTTTTGCATAAGCAAGTATTGGATAACTCGAATTGAACCCTTTAATGAATGACAGTGGTTGCCATATTATGTTACTAGTCATAATAAATGCGGAGATGTGAACACTTTCATTTATTTTTGGCTAATTCGCATTGAAGATGCGACCGGCTTATAAAACACGAAGAAAACTTGAGTTTCGGTGTTTATTATGTTGATTTCGTTGTAATGTCTATAAGGATACGGGAACGACACCAGTCATTGGATTAATTATCACTGGTTTCTTATACAACGCCATGACCGAGCAAAACGTTAAACAAAGTAGCTTTGAACTTGTCTGTTACGATGACATTGAAATCCTGATCGAAATGTTAGTGCCGCGGCCCAAGCAATGTAGTGAACGAGTGTCGATCACGATCAGGGCAAAATGCGAACAATTATAAGTGTTCCAATCACTCATGTCTCCCAGCACAGGTACGCTGTGTTTAGTACAAATGCCCTAATTTGTATAACAACATAAATTAATTTTATCAAAAGTACTCATTAGCACAAATATTCGACACATTATCTGCAAAATGATAAGTAAATTTATTGTTGTTCTAGAAAAAACAGATGTTGGTCTATGTAAATCGTGACCTAGTTCAAAAATAATTGAGTTGTACTCTGTGCATATTATGTTAAGAAATGTTAAATATCGTCGTAAACGCCAATACTCTTAAGTGACAGCTGTGGTAGGGCTCATGACGAATAAATTGCATAACTCGACGCTGCTCGAGGACATCCCGGCTGGGCTAATTTAACGGCTCTTTCGGGTGGGGTATGGTGTCGATTCTATGAAATATTAAAAAAAAACTTTTGGACAGCATCGGCCGAACCTCTTTTATGCGCATTACTAATATACTTATATGTAAGTAAATTACTTATGCGCATAGTGAAAGTGAACCGAGCAAAATATATGCACGGAAATTGTATGCATTTATATAATACATAAAGAATATACAAAATGACATTAAAATCATATGTGCACATAAAAATTAAAAACTCGTGCAACCAGTGTCACAACTAGTCGAGTAAAGATTATATGTACAAAAGTATACCCTCAAAACCCTGTTTTAATATTTTTGAAAACTTATTACTGGCGCTATATTGACAATTTTTTAATTAAAGTAGCTTTCTTAATTTCTCATACCCTAAAATATATTTCTTATATAATAAAATACATAGTTTTTTCTGGAATTTTGGAGTGGATAAACCCATTGATAGGCCCCAATTTGTGCCTATGAATTAATCACAAATAGCGGAGAATTTTAATTCTATTTTTTTAATGAATTTTTTACACTAGCATTATAATTAAAGTTTCATTAAGGAGAGGATAGGTATTGCAATTTAGTATTCTTTAGGGAAGGAGAGATAGAAGTCCTTCTATATTGCATGTCTGTTATTTCTATTGTTATAACATTTATAATACAATTGCCAACTTAGAATTATTGTTTTTTAGTTTAATATAATATTTAGGTTAAATTTAATTGAGGCCAATTTTGTATATTTAAAAAATTAGTACAAATTTAAAAAATAAGTAATATTTTGTAGTAGTATTTTATAAATAAAATGACGTAACCAGGATTTATTTCCGAAGGGAGACATCATTTCCAACATTTTTTGCTCATCGTTTCAAAGAATTGCCAAAGAAATAGTGTTCAATAGTTTTGTTATTTTAGATAGAGTTCAACTTTTCTTTTCTAAAAAAAATATTTTTAGGTTTCTAAAATGTTAAGTCGTTAGCTACCTAGCTTGTCATCTCTTTTTATATTTGAAAGCCAATAATACAATAACTTATTATCAAGAGTGGTTAATAATTTTGAACGGAAATGGGTTTATAAACCCAAACCATACCGCTAGTTAAGTTTTTAATAAATAAATTCATAAACTGTCAATTAACATAGTTAAATGGTACTACGATTCCATTTTAATCATTAGCCAGGGCTTAATTCTCTTTTCAAAGTAGTGTTTTAAAATCATAACATCGTTCATTCAAGAAAATCTTAAATTAAAATGATAACTTAGATCGTTTTGTCATTGTTGTATGAAAAAAAATTGTTTTCAGGTAAACCATTTAAATTTTAAGTTACTCAATTTATTTTTGTTTTAAATAGTCATAAAGAAATTTACAAATTTAAATACATCTAGAGATCTGCTATTTTTTAATTTGTTTTTAATGAATAATTTGTTTAAATAATCAATATAATTTTAAATTTTAATATTGTATGGCTATTAGTAATAAGGCTGAGGTCAAAACCCTTGTTGTTTTAACTTTTCTATTTACCTTCTTTTACGCATTATTCTATCACATTCGACAAATGTCAACACGTGAAATGCATAGTATTTTGACATTGAAACAATCATTCATACCGTTTTAGTACTTAAGTAGGTTTAATCAATAGTTATAAAACCTATTAACTTATAGTATTTGAAGTATTATTTGTGTGTAAATAAATATTATAAATTTTAATGTGTTTACAAACTATAGTCTAAGATTTCTTAAGTTTATTTAGCTAAAAAGTATATTTTATATGCTCAATGTCTATACTTAAAAATTTTGCTTTAAATTATCATTATTTTTTATTTTATTTTTTTACAATTTTTAAGTATTCTAATTTTTGATAATATTAATAAAATAATAAATAAAAGTATTCATTAAAATTATCTCTAGGACTATTTTAAATAACTTATTAACGTAAGTTAACTTTGATGTTTTTTTTAAGTTAATTAAAATGTCTAATTACATATTTAAACAATACTACTTAGTAAATAAAATGACGTATTTTTTGAGGGCGATTAGAACCCTGGTCTAGTGGTATGTTTATTGTATTAAAAATTGAGCTAGAAGTATTTTGAAATATACCATAGAGTAACGATAATATGAGGTTTAAATTAGTGGCCTATTTTGAAGGACGGTCTCTGGGTTCATCACAGCCCTCTCCCTAAAAACAATAGTTAAACGAAAAATATGTACTAATTACCAGTGACTTAGACATTTTTTTTAGGAGGAATAATTTCAATTAATTTTGGTAGCTTTTTTTTTATCTACTAAAAATTTAAAAATTACTATTTATTTTAAGGTAAGAATTAAAACAAGACAATTTTTACTATTTTTTAGCTTCGATGCAAAGCTTAGAAGGTATTAATTTTACTATGATGTGTATTTTTTTTTTTTTTTTTGTCTGTTACCACTTTTTCTCAGCCCTCACCGAACCGATTTCTTTCAATGATACGCAAAAAGATCACAAATCGTATCTAGTCGAAGACATTACCCTCAAAAATTGAAAAAAATTCCCTCGTTCCCCGTAAATGGGGGAAACCTCCAAAAAAAAAAACAAATTTAAAAATCGCTAATTTTTTCAATTTTTTTTATTTAAAACTGCCATAACTTCTTCAAAAATGAACAAATCAATATAATTTTTTTTTTTATATAGATTCTTGATGTCTTTACCTATCAATTGGTATATTTTTTTTATAAATTTAACCCTTTACCAGCCCACAGAGGGGAAACAAAATGACAACTTTTTCACAAAAAATTAACTTTTGAAAGTGTTCCGGAAATACTGACACTTATATATATATTAAATTAAAGCTAATGTAATGTACTTTATTATGAAAAAAAAAAAAATTTCGGACTTTATTTTGTCTACACGGTGAAAATGGCAACCATATGCTATTATTGTGTGAAAATTCTCGATTTTATTTTTTACATTTTTAATTTTATAATGTTATAATTTATTGAAAAGTGTATGGATCAACATAATTNTCCAAAAAAATTACAAATTTAAAAATCGCTAATTTTCGAAATTTTTTCAATTTTTTTTACTTAAAAGTGCCGTAACTTTTTCAAAAATGAACAAATCAATATAATTTTTTTTTATATAGATTCTTGATGTCTTTACCTATCATTTGGTATATTTTTTTATAAATTTAACCCTTTACCAGCCCACAGAGGGGAAACAAAATGACAACTTTTTCACAAAAAATTAACTTTTTCAACTTAACTTTTGAAAGTGTTCCGGAAATACTGACATTTATATGTATATTAAATTAATGCTNACTGACACTTATATATATATTAAATTAAAGCTAATGTAATGTACTTTATTATGAAAAAAAAAAAATTTCGGACTTTATTTTGTCTACACGGTGAAAATGGCAACCATATGCTATTATTGTGTGAAAATTCTCGATTTTATTTTTTACATTTTTAATTTTATAATGTTATAATTTATTGAAAAGTGTATGGATCAACATAATTTTTTTATGAGAAATAATATTTTTTAATAATCCATTTTTCATTCGACATACTTTATCTTAATCAGGATATTAATAAGGAACTAGCAGATCATGAAGCTTTTGGAATAATCCACCAATTTTTTAAAATTAAACACTATCTAAAGATTTGCATCGAAGCGTTTTTTTTTTTATAGTGATTTTAATCACTGTCAGATATCATTATACTTGATCCAACTATGCCACGTCACCACTGTGCCACGACCCCCCTGTGTTGGGTTTTTTTTTTTCATTTGAAATTTTCAAAATTCCTTCTAAAATTGTTTTATAAATACGCCATTGTTTTTAATATAAGTAAACGATAGTAATATCTATGAATACAAATTGGCTGAATACTCTTCAAGAAAAAAAATTGTAAGAGAAAATATGCTACTCAATAATTTGTCTTATAGTTCATTAAAAAAATTTGATGATAGTCTTAAGAAAAAAATGGCTCTAAATGAGTAGAGAATATATGAAAATATTTTAAGGCTATTTTTAAAGCAAATAATTTTGAAAAATGATAATTTTAAAATTCTATTGTTTTGGAATGTAAAAAAGTGAATAAGCCTGATGTGCTTATCGAATAAGAACTTTGAGCTAGCTTCTTTTCAAAATTTATTTCAAACTAACCATTTGATTAACAAAAAAGAGCTTATGACTATTTTCTTTTATAAATAGGATAGGATAAAAGGTCTTCGATTTTGATTTTGAATGTTGTCATATTATGGTTCAAATTATCGATGTAGTATTTTATAATATTTAACAGTTGGCAAATAAATAATATTCAAGTTGTGCATATTAATAGTCTAAAAACCGGTTATATTTGACGAATTTTGAATAAATTATTTTCAAGGAACTAATGAATGAATTTATAGTTTCGATCTAGTGAATAACGAAGTAAAAAAGTGTTGCTTTAAGAGTAGTATTAACCAATTGAAATATCTTAACACGATCTAACGTTTATTTTAGCATTTAAAATATCTGCATTAGTATGTGCAATACTGTTGTATGAAAATTAGGTAGATTTATATCAATATTGGCTTATTTTACAGAAAAGAAACATAATGATTAACCTGTTTGTGGACAATGAAACCGAAGTGTAAATGGTAATTACTATTTAAGTCATTCTGTCGGATTTCTATAACAGACATAATGAACAATGATTGTTATATATATATTTTTAATTTTTTCTCTGGCATAATAACTCACAATATTGTCAGTAATAATTAATAAGGTTGAATCATTTTAATTCGTCTTAAAAAAAAGTGTACTGGATTGCCGAATGCCGTTCTTATTGATTAATTAAAATTTTAGTCTTTTGAAAAAAAAAGTTCTTGATTACTAAACGGGAAAAGTAAAATATTATTTATATTATGAAGAATGTTTTCTTTTAGGCTCTTAAAACGTACCAGATATTACGCTTACATCATATTGGTTATGTTAAAATATTATCGATTTCCTTTCATGTTAAAATAATATCTACATTTTATGTCATGCTACATCAGTTTCTATGAAAAATAATTACTTCTGAAACATGATTTACGCACTCTTATAGAAAGTAATCAATAACTTTTAAACTTCACGGACGTATTCCTTGTTCCTCGGTTATTTTAGTGCACCGAAATAATTGTATTTTTGTTTGATTTATCTGGTTAATGTTAAATAAAATCTCTGTCCATATGTGCTTTAATAAAAGCCGATAGAACAAGCAATAAAGTCCTATTAGTTATAGAGTTTTTATTTTAATAATCAAGATAAAAGCTTTCCATGACATATTTTCCTACTTTTTTTTGTATTCAATTTTGATATTGGTTTGTAGCAATTTTTAACGCTTCTTCCTTTTTCAATAGTTATGACTCGAATATCCGAACGGAGCCGTGTCATTTTTATTTCTTGGGATAGTTAATAAGGTAGTCTCCCCTTGTCTTCCGTATCGCAATGTAGTCATTAGTTTTTAAAATATGCATTTTATCATTATATATTAAGCCAAATAGTTTGTATACTCGGTATTATTGTGAACTTGATATGTAAAATCCAAAAATAATGATATATTCAATACACAATTATAAAAGTATTAAGTTATCCTTGAGAGTTGTTGTCACGTTGTTAAAATTCTCCATGCTGAACTGGAACAATAATAGTCATATTGAATTACTTTTTTATATTGGTGACTAATTTTGTTAAATATATATATGTATAATAGGACGAATGGCCTCGTGTTTAACTATGAAAGTAATAAGCTATTAAATTATTTAAAAGTTATTATTACTTTATCAACCAATGGCAGATTCGGGGGGTCACATTTGTCATGAACCCTCTAAAATATTCTTGTTATTGTTTTCTTAAGCTTAAAGTTTTCACAAAACAAGGTCTCGTGGTCTAATACAGACTTCACATCAATATTTACATGTATTGTGGAGTTCGCGTCTGGTTTAAAATATTCAAAATATTGTGAATTAAATAATAAAACTTTTTATATGAAGTATTTCAACGATATATAATTTATAAATTAGAAAAAATAAAGTTATAATATCTATTCTTGAAGTTCTAAAATTAATAGAAGTAAATTGATATAAGTCAATAAGTTTGTAAAATTAAGTTATCATTTTATTTATTCCACATAATATCACTTTAATTTATACCTTCTAAATAAGTTTGCGTTTATAATTAGTAATTAACAAATTTGCCTGAGACCCATAGCAAGAAAAATATAACTAAATTTTATGTACTTCCAAATTATGAACTTAAAGTATATAAAAATAGATTTTTGAAAAAAAAATCATATATTACCAAATTGTTTACAAAGGACCTCGGAATTTAGAATATGCCTAGGACTTATACAAATCATAACGGCATATTTGCCCTTGAATAGGCATTTTCGTTCATTACTATGGTTTTTATTAAATTTATTTGAAATTTGATTGTTATGAATTTTTCAAAAACTGGTTTTTCATTTGTTTTAACGTGGACATATTTTTTCCTTATAGGCCATTATCCATTCTCAGTTGAAATTTTATTTTCTATGTATTAATTATAGCAATGTCATTTCTTTTTAAAATATTCAAATTCTTAGGTAATCATTGGGGAACTTCATCATAGTGTCAATTTTCATGTAATTGAAAACATTATTTTTATAACTAGGTGTTAATTATGGAAATACTTTTAAAGGCCTACGGTTGTCATTTGTTGGTTAATAATTATTTGAAAGTCATTTTTGTGTAAATTACATTTTGATATTACCTAATAGTATGATTGGTTTAAAATAAATGTAGACGTATCCATTTTCAGTTAACACAAAAAAATTATCTCACTAGTTCTTTATTGTTTTTATATACAAGAGTAGTTATATAGTGAATTTACTTAATTAATGCATTCTAACACTTCAAAATAAGATATGAATATCTATTAAAAATAAACCAATGGCAAAATTTTGGTGAAGTTTCATTTGTTTTACAAGTATTAAAATAGCATCTATATAATAATTTGGCCAAGAGCGCCATTATATTAATACTAAAATATCCTCTGTACGCTGTGTCTAAGTCCATTAAGATTCTACACTATTTTTGACATCAATAATTATTAATGATATCAATGTAATGTAACTATTATCATAGTTATGTTAGGTTAAATCGGTAATATTAATCAATTAATTTGAAATCGCCATTTAAAAGTTATTTGTATACTTTATGCTTAGTGTTAATCTATACTGTAAATTATTATATTTATTTATTCTATCTATTACAGGTACTATGGACTGCTTTATCGTTCGCTTTGGGGTATGAAATTAATGGTGATATTATTCGTGGAAATCCTTGTATCAAAAGAAATCATCAACTTTTTTGTCCTACAGCAGGCAAAAGTTATCCAATGTAAGTAAGTAATAACTAAACTAACCTTAGATTTACGAGTAATTACCAGAGAACAGTGGCGGCTCGCCGGATGAGGCAAGTGAGGCACAATCTCACCTGCAATTTACCATATAATAATTTATTTATTTCGAGCCTCTATCAATATCAAATATCTTTCAAAATATTATAATTTATTTTTATAATTAACGCAATTCGTAATCTTGAACCATAAAAGATAGTAGGACGAAAATAGATAACATAATGTTGCGCCTGACTGGCGCTGCACAAACACAGCGAGATATAACACGGCATTTAGTGCCGAAACCAAAGGTTTGCGCTCGCCGTTCGTTAATGATTAAAAAATGACAACACGTTACACGACTGATTACGAAGCAAACCAATGAGGTCCGAGAGGCAAACTTTTTTTTGATTCAGTTGCTATACTGGATTATTAAGATTGATTGGTGGAGGAGAGTCGTGAATACTTGGTAAAATGAGGCTGATGTAAATTTTCCTCAGCGGTGAACACCATCGTGTGCCAGGTGGTTTCAAATGCGAAACGACATTTTACATCTAAATTAAATGGAATCGACAATATGTCGTTATTGTTCCTAATCTATGCTTACCCCACAAAAACAACAAACGAATTACGTTTATCACATCAGTTATCAGTCAATGTATAAAAGTATTATACGATTATAATTTTTCATCTTATAATTTATAAAAATGTTAAAGAATTAACATGTTACCTATTAATACAGCTATCTCTAGTCTCTAGCTATATACTAAAATCCTAAGCCCCTCGAAATAATTATCTACCTATAATCTTAAAAATAGGTATATTCTTTATTCAAATTTACTAAATTAAAAGTTTGCCTCACCACTTCCGAGACCCACGAGCCGCCACTGCCAGAGAACGAAAACGTTATGCATAACGTTATAATTATAACATTTCAAACGAAAATTTTTATTTAAACGCAAAAAATAAAGAAATATATATGATATTAATAAGAATAAAACAATTTTTGTTAAAATATTATTAGGATTTAGACAAATGTCGTTCAAATAATTAGTATGTGTTTACTTTATTTTAAGAGATCGTATTGATAAATTTATTGATGAAAATAAAGCTTTGATGAAACGGATGTATGGTGAATTCGAGATGATGGAAAATGGTCCATTTCATAAAAATAAAAGACCAACAGTTCGAAAAAAAAGGCAAAATGGTGGATTTTCAGATGATCAAACGAAATCTAATAAACTTCCAACAAAAGGAATACCTACAGATTCTGGAAGGTATTTGTGATTAGATTGAATATTTAATAATATTTAACTTTGAAAATCGAAGAAGCAAATAATAGGTTTGTCTATTAAATGAAATAAAGCTACTTTATTTGGAGTCCTCTGATAACTATGGACACAGCATGAAAAATTGTTTGTGTTATTTCATAAGTCTGCATAGACTTAAATTAGAGCTTTTCCGCCAAATTTCCTTGTCTTATCCTTTCATGAAAACAGTTCATTTGTGAGGGCAACGAATGTATCTATAGAGGCACACTTTCATGCAAACTACGATAATACCGACAGTCGAAATTGTTACATTAGTGATACCGAACAGAGTACAGAATACAAAGGTATGGGGTAGGGGTTCAAATCTTTGTGTAATAAAAAATAAAATTTTTGTGTAATCAAATTATATTAAAAATAATGGAATGCGAGTAAATGTATTCAAATAAAATTTCTTCTATAAATAATTCAAACCTATGCGTCTGTATCCTATTAAAACAATATGTATTCATAATTTGAGTCTTATATAATGTATGAAAGGCAATATAAGTTCAATAATTGTATAATTATTAATGACCGATTAATAATTTACATGATTTTTAATTTCAGAATAGATTCATGCGAATCAAAAGTAGAAGTTGTAACTCCTTATTGGGCGGCTAATAGTGTGGGCAAAACCAGAGCGATTGTCAATACCGAACACTTTGAACAAGCCATTCACCAAGAAGTTTGCACGTGAGTAATAATTCGCATTGAAAATTAAAATTTTAATTAAGTCTCATGTTTTTTTGTTAATTGAACATTTGGAAGGTAACTATTTTAAACTTTCTATTAATTCAAATTAAATTTTAAATATATTGTTTTAATTAAATATTTTATGCAAAAAAAATTTTATCTAATGCGGTTATTTTGTATTACTTACAAAAAAATTATTTTTACTGTGATATCATTAGGCGCGGTGCTCTATCCAAATGTCTTATACTTATGGCCAAACCCCCTCATCTATATTTGATTTGTAACTTTTCGTGTGTAATAATTTCATTCTTAAAAAATGTATTTTAATATACAGGTAGGTAGGGTTATAATTTTATTTTTTATAACAAAACCTTAATTAATTAGATGCCTTTAGAATAATACATTATAGAAAATTTATGTTTTAAAGAAATTAATTAAATCTTCTCAATTATCCATTGTCAATAAATTTACGAAGGTCATGCGTGTACTTTTAAGTACTTATAAATTACATGGAACGCAGAATTTTTTATTTTATACTCATAATAAATCTTAGGTTTTATGTATGTACGTTTTAAACCGAATTTCTAGAGTAAATTAATGATTTTAATTTTAGTTAAATTTTAATCAAATTATTGAACATTTTACAATATTTTTTTAAGGAAAACACTGACGTCTCGTTGTTCTGGAGATTGTGGCTGCGAACAAAAATATAAATGGCATAGGTTACTTGCTTACGATCCAGACAACGACTGCAAGGGAATATTTATGGATTGGTTTTTATTTCCCTCGTGTTGCATATGCCGTTGTGATTCAACAACACCCAACAATATTTAAACATCTTTCAATCGTATATGTAGTGTGTATTCTGTCTATATCCCGTTTTTTAATTTTACTGTAAACTAATAAGTTTAAATAAAATAGTTGAAAGTATCAGCTTTTATCAATCATTTTTTTTCTTTGTAGGAATTAGTTGTACGGATAATCAACTGTAGTAAAATTATTCATTGTAAGATAACTCAAATAATAAATTATATGTACTTTATAAGAACAAAAATGTTTCACGTACTTCTTAAAAAAATCTTTGTGTTTTCACTAAGGGACTGGTTTTGAAGCAAAAAATATGGGCAAGGTATGTGTTACTGTTTGGGTTCCCGGATTAATGACCATACAGGAACTAACAGCCAATAGGGCAATGTTTTTTTTTGTTTACTTATACTTTGGTAATAAGCGATGCAATAAAAAATGCTTTGATAAACAAAAAAATGTTGTGGAATCCGTAACACATTAGCATTCAAGCGCCAAATTTCTGAATACGTTTCCGAACATGATTTTGTGGCCTATACCACATGATACAATTATACATATTATAAGAAAAGGACACCGACTATTAGTCCAAATAATATTATTGTTAGCTACCTTCTAGGTAATCATTACATCGTGATAATAGAAATAAACAAAATTGATAATTCTCATAAAAAAAAACAAAATCTGTCCACCAGAGGTAAATTATTCCAAGTCACATTCCTTCGAAAATGAGTCGAGACTGCATTTAGAGTGCTCACTAAATAAGCATTTAAAAAATACTATCACGTCATTTTCAAACCCAACCCATTAATGGGTTGAATTTGAAAATGAAAGTTTCATGGAAAAAATGTTCAATTGTTTATTAATAAAAAAAAAAATTATTTTATCGTTATCTAAGAATACATAAGTTGTTGAAAAAAATTTCAACTAAATGTCAACTGTATCAATAGTCATAAAAGTTGTCGCTTAGATCTGTTCCATTTTGTATATTTTTTAAAAGCACAAAATGTTTGTGCTGTTATAATGATTGACTTCTAAGTTGGCAATCATGACTATTGATGAAATAAATATAAGTAATACCTTGAGGCCTCCGTAGTAATAGGTGTGTCGATTTGTTGGATAGCTAAATGTAATTTTTCGCCAAAAAATTTATATATAAAAATAAATACGACTTTTCAACATTTTAGGAAGTTAAGACTTCTCTCTATAAGGGTACAATGATTTTGATCTGGCTAATGATATTAGATGATCAGCCAAAATTATGGCACAAACAAAAATAAACTGAAAAGGCGCTTCAGATTAAAACCCAAACAGTGCTACCAAAAAGAATTTTCGATAAGAAAAATATGATAAAAGTAGGATTTTTTTATTATATAATCAAAATCATAAATATACAATGCATATATTGTATATTTATAACCAGAACATGCACATAAAATATTGCTATCAAAGTTTTAAGAATTTTTTTTTTATTTTTTTTAACATAAATCAAAATTAAAATTAAGGTTTTATCTAACCTAAAATATTAATGTAGTGTAAAACAAATTTTTTTATTTAAACCTTTTTAATAAGTAAATATTCATTAAACATTATTTCAATTTATTTTAATTAAGAATGATAGTTGTGACTCAACAATGGATTTTATTATTACAATTTTTTTTTCAGTATAAATTCAATATACTTTAGTTAATACTGGTATGCCGTTGTAATAATTACGTTGTTTTGTTTTATAATAATTATGTCGATTTCATCAAATAAGTATTGATTTTAGATTAGTCATTATTTGAAAGATATAAAACACGTGTGCATAGGAAATATTATGAGAAATTACGAATGAAATATATTTATTGTTATAAAAAGAGGTGTGTCCGCATAAGGGGCTACCTGGTTAACTTTTGTAGGGTTCAACGAAAAGGTCGCTCGTGAGACTTTTGGATGCATTATAGCTAATGAATACGATAAAACTCGGGTAAAAATGTATGCAATGTTATTTATAATTTATGTTCTTACGTTTATGCATACATATCTAAGTGAAAAAATATTTTTTCTTTTGCTCAACAAAAAGTTTTAGGGGGTATAAAATACAAATTATCTTGGAGTGCGATACACTTAATATGCCACTAGTGTGAATAAAATGGGATCGATAGTTGATTATTGGATTATTTAAAATAAAATTATTATGAGATAATAAGTTTTGAAATTCAATGACGGAATTCCGGTGACTCATAATTCTTTTCCTGATACCGATATACATAATATAATAACTAAAGTAAGACTCTGATACATATTATAAATATATAGTATTCTTCAAAACTCTTTTCCCAGAAAAATTTAGAAAATTTGACTTCTGAACTTAACTTTGTGGTGAAAACGGACATTAAAGTTAAAGAAAAACGTACGATTTCCGTAAAAAAATTCTTATTTTATATTTTATTACTTTATATTTTATATTTTTAAATTTATATTGCTATAACTTTTTGAAAAATGTATTATTATAATACTATAATATTCTAAATTTTTTGGTAATGTGTTGCTATATAAATCATTTCTAAAATAAATGATTGTTAGTTTCTCTTGAATTAACAATGGATTTTTTTACAATTATAATGAAATATTATAATAAGCTCTATATAATAGATCTTTTTACACAACTTTTTTGAATTGGTTTTTTAGTTAAAGTAAATCATTAAAATTAATTCAGTTCATATTTCAATTGTAGAATCTTTTTAAACACCAAAAGTTATTAAGAAATGATTACTATTATTTCTATTTAAGTTATTTATTACGATAAAAATGCAAAAAAATATTCAGCTTTTTTGATAAATTTACTATAAATAGTAATTATAGAAATTCCTGACTGTAAATTAATCTTAACGATACAATTTTTTTAATTCTTATAAAATTTTCTATTTAATAATGTAAATTTCAAACTTGAAGTTGAGCTAAAAGTTATGGTAACAAATTCAACTTTTTTTTATTATAAGAACAAAAAAAAATTATATTTTGCACTGATTATTTTTAACATATTAAAAATCAAAATCAATATTAATTTAAAACAATTTTTTTTTGTTCTAAATTATTTTTTTTTATATGTAAATACTTATTTTTTAATAATAAGTAATAATATTAAAACTTAGAAGTGATAGAAAAAGTCTAAATGCACATTTCAAAACGTCGCAAAAAGTTGATTTAGAAAAAGTATATTTTTGTTTCTAATGAAAGTTCCTTGTAGTCCAGTGTATAAAATTTATAACTTTGTTATAAGTAACGAACATTTTTTATTGAAAAGTATTGGATCAAGCCCTTTAAATTTTTATACGAGTAATAAGTAAAGAAATATACAACTACCTTATTATTTTTATAATTTCTCCGTAAAAATTACAATATTAAATTATATCAATTTCATACTAAATTTAATTACTAAAATTATTATTTATTCATACATTATAATTATAAATCAAATAACTAATCGGGATAAAATTAAGGGAATAAGAGTTATTGTTGCTTTTGAAATAATTTACCAATTTCTTAAAATTAAACACTATCTACAGAATTGCATCGAAGCGTTTCTTATGATAATGATTAAAACCGCTGTCAGATATCATCTATACTTGTTCCAACTATGCCGCGACCCCACTGTGCTACCGTTTTTTAGATGTACAATTATGTAATACGAATAATGTTAAAAGCCAAGGTGTAATTTCTGTTATCACATTGTCCTTCAGATTTTCTTGCTTATCAATTGTCGGCTGATTATTTAACCTCTTTAAAACTCGGTGATTTAAAAGTTGTTATTAACCACATCAGCTACTTAACATTAGATAAGGTATACAGCAACACTATATTAGCTATAGGTAAATTATTATTTATATTGTCATTTAAATAAATTCAATTTTATTTCTTACAATTTTTAATTTAGTTCTATTTTAACATTCTTCTTTTGTTTTACTTCAAAGTCAATATGCCACCTTTAGTTACTGCTGAAAAAATACAGTCTGAAGCAGTAGATGGTAATGTAAAATTGCCAGGTGTTAATGCCATTTTATTAGGACCACCAGGGTCTGGAAAAGGAACCCAAGTAATTTAATTTTTGACTTCGTTGTAATTCAATTTTGTATAAGATAGAATATAAATTTTAAGTTAATTTGTATTTTTAGGCTCCAAAGTTGTTACAAAAGTTTTATGTTTGTCACTTGTCAACAGGTGATATGTTACGATCTGAAGTTGCCTCTGGTTCAGATTTAGGAAAAAAAGTTAAAGAAGTAATGGATTCAGGTAATACAAAAAATCATAGAAATTGTAATATTTATATTTCTTAACTGACTTGGTTTATAATGTAATTTATCGTGGTTTTTGTTTTTTGTAAACTTTGTTAACCTTAAATTCAAAAATATTTTAATAAAAGTATCAATAAAATGATTAATAGTGAAATAAAAAAAAAATTTTTACATGTATCATCATGATTACAGGTGCTTTAGTAAGTGACAGTTTAGTGGTTGACTTGATTGATCACAATTTAGATAGACCTGAATGCAGACAAGGATTTTTATTAGATGGTTTTCCACGCACTGTGCCTCAGGCAGAGAAAGTATGTTAAATATTTTATAATTAACTTGGTTTATTATTAATTTATCTTTTTAGCTGGATCAACTTTTAGAAAAACGAAAAACACAGCTTGATTCTGTAGTTGAATTTAATATTAGTGATAGTCTCTTGGTTAGTCGTATTACTGGTCGCTTAATACATCCATCAAGTGGTCGGTCATATCATACTGAATTCCATCCTCCAAAAGTTCATATGAAAGATGATGTGAATATTAAATCAATTATTACTCAAGGTATTATTTAATTAGTATTGAAACATTGTTACAGATAACTGGTGAACCATTGATTCGACGTACTGATGATAATGTTGAAGCTTTAAAAAAACGTCTTGAATCTTACCACAAGCAAACTACTCCCCTAATTGAATACTATAAGAAAAAAGGTAAATAGTAAAAAAATTGTAATGTTTGTTGAATTTGAAGTTTTCAATAAGTTATTTAATTATTAGATTGGAGCTAAAAATATTGACTGTTTACTAATTGTTGGATAATTTTTCTTTGTTTTGAATAGAGAAATTTTTTCAAATTATAACTTTAACTAGATATGATTTGTCATATTTTGATGTATTGTTGTATAATATTGGTTTAGTAGGAACAAAGTATTCAAATTCATTGGACAAATATAAAAAAAGTACATCACAGTAACTCTTAGCTTCTCAGATATGCAACAAAGCTAATAAATATTTAACTAATTTTAACAATTTCATAAATTATTTAGTCAAATATTTCTGTGTGTTTATATTTATTAATAAAATTAATATTTTAGAACTTAAATTATTTTTATATATACTTCAATGATTTAGATCAGAAATTTTTTTTTAAATAGATAACACTCAGCTTATGTTTCTAGGTATTCATGAAAAAGTTGATGCTTCGAAAAGTGCTGATGATGTTTTCAAAATGGTAGAAAATATATTTTTGCGCTGTTCTTTATCATCTAATAAAGATAGAGTGATATTCGTTTGAATCATTCCAGTTGAAAAAAAAAAAGATAAAAATTGGTTTATTTTTCATGAGCTGAAGACAATATTTTATATTATATTTGTAATACTTAATAAATTATCATGTTAATAGCGATGGTAACAATAAATATTTTAAATTATGTTGATCTGAAATATCCCAATGGTTGTAATTTATCTTCCTACAATTGTTTTGAGATTTAAGTGCAATTTATAAAATAAATTTAAGTTTAGACTTATGATTATGAAGAAAAGTAATAATTTTTTTAGTCAGTTTTTATGAAATTTTATTTCTAACAAAATGAATTAATTTTATATATTATATATTTGTATTTTTACTGTAAAAAAACTCCCTAGTTATTATTTGATTTAAAGCTCATCATTTTTTAAAATAACGTAATAAAATTATTTTTTTTAAATATATATATACTAATTAATGAACAGTATATTGTATTTCAAATGAACATAGTTTACCTGCATATTGGGAATCTATAAAATTCATTTGTTTATAATACCTTTTCTATCTACTAAAACCTTTTAAAAATAAAATGACTTAATTTATTTTACAAATAAACAATATAAAATTAAAATTGTTTATAATTATAATATTTATAAAAATAATGATTAAAATACTTGGTATTTTAATTAACATAAGACAATTTAACTTGTTTCTTTAACAAATAGTGATAATTCTGTACTTTTTTATAAAGTCTAAAATTATTATTTGTTATTTCCACTAAATGTGAAATAAATATTTTAAATAGTATAATAAACAAATTCATTAGATAGTATTTTATAATAATTATTATATAATACAAAATAGATAATAATTCATCATTTTAAGGACATTTAGTATCACAAAATTATTTGATTAAATAGCACATCATAAATTATGATTGCTCAATATTTTCTGATGGATCTTCATTAATTGAGACTGTACTAGTTTTTCTTGAATAACTAAAAATAAAAATTATGCTTTTATGTATTATAATAAAACTGCTAATATTTAAAAAACTTTTACGATTTAACTGAAGTGTACGAAGATGATAGTAGAACTGACACTTTTTCAGGTGTAGGACATGAAATTAATTGTTGTTCCTCTTGTGTATAGTTATTTGTGACCAAGAATTGTTGAATTCTTGTAAAAATATTTAAAATGTTATTCTAAAAAATGATTACCAATTCAATGTTATAAAAAAATGATCAGTAAACAAGTACTTTACATGACATAATCTTACCTTTATTGGTCTATACAAAACTAGTTGAGTATCTGAATTGGCTAAATATAATGTCATATTCTGATGTAGTTTAGGTAATATGTTTTTTATTTTTTCTTGAGTTTCTTGCACTTTTTCTTGTATGGATTGAGGTTGTGCAAACTCTTGTTGCTTTACTACAGAAGGCAATCCTTGCATATTACACCATTTTACATACTTTTGGACCTATAAAGATACATTTAAAAGTAAATGACAGAAAATATAATCCAATGTAACTAATATTTGTTACTTCATCTAAAAATATTGATAAGGGTGATATAATTGAATGAGAAGAATGGTTTATGAATGTTTGACAAGATTCTTTTAAAGTAATATCTACAAAACGTCTTGAGTCAACAGAATTTTCTTGAACTACAGGTGTGCCTTCAAGTAGAAATTCAATAATTGCATTACTTGAACTTAATGAAAACATTTTATCATGTTTTTGCAATAATCCCCAAGCTAAAATTTGTTTAAAATTTAAAAAATATAGTTTTTAAATAAAATTTATAATTTACCAGCATTTTTCATCTTGCTAAAATCTAAATTTAATTCTTTAATTGTAAAGTCTACTTGAAAAGGTGCTATTTGCTCTCTAATAATTAACAGATGCTTAATTTCAAATAATGACCCATCTGTTGGACTCTACATAAAAAGAAGTTAAATTATTAAAAAAAAAATTGTTGAACATTTGAATCAATTTGGAGGACAATTCTGTAATTTCAAAATAATATACCTTTTTTTGAGTAATTATTAATGTAGCAAGACGAATATTTTTTAAACATAATGTTACAGCTTCATGAGAAAGACTTTGAAAAATTGTTTTATCAACACAACGATATAAACGTGACAAACACATTAAAGTTCGTCTAACAGGTGGATACCACATTCCATGTAAATCAGCTGCTGATGTCCATCCACCTAAATTGAAGATGAAAATAAAAAGGATTTTAAGGATGTAAACGTATTTTAAATACCAATATTTTAATGAAAAAATTAATTTTTCAATTATAAGTATTCAGTATTTTTGTAATTTTTAACATAATAAAGCATTATTTGCAAAAAAAATCATTTTCACTATGCAAAATGTGAATATTTTAAATTTTTAGGTATCAATTTTAAACTGAGTAATGTATTTTATTTAATAATTTAAATATAAATTAATTTTTAGATTTAATACAATGACTCAAAAAAGTACTCTACTCAAATTTGATAATTTGTTATCATAACCCAACCTCTTTAGCAAATGTATGTTAAATTTTTAGTTATAAAATGATCAGTTTTACATCCTTCTATTTCCCAAACTTAACATGCTACAAAGTGTGGTGGCCTTCATTAACATACTAGGAAGTAATAGATGGTTCTTGGCTAGGCCAATTATGGACTGGACTGATATTTGGTTGGCTTCCACCAAAGACCAGACACCGTTAATGAGAAAATCACAAAAAAATTATTGTTAGTCTCTAGGGATCAAACATGGGACCTCATGCGCCAAAAAAATTTGTTCCTACCTACTAGGCTAGATGGACCCCCTAAATTAATATATAAATAATAATTTTACACTATAATACAATAAAGATTTGCCTAGTATATGCTTACAACTAGAATATTTTATGGGTGCTTCTGAAACAGAAGAAAATAAACTTCCAGTTGAATCATGTCTAGTTAATTGTTTGTATTGCATTTCTTCAGCAATTGCTTCCATTTGTTTAAGTTTTTCAGGGTAAGCTAAATCACCTGGGGATGGCTTATATTCAGCTATATCTGTTACAAAATACAAATTTGCTCTAAAAACCAACCGTTCTTGTATATCTTGTAATAACAACTCAGCTACAGATCCAAAGACTTCTAATGATGCTGTAATATAAAAAAGTATATAATTATACATATTAACTTATATTATATACATTAAAATATTAATAAGTAATATTTTGTATCAGAATTCTTATCCAGTTTTTGAAAAATAATTAAAATATTACTTTTCTAAAATTTATTTAATATTTTCTTACCATCTTCATAGACATAATCTTGAAGTATTTCTATGCGCAAAATTGTACATAACTCTACGAGTGTTTCAAAGTGCTTCATATGAATAACTAATGGTCTTAAAGTATCATACATATTCATACAGACAGTCTCTAAGTATTCTCTAATATGTACATTTATAAATATGCACTCAATAAATTTTAATCTTGTATTTTATTACTATTTTTAAACATCATATAGTTATAATTTTACCTGAATACTGATGATTTTATTGTAAAAAAGCACTGATATAATCGGTTTTCATCATGCGTCAGCTGGATTAGTATTTTGCAAGCAGAACGTAAGGTTGAACAGTAATCATTTCCAGTTGAAGTATACTTTAAAAGTGTATTACTAATTGACGCACCAAGTAGCATTTTTCGTCTTGTTACATAAGTTAAAACACATTCGTCTAATGAAGATGTATATCTATAAAATAAATTAATCTAAAGTAATTATATTATATAATTATTTAATGTAAAAATTCCTTACACAGAATCAAGTGAAATTCTTTTTTCTACTAATTCTATCACAGGTTTAATTTTAGCAGCAATTGCTTGAAATTTTCCATAATATGCAATAAATTCAGTAGTATCCAAACTCTCAGTACCAGTTTGCAAACATTGAGATACATATGTTTGTATAAGGGATAAAGCCTTATAACGTGCATTGATATATAATGCAAGATATTTATTACTTTCTTTATACGATGACTAGAAAAAAAAAAGGATTAATATTAACGTACAAAGAAAATTTATATGTGTAAATTTTTTAATAAAATATTTACATGATCATTTAAATAACTTATTCCATTATCAATAGATGCCATCATCCCAGAAAAAACTTCACTAGAAACAATAAATGTAGAAGAATCAAGTTTTGATTGAATATTTTCAACAGCATTAAATATTGATAATCTTTCATTGATTTCATAACATATTTTACTAAGTGATGTCTACAGTAATAAAAATAAATGCTGATCAGATATTACATTATCAATGATAATTTATCATATATTAATTAAAAATTGTAGCGAATATTACTTGATCTGTATGTAATGCTTCTCCAGCCAAGTATAAGGAGTTTGTTTTTTTAGATACTTCACTATATTTTTCTTCCAAAACATCTATAAGACTCATACACTTATCCATCTAGAATTTATATTAAATTTATTGAATAAAAATCAATATATATATATATATATATATATAATTTTTGATCAGAGCTTGGAACTTAAAACATTAAAACTTTATTTTGTCTTCAATATGAAAATGGCTACCATATGCTATTATTGTGTGAAAATTCTCGATTTTATTTTTTACATTTTTAACTTTATAATCCTATAACTTATTGAAAAGTGTATGGATCAACACAATTTTTTTATGAGAAATAATATTTTTTAATAATCCCTTTTTCATTTGACATACTTTATCTTAATCAGGATATTAATAATGAAATAGAAGATCATGTAGCTTTTGGAATAATCCACCAATTTTTTTAAATTAAACACTATCTAAAGATTTGCATTGAAGCGTTTTTTTTTTTATAGTGATTTTAATCACTGTCAGATATCATTATACTTAATCCAATTATGCTACGTCACCACTGTGCCGCGACCCCCCTATGCTGGGTTTTTAATATTAAGAAAACAAATATAAATATCCATTCATCATTTATGTACTTGGGATTATTAAAAAAAATTCATAATTGCTTTAAGTCTTAAACCCTGCTTAAAATAAATACTAATAATGTAAGTATTAACTTTATTAAGCATTTCTTGCCAGTCGTTGAGTTGATATTTTAATTCATTAGCAAGACACATTGATGGTTTGATTTCTGTTGTTATCCATGTTTCAGCAATCTTATCATAAAACTTGAAAAACTAAATTTAAATTGTAATTTTAAAAATACAATTTTTAAAAAAAAGTAATAGTCCATCAAATTTATTTTTTGTATAATATTATCATTATCTTTGATTAAACCTGGAATATTTTTGAGTATAGTACAGTAAAATGAATTTCCTCCATTAAACACTAATATATTTTCCATAATGTCACCAATATGATCTTCTTTAAATATGTGTATTCATATTATTTTTTAACAATATAAATTTTTTATAATAAACTTCAGACATTATGAAAATTTAAATAATCAAAAAAAAGTCATGTAAAAGTAATTTATACAATGGTAAAAATACATGTATATTAGTATCAAGATTAAGATATTTATTAAGTATAAATAAACACTTGAAAAATATTTAATAACTTACATCTTCAGTAGACTCTATATTGACATTTAACTTTTGATTTTTTTCATCTGTCTCTGATTTTGACACATTTTTTCTAAAAGACTAAATAAATAGATTAAATAAATAATGCTTGTAATATTCAATTAAATTGAATAAATAAACTTACACTTTCAGAGTTCAATAAATTTTCACTAAGACTTGAGTATGTACTTAGTTGTGAAGAACTTAATGGTGCCAATGGATTTTTTTCTGTGTCCCATTGAAGTAAATTATCTATTAGTTTTTGTTTGTTCTCCATAAGTTAGTACACAAATACAAAAATAATTAACAGGATATTTTGGTCACACTACATTCAATTTATATATTTTACGGTGAATATATAAATTTTTATTATGTTTATATTTCATAATTTGTTAACATAGTAAAAAAATAATGTGTATTTATTTTCATTAAAAAAGTAAATTATTTAGATAATTATTTCAAAAAAAATTCTACTATGTTATTGCAACGTATCTCTTATCATTTCTTATATCACTTTAAACGCAGTGTTTTATATATTTCATGAAGATGTTTAAGGAATATTTTATATTTTAATTTTTTAAGTATTTGACAGAAGACCACACTGACCACAGATTTGTATTAAAAAAAAATTGTTTTTGCTGTTTGTAAAATATTAAAGAAATAAGTGTAAGGCAAAAGCTTTATATTAAAATCCTGCCCACGTTAAGTACAAAATATATTTACTGTGAATATGTTGAGTTGTATTTAGTAAGTCTTTTCATTTGTCTTATAAATTAAATAATTTATTTTTAAGACATTTTATAATTTATATTAATGAAAATACTTGTAAATATTCAAATTAATTTTTTAATATTACATTTAAATAAAAACTTATTTATAACTAATTCATTATAATTTTGTGCCAATCCATTCATATTCATACATAATGAAATAAAATTTTTATATATTTTGCTCAATAATTTACATTAAATATTTCGAAAATTAGATTTGTTGTGTTGTAAGTATGTCATATTCATAGTAAGGTAACCAGTATTTATAAAAATAAGTTGGAAGTGTGAGTGTACGATGATTTACTAAACTATGCAGAATTGATATTCATTTCAGGTGGTAAAAGTTTTTACCCTATAGTAATGCTAAAGGTCTTAATTGTGAATAATAATAAAACGGAAGTACTAGATCTCTTTCTTTAAGTTTATATTTTAGTTTTCTATGGTTTTTATAACATCAAATTAAAATTATAAAATTAATTTTTTTCTCTAGTCTTTCAAATTGAAATAAAAATGAAGTATTATATATGATAATTACTGATTAATTTTTTTTAATAATATGTCAATATTTATACATTATTTTACCTATTTCACAAATAAAATTTTAAACATACTGAAAATTATATGTATTATAATAAATTATTGAAACAAAAAATTCTTGTTCATCATTTTTTTCAATCAACTAAAGTTAATCATTTTTTTTTTTTTTGTAAAACCAGTAATACTTTTTTTAATTAATTTTTTTTTGTATATTTGGGAAATGCGTTAGTTATAACCTTGGTATCACTGTAAACTAGTCGGACTCTCAACACTGGCACACACAGACATATGTACACTTGATAAACAGGGCGTGTGTGCGTAAATGCGAATACGATTGTTGTGCGAGTGTGCGTAATCATCGTCTCGTACTGTTCTTTTTAATTCCAATAAGTAATTTCAAGTTGTGTTAATACTTCGATATTAACATTTATTTTTGGTAAGTGTTTACTTATTCTAATTTTTCGGTTTTTTATTATTTGTTTCGCGAGTTGCATTTAAAGTATAAATACTACTAGTCTGATCATTATCAAACATAGCCACTATGTGCAAAATTTCTATTAATTTGTCATAGCGATCCGTATGTGTAATCGCTCGTCTGTCACAGCTCGACGATGCGCGAGTTCAAAGTTGTTGTGCTGGGTTCCGGTGGTGTGGGCAAAAGTGCCCTGACCGTCCAATTTGTTTCTGGCCGTTTCATGGAGAAGTATGATCCGACCATAGAAGATTTTTACAGGAAAGAAATTGAAGTGGACAGCTCTCCCTGTGTACTTGAAATACTGGATACTGCTGGTACTGAACAGTTTGCCAGTATGCGTGACTTATACATAAAAAATGGACAGGGTTTTGTTGTTGTGTACAGCCTAACTAATCACCAAACTTTTCAAGATATTAAACCTATGAAAGAACTCATTACTCGAGTTAAGGGATCCGAAAAAGTACCAATTCTTTTAGTAGCAAATAAAATTGATTTGGAACATCAACGTGAAGTACCAACTATTGAAGGTAATACTTTAGCTCAGATTTGGGGCTGTCCTTTTGTTGAGGCTAGTGCAAAAAATCGTACCAATGTGAATGAAGTTTTTGCGGAAATTGTTCGTGAAATGAACTTTAGCAATGACAAAGAGAAAAAGAGTTATTGCTGCTGTACAGTTCTATAAGCCATATTTTTAGAATTTTTGTTTTTGTGTGCATTAATGTCAAATGCTACTGATGATTTCATTATTTTGGGTAAGCTTACATTAAAATGTTTGAAATTTAAAATAATTAGAACTTTTAGTATTGTTTATACATGTTTCCTGCTTAAAAAGTAAATTTTTCAAGTATTGAATTATTTAGAATATTAATTTAGTTCTAAAAATATTATTTTAGTATATCATAACTAGTATAACTGGCATTTCAAACTTTGCCAAAGTTTATTCAATTATGCATAATATTAAATTACTAAAGTCACAGTTATCAAATATATATTTATACATATGTTGAATAATAATTGTATTTAACAATAATATTCTACCATTAACTCATCATCAACTTTTTGATCTTAAGTTTCTTAATAAACTAGTCATAGTTTTAGAAAGTATTAAAAAAAATTTCCCAATACAACAATTTGGAGCAATTTTCCACTATAAATATAATTAAAAAATAATAATTATTGAATTTCAATCTAGTATCAATTTAACTTACATCAATATGAATGTGTTAAAGCTTTCATGGATTGTCTTGTTGCTTGAAGTGCTTGAGGATATATCCATGTTTGCAGTTGAGTTCTGACGTTTTTATATCAATATTATCGATATTCCAATGGTTAAATAACCAATAGGTTAATAACCAATAAGTTGAACAATTTTAATTATATTATCTAATACAATTTATCTTATATATTTAGTTGTAAATTGTAATTTAAACTATTATTCAATTTATATTTATGTACTTTTTCTTGAAAGTGAAAAATTTGTTCAATTATATGATTCTAGTGCAAACAAGAGCATGAACTCTATTTTATTTCGTCTTCTGAATGATACAGAGTAATAAAAAATGATATTAGTAACTTTTAAATAACTTTTTTTATATATTCCTTACTTTATTTTTCTCAAAAAATATAAAATTTTAAACTTAATGAATATATATAGTTAACATTTAATGATACATTTAGGCAGTTAGTAGTTATTCATTGTTGGATTTTCTACTCTATTTTTCAAATTTTTGATCATCATTACAACTTATGTGATAAAAAATGTAGGTGTTGGATCATAAGTAAAATAAGATAAATTCAAGTTTTTGTTAGTTTTATAAGTTAAACATTTTAGTTTTTGATATAGTTTACAAAAACAATTATGTGTTTAATTCAAACAAATACATTAATATAAATATAAAATGTGTATACAAATATAGAGAAAATGATTAAAACAACAATTTCGAGTAATCTACAAAAATATAGTGCATTGTTTACATACACATTTTATAAAAATTATGAATACAATTTTTTATTTTCTCTGGTTTTATTGTATAATAACATTCTAAATTTATATCGTGTAAATATGTATTTTTCACGTGCATCATATTCGATTAAGTTTTACTTAATTCATATTTATATAAAAGATATTTGTTCAATTTTCAATTGATAAAGTATGTAGCGCTGACTCATCAGAAACACCTTATACGTCATATACTCGTGTTCTAAATTTTATACCAATTCTTAGTATTATCAAAACGGTTATTTCTTGTTATATCTATAGAAAGTAATTATGCTAATAGTATTTAATTTCCGAGTTATAAATTTAAATATATTACAATTCCATAATATTATTTGTTGTAATATATTGTTTAGTTAATAAACAGTTAATTTTGTACGGTAGTATAATTTTTTTTATTTGTTATCTTAATTAATTAGTTTCATTGTTTTAGAATTTTCCTGTTTGATATCTTATAGGCTGATTTCCATAAAAGTATCTTAAATATTTTTAATGATAGGAAAAAATATCGTATATCGTAAGCTTAACTTAAATTTGACCATTAATAATAATTTCGTATTATATCAGATTAATAGTATTACTTATAACATTTTAATTATCAGTAATATTTAATTAAAAAGCATTGATAATGTCACCTTTTTCAATAATGTATTCTTGATATTATATTTATGGACTTAAGTTTGGTGTTTATCTAATAACACGTTGCTAACTTATTTTTATACATGTCTACTCCTTTTGGTAATGTAACAATCGGAGAAACCCTTAAACAATTTTTACCCTCATTCCAATTGAGAATATCATGTATACAGTCGGTCAACTAAAGATTAGTGTGAAGTGTTTAATGTGTACAAGGTGTGTTGTAATTCCCAAAAAAATAATTTTGTAGGGATTTAGGGTGTGTTCATGTTTTAGGGTGAGGTTTGTGTATTGATACACTATGTGTAGTAACGTAATTGTTCGGCTGCTATTTTCTAATTTAGATTTTGTGTTGTTGGTCGGTAAACTCGTGCGTATTTTTTGTTATTTTGTTTCTAATAACATTGAGTATATATATTGAACAGAATCAATATGTTCATAGTAGAAAATACTATAAATTTAGAACATTTTTTTTAGAATTTGTTATTTCAGTAAAAACGTTTTTATAATTTATTTTGTTGTATGTAGTGTTCAATTTCCCGTAGTATCGATTTGAAGTTTAATATTTATGATGTTTAAAAGCATATCAATACTAAATGATGTTTTATAAATAATGTGCAGTAATTTATGACTGATAAACACAGTAAAATGTATTAAGCCTAATGGTATATGTATTTCATATGATCAAATCACTTTAAAGTTAATGTAGAGTAAATCCAACATATTTAGGTCGGCTTATTTTTTATAAATAAATTTAACGGTTTTTATTAAGCTTTATTATGTTTAAAAAATTACTAATCGCTTGAAGATTATTTTAATTTCAAAGAAGATTTTATAAATAATTAAATGTCTATATTTATAAAGAGTGTATTAACAATTGTTAAAATATATGTTGTTTTCATATTTTACTTTTAAAATGTATGATGTATTCTTTCGTCTAGTTTTTATCGTGTAAAACCTTCATAGATCGTCAAAACTGCATGACTAACTGGTTAAAACATTCGTTTATTATTTTAATTTATTTTAAGGTTATTGTAAAAACCATAAATCAGTACATTATTGTCGATTACTAATGTTTATGGTTATTTTATTTCACACGTGAATGCATTTACACACACTTCCAATTATCGTCAATATAAGAACTAGTAATCGGGGTTGGTTAAACTTACGGATGTCATCATCAAACTGATAAGAACCATGCTATCAATAATGATTAATAACGAATAATTCCAATAATTAAATTAAAAACAATGAGTTGTTTTTCAAATGTTTTTTAAACTTCAAAACAGTTGCAAGATCTATTTATTGACTTTTATAATAAATTTTATTGCCGTGTAAAGAATCGTGTGGTAAGTTTGTCCATTTCTACGGTTTAAAGGTTATAGAAGTGTGGGGAATGCAGTGTATTATTATTTCATAAACTTGTTTTACACAGTAAAACGTCATAGTTACATAAGGACTTGCCCATGTTATTGATGTGTTAAATACTTGTGACTATATTATTATGATCGTAGAACGTCACGTATTTTTACATAAAAGAAACACCAGCTAAGAATTTTTTTTTGTAAAGGGACGACAAGGGTCGAGACCTTTATTGTTCCAAAAGTATACTTGAATATTAAATTAACCGTCTTATCCTCACCAAAAACTCTTAGTGTGCACATTTCAGTCAATATATTTACAATCCATTTTTTAATTTAATTTAATTTTCGATAATGAGAGTCTTAATCCATTTTTAGGATATGTTTTTTATGTGGTCATTAGAAATAAGTGATATTTTTATAGCCATGTTATTATGTAAACATCATTACTGCTACCAGTCATAATGGAGATTTCTAACACTATATGATTGATATAATTACACCTGTCTGACCTGCAAAAGTTGTTGATATAATTTTATTCTTATTGCACCTTCTTTTGTATTAGCTCTATAGATACCAAGTAAAATGTATAACTAATTGTATCATTGTTTTAATTGGTTACAACATTCGACCACCGTGTTAGTAGTGTATTCGTTGTGATCATCGAAAGATTTAACTACCAATATTGTACATTGTTCAGTACACGCTGAAGCGTTTTATTATTGTGCACGAGATGTGTGTGGTAATTCATCGTGTCGCACTCAGGGGAATTTATAAATAGAACATGACCACCTCTGGAGATTAAATTGGACTTTATAGTCTCCTCCTCTCTGTTTTCTTGTGTAGCTTCTTAAAATGTAGCTAATTTTGCCGCCAGGGAATTTAAATTGAATTCTGACGTATTATTTACTTACAAGTTGCGTTATGTAAACAAATTACATTCATTAGTCTTGATTATTCATCTGGTTTCCTGCGAATCTGATGGATTTATCATTTTTTCGCTACCCACTCTGTGGTTTGGTTACACACTTAATGCATTCACGCTTCATAATAAATAATTCTACCATAAATATAGCAAATACATAGACATTTTTTAAAGTACATGATTTTCCATCTCGTTCACATTTGTGGGTTGTAGTTGATAATAATAAATTGAACAATGTAAACATTGTTACCGACAATCATAATTACCAATTCGTGTAGTTAATGAACTATAAGTCATCTACCTATGACTTATCAAGTAGATAAACCTTACGGTAACCAGTTCTTTGATATGCTGCGTGTAAAAATTACTTTAATGCGTTAAAGTAGTTAATACTTTTAAGATATGTTCAATAAGTGTCATTGTTCTTCTACGAATATATTACATTTTTCGTCCATATATAGTATGGTTCATACTTAAGAAGTATTGTCCCTGTGGATAAGAATACTTCCACAGCCCCTCTGTCAGTCGTAAGAGGCGACTAATGAAGTTGCGTCAGGTCGATAGCCAGCGTAAAATTTTGTCCAACGATATGAGGAGTCCTGAACAAAACTTAGGCGGATTTTCCCATCTCGGATGTACGCGGGGACAAAAGGCGAGAGGAAATAAAGTAGTTAGAAACGGGCTGACCCCAAGTAGTTTACTAAAGGCGAGGAAAATGATAAAAAAATGACTTCGGAAGTAGTAAATCTATTTTTATGATCACGTTTAATACGTTAAATCCATTATATTAGTGTTGCTTTTATATTATCTAAGTGTAGCAAAGTTTGTTGAAAAAACTAACAAAGTTGCTCATTTTTAATGAGGTTCAGTTGTATTCAGTTTTTAGCAAACCCTAATTTATAAGATTTCTCTGTATGAGACCATAAGACTGTAGTAGGATGATTCATTAGTCACATTTTTGAAGGGCTATTTCATAACAAAAATAAAAATAATTTTTATTAACTATTTTTAAAATTTCTGAATTTAAATTTGAGACCTTGAACTCTTGTTTAAATTTTATTGTATAATTTAGTAAAAACATGTGTAAGTATGATATATTATTATATTATTCAATGTTTGCTGTTGTTTTACAGGAATCGTTTTAAAAATTCAAAATCAATAGAAATGGTACCAGTAACTGTTCATATTACGATTTACATATCCTGCTACAAAGGGTACGTTTTTTAAAGACTGTTGAAATATTGATAATATACTACAAACGTTAAAAAATCTTTTTTTCTATGTTTTATTGAACACAAATAATGACACACTAGTGTATGTGCCAGTTTTGTTACAAATATATAAAATGTTCTTTTTATTTTATTTCACTAGTTTATTCAAAATTATCTGTATTGTATTCCTTTTTTAATCAAATTACAGGTATTATTTATAAAAAATATAGCAGTGCTTGTAGTTATGGTTATACTACTTGTTTTATTATAAAGTAACAAAAAGGCGTTTTTAGATAGTATAACTAATGTTGTATACAATATCTGAAATTTATACATCATTTTTTAACTTATTGTTTTCATAATACGTATTTTTTATACTTTTTATACTTATAAAAAATTGATAGAATAATAACATAGTCAATGAAACAAATTAAATTTTAAAAGTATTTTATGAAGAAATTGTCTGTTTTATTTTATATCCTTGTACATAATTATTATTATAATTTAAATGGATCTAAACAAATTTTAATAATTGTTTTTTTTAGTGTATTAACATAAATTATTTTATTTGTATTAATTTTAAAAGTTTAATTAATCGATCAAGTGGTATTGCAGAACGCATTACATACCTCTTTTCTTTCTTTTGTGATATTAATTGTATTTATAATTCCGAACAAATTAAAAAAATAAATATATTTTCGGTTCACTTCATACTTTGAAGCGACTTCGAAGTGTTATATGTTTGTCTTGCTTCACAATGGAAATTGACATTGTGTAAAGTCAAGTGCCAAAGATTATGTTGAATCCTAGTACCTGTGTACGATTGTTTAAAATTTACTTTATTTTGATTAATTTTAATATTTTCTTATGTATCTTTTTTTTTTTTCAATTTTTGTTTGATTTTAAAATTGTATTTGATGTTTTCTGCAATTTTCACACTATAATCATATTATAAGTTTTTATTCGCAAATATACATGTGAATATATTTATGAATTATTATTTAGAAATATTTTACTTTCCACAATGGTGCATACCTAATATATATTTTTTTTTGTGTAAGTGTAAATAGGCTAAGATTTTTTTTATATGTATTAACATGTCGATAAATTTTTGGTTTGATAATTAAATCTACCATGATATAAAAATTTTAAAAATAAATATTTATATAATTTGTACATAGGTAATTTATACCTATTTAAAGATGTGTATAAAATAAAAATCAATAAAGAATGATTTAAAGACTTATATTAATGATTCTTTTAATTTTTATAATTAATACAACATCTGTTAAGAGAAAGTTTGAAGAATTTTTACGATAGTTCATTAATTAATAACCTAAAGAAATAAAAACGCATTGACTATGTTGAGTTATTGTTTAAGGTAATGGTTGTCTTGATGAGATATTACAATTTTCATTTGATTAAAGTTTGTGATATTTAAAATCAAATGAAGGTAAGTAGTAAGTATATTCTGACAGTAAAAAAATTATGTAGTATTGTTTGTAACTGAAATTTTCTAATGTCACTATATTTGTGTTGGTGTATTTATGTCATATGCATTTACTTGAACATTAATTATCTCTGACATATTTTTGCTAAAAACTTTAGTTACAATTATCTACAGACCATTTCCGCCTAACCAACCAATTAGTTTCTGTTGAAGTCTTTTAATTGTTTAATCATATTTGTTATTTTCCTCTGCATTTCTGTGGGCTAGAGGCGTACCATATGATATCTTGCCGCAATACGTTTTCTCAAATTAAGTAGGACACGGCGTAATAATTATCCTAAAGAGTGAATGCCTCTATATTATTTTACAACATTAATCATATATTATATTATCTGTTTAATTTTAAGGAATTAATTCGTATTCAGGGTTATTTACTCTTAATTGTATAAGTTTGGCTTGTTCAATATGACAGTCAAAAGCCCTAGTTATATTACGAAAAGAGAAATCTTTTCGATTTTATTTGATGTATGTAATGAAAAAAGATTTTGAAAAATATATATTTAATAAAGCTGGTCTTGTTAAATTAGTTTCATTATTTCAATTTTAACGGTCACAGTGTTCGGTTTTGCGAAACTGAATGGTATACTTTTTATAACAAATCTAATTATTTAAACTATTTATTAAATAAGTTAGCAAAATTATTTAAAGAACATATTTTTATTAAAAATAAATATGAAGTTAAATTATTAATTGTTACAGTTGAATGTTGATTAATAACTCTGGTGTTATATTTAATAATTGTATAATTGATTATATTTGAACAATAAAAGCAAAATAAAACTTAATGCACTCCCATAAGGAGCCCCTCATAATACATAGGCCCGTGTTCTTTTCTTGCAAAAACAGTCCTTGTCCTTCATTTGGTATATCTATACAAGTAAAATAATGAAAAGCTCATCATATTTCAGGTAGCCTTCACAAGGTCGTATGCTCCATAATATTTATTTCATACCAAAATGTGTTTATACTTTTACACTAACTTTTCCAGGTTCAATACAAAAAATAGTGTTAATAGTACAATTCATAAATAGTTTGTAAGCTATTTTTATTGTTATCTAATTACCACAATAGGTAAATAACATTAAGAGAATTCCATACCCCCATACTATTAAAATAAAAAGCCTAAGGTAAAAATTAATTTTCAGTAAGTTACAGCTATTAAAGATGATTTTTATTCATTCATTTTTCTTAAAATTGAAAAAGAACATTAAATTTTTTTAATTTAGACTGAAGGCATTTAAATTATATAAAATAAATGATGCATCGACAATAGTGGAAAACAAACAGGTTAATTTATTGTATAGGTAAACAGACTAATAAAAATAATAATTATTAATCAATATCAAATTGTGACTAAATCAATGGTTCATCTTATTCGGTGAAGTTAACAAAGTTGCTGTTGAAAAGTAAAAAATATCTGGTTATTGCTCCCGAATTTACAATTGGTTTCACGGTGTATTATGTCATATTACGACTATTAAACTACCATACAATGAAGTGCGGAAGAACGAGGCCAGTGCGATTTTATTTTTACTCATTGACCCTTTGACAAAAAATATATATATATATATATATATATATATTAATAACACTAATGGCTTAGTGATACTCATGTCAGAATATAATGAGGAACTAGCCTGAATAGCTATGTCGTGTTATAAGTATGTACATTGGGATAAGGTGAAAACGTCACCTAATGATTTTTAAACTACAAAATACAAACTATTTAACAGTTTAATAGCTGATTGAATGGGTCGGACTTAGGCGAATTTAGGTAGGGTTGGATTAAATTATTGTATTTCTAAGAATAGAAGTCTGTCTAAGACGTTCAAAACTCCAGAAATCACACGTGCTCTTCGAAACGGACGCGTATATTACCGCTGTTATACATGAGTGTCCTGTTAAATAAATCAGTTTTACTTAAACTACAAAAATAAGTGTTTTACTATTAAATGCGAGTTCTTTTGATAGGGCAACATGCAATTCAACTCGTTAATTATTGTTCGTTAAATGTATAAACTGTTTTCTTATATTTTTCATGTAATTAAAAATGCTTTTTTTTTTTAATTACCATATTAAAATCATAAATGTTTTTTTAATCTTATCTCAGTTTAATAGTATTATGTGTTTCTGAGTAACAGCTATTTAATCTGTCAATGAAAAAGAAACTGCTTTGAGACATACTAATGGATTAATCTTGGAATTATTAATTATTATATACCCACAAAAGAAGCATACTCCATTTTAATCGAAAAGGTAAAAATTTGATTTTTTTTACTCTTGTTTTTTCTATTATTATTAGTACAAAAAAATAGTTTCGTATTGTGAAATATACTAAATATATACATCAAACTTTTAATTAGATAACTATAAGTTCAATATAAACTTATACTTAAGAGTTGTAAAGTTCTAGTATTTTTAAGTAAAAGACTATATTTAGAATATTGCGTGCCTACTTATTTTAATTATTTCGTGATGTTTCCTGTGGCTAATAAAATATTTACAGAGTATTTTTAGGTTATGTTCGATACGACCTGAATAGCCTACACATTTTTATATTACTATCGAAATTTTTTTGTTATCGAAATAAATGACAAATAAATTATTTTAAGCTGAGAAGGTATTAATTTTACTATTATGTGTTTTTGTTTAAATTAAACCATTAAGCTGTTATTTGCTATTAGTATAATTTTTAATAAATAGCCTTATCAAAAAATGATAAAACCATTTAATTAATTAATTTTACATTTTATTTATTGTATTTAGTTAAAATAAGCAAACTACTTGCCCAATCCATTTGAGTATTGAAAAAATATCTAATTTAATGTCGCATTGAATTCGTCGTGTAAAGTAATTTTATCCGACTGTTTTTCTTTTCCATATAATAAATATTAAAAGTATAATTTTTCTATTTTCGCTTCCCCTTAAAAGTTATTCATAGCCGTCACTGGAATATATACTATTATAATTTACAGTTTTTCCATAGGAGATCTACTAAATGAAATATAATTTAATGAATTTAGTGTTATTTATTGACTGAATAATACTACAATATTTTCTAGATTTAAAAATATCGTGAACTCGCCCAAAATATTTAAAAACAAATTTTACTGTGTAGGTTATTTTGACTATTTATACTAACTCAGGCGAAATTTGTCAAATTTAAATTATTTAAATAAATAACTTACAATTGTTAGTCAATTTTTCAAAATTTCCAGAAAAAAAGGAATAATAAATTTTTGTGTATGGAATAATGGAATCATTTATTTGGTGTACTTTTTAGTCGCAAAAAAGAAAAAAGATATTCAACATTTTATATGTATCAACATTGATAGTACAGATTGACAGACATAATATAATAATGCATGGTGTTAAAAAAAAAACAAAAATTTTACATTACGTATCAAGTAAGTCAATTTTCACTGACTTCATTGGTAAATTTTTTTTTACCGATACAAAAATAAGTAGTAAAAACATTTTATCATATTTTTGCTACCCTATGAAAATTTTTATTCCTTAAATTAAGTCATAAAACAAAACAATTATCAAAAAAAATTATAAATACAAAATACTTTCCTACCATTACCAAAAAACTATTGATATTAACATTTTAACAATCAATCGGGCAAATTAAAT